TTCGCGAAAGGTCGTTCCCGTATAGGGATGTCCTCAGATCTTTGTATAGCGGCAGCGAGAACTCAGATATGATTTTAATAAGATTGCTTCTAAATGTTGGTTGATGTTAATAGTCCCATAGTCTCTATTTTGAGCCATAAGTAATACTATTGTTTGTGTTAAACTGTTTGTTTGGCAAGAATGTTTTGTATATTTTGTGATTATAATTGCAAAGTACATGGTGTAAAAGTACCTGTCCAGACGGTGCAATATCTTCTGCACAGATAGCATGTACATGCTCGTGCACGTGTAATCCCACAATTTACTGCACGTCATTTGAATCAGAGGCTAATGTAATGTTTTCTGACGAACCGACACAACTCTCGACTTCCGTGACCGAAGGAATCGAGTTTGAAGACGTCCTAATGAGCGTTTCATGGACGTTGACGTCGTACAGCATGATCGTTTTGGGAGGGGGTCCATAATGGTATAGGATGGTATCACAATGACTGGCCGAACTGTGCTCCATATTGTCCATGGCAGAGTCACAGTTAATACTATCGGGACAACATCATCGCACCACTCGTGGTTGCATTTTTACGTGTTGAGCAACGTTTCATCTTTCAAGATGATAATGCACGTGTTTATCGTGCCAGGAGTGTGACCCAATTCCTACAACAGCAAAACATCCATTCATGCCATGGCAAGCACTCAGTCCTCACCTTTCCTCCGACCGCCTCCGTGGTCTAGTGGTAGCGCGTCCGCGCGGAGAGCGGAAAGTCCGGGGTTCGATCCCCGACCGCGTCATACCAAAAGACGTTTAAAGGTGTTACCCTGTCTGGCGCTCGGCATTAAAGGGCTAAACTAAGGACTGGTCGGCTCGGAGTCAGTATACTGTGTCTGAGTGGGGTATTCATGTTAAACTGCGGCATGGTATCTCAGTGAGCTAGCACTATAAATCGGCATCAGTCCGGACTAGTACAAGCAGCCACACAAACACACACACGTACATGCACGTCGCTATATAAGTGCAATAATCTTGGACGCGACGTTAAACCCCATTTCACCTCACCTTTCCTCCACTGAACACTCATGAGTGGAAATCATGAGTCAAGCTGACATTGGTTGACTCATCAGAAGGATGCCTCGAAGAATTCGTGCATGTCTGCACAACAGAGGTGGTTTAATTCAGTGTTAGCAACGTTGGCTGCCAAATGCAAATTTCGAATTTGACCCCCAACCTCTTTAACGACCTAATGCGCCACCGTCTCACCACAGCAACCATTAGAACCCATTAAATGTTATCGCCTACTCCCCAGCAGATATGATCATATCATTTCCATTTTCCAATACCATATAGATCAGAAGATGTCTTGATGATAATCAAAACTAGGCCCTACGTTTTAGCATAGTATATTATTGTCACAGTAAACTACGGTTATAACGAACTCAAATTGACCGCTGATATAAGTTCGATATAACCGTAGTTCGTTATAAGCACATATACAGCATAAATACAACAAATTGCCTGGACAAAAAATGTTCGTTATAAGCGTGTTCGTTATAAACGTAGTTTACTGTATATATCCAAGGGAAATATAATCCCAGCAATATCTCGCAGATGACTAGTGGTGTCATCTGACCCCCAAATGTGACAGTGTCAATCAATATGAGATCGTTACAAACCCTATTTACATTACTATTGGTTCATATATATTTAAGTTATTATTCGTATTTAAGTGCATAAAGAAAAAGGTTAATAAACACCAATCAGGATGTTATATTATATATTATGAGTTGAAGCGTGCACATTATCAATACCAACATTATCTTGCGCGACACCGTTTCGGTCGGTGTCGGTCGTCAATTAAAGCAACGTCGTGACAGCATTGCCACAATGGCTCTAAACAGAAAATAAAGTGTTCTTGCTTTTTGTTATGATCGACAAAAATGTAACACGCTAATGTTTGTTAAATATTTAGATCGGAGATGGCTATGGATTTGAGAAATCAATAGCTATTTATTAGTGGTGTTTATCTTGCATTTCAAAGTCGGCTGAGTGATGCTAAAAAAGCTGACTTCATTAAAGACACACAGTAGAGTGACACGATCATGTCCTTAGTTTCAATCAGAGGACATCTGAGATGTAAGTACGTTTCATGTCGGTGCAGATTGAATTTCTGTGCAAAGAAATGAACCCAAAAAACAGTTGTGTAAGACATTCGGTTGAAAGGAATCAATTCTTTCAAGGCATTGTTACTTCTACTTACACGGTGAAGCTTTGGGACAAGAAGTCCTCAGGACCGTCGAAAAAATATATTGTCTTGATATACATATATACCGAGTCCGAGTTCGACCAAAGCGCGGTGCTGATACTTTACGGGACATTTATATGTTTCAGGAATAAAGAGAGAACATATAATTTTGTTTGTGTAGCATGGTAAAGTTACCGTATTGTACTATTGGGACCAGTGAGTGAGTATGGTTTTACGCCGCTTTTAGCAATATTCCAGCAATATCACACCGGGGGGGCACCTGAAATGGGCTTCACAAATTGTGCCCATGTCGGGAATGGAACCCGGTTCTTCGGCATGACGAGCGAACGCTTTAACCACCAGGCTACCCGACCGCTCCACTAGTAATCTCATCAAAATCAGATCTTAGTTCTCGCTAAACAAAGATCTGAGTACATCCCATTTCGGGTCACGTCAGACCGACCTTTCGCGAACTTTGACCGACCAATGGAATGCCTAAAATGAAGTCGACAATAGCCAATCAGAAGGTAGCTTAATCGAGCTTTACAGCACGAGTTTCAAACTGGCGACTACGCTTTGAAACATATTTTGACACATACTCGATTAAAAAATTAAAAACTGAACAAAAGAACATTCTGGAATGGCTAATAGATGGTCTAGATTGTATGAATACAGACATAAAGCCCATAACTGTAGTTCGGAATACCCAGTGTGTGTTTTTTCGAGGTTGCACGATCAAAAATCAGATTCCAATTGTCACTTTCCTGATCTGATCAGCGATGCTCTGATTGGTTAGATGAAAGGTCGTTCTGACATGACCCGCAATGGGATATCCTCAGATCTTTGTTTAGCGGTAGCGAGAACTGAGATCTGATTTTAATGAGATTACGCCACTATTGAGACCAGTACAACACATCGATTTATACACGACATGAACCTACCCAAATTAACGAGGGTCTTTATATCCGTCAAAGGCCTAGACGTTTTACCAAAGGTACCAAAGGTGAAATGTAGTGCACTGTTTGTTTGTTTTATAATGAGGACAATCACATGATATACACAACAGAATTTATGTTAGGAAAGTGAATTTTAAACGTTTTACATGGATCGCCAAGTTGATCATTAAAGGATTCTGTCGTTTCCATCGCCTCAAGTGATTGCTGTTGAGATTTGGTAGTATTTATTGTTTGTTTATTTGTTGTTTAACGCCGCATTCAGCAATATTCCAGCTGTATGACGGCGGTCTGTAAATAATCGAGTCTGGACCAGACAATCCAGTGATTAACATCATGAGCATCGATCTACGCAATTGGGATGCCATGACTTGCATCAACTAGGTCAGCAAGCCTGACCACCCGATCCCGTTAGTCGCCTCTTACAACAAGCACAGGCGCCTTTTATGGCAAACATGGGTTGCTGAAGACCTTGTCTGCCCGGGATCTTCACGGGCCAGTTGGTAGTAACGGTAGGCGATTCCCAGCCTCCATTAAACCCACTGCACTCTTTCTCCTGTGTTATGACCAGTACCATGGACCTATTCGCCACCATAGCTTCGTTCTTGAAATGGCGTCACCATCCCAATCCCTCCTGTCTCAACTTCCGCAGAATTTATGTCGCCATTTAGAGTAATTTCTTTGGATGGGTATTGTTATCTTTGGTAGGTGTTCTAGGTTCACACCCTTTACATATTATAACATTGTATTATAAGATGTCTTCCCAAATCCATCAGTAGATTAAACTATCAATCGAGAACAGAACTTTCGTTTTGTAGTTTAGACAAGTCATTGATCATGGCCAGTCGGCTAAGAATGTTTGACCAATACAACAGCGGATGAAGCGCTTGAGGGCAATGGATTGATGATCGGTAGCTTTTAGGTTCTTATTATTGATTCTTAATTATGACGCTGGTGGTGAGGGTTGTTTCCCTTGTAACTGGCAATGGTTGCGAAATCTGATTACGATAATACTTCTCAAGCTATAGGTGTGACTGAAACATAACACTTTCCGGGATGTCTTAAGTCGAATGAGAGAGTGAATAGGATACGCTGGTTTCATCAATATTGCAGTTTAATGTTGGCGGGAGACGCCAATAACAGATTAAACATATTACCCTTATGAGGGGAATCGAAGGCAGGTTTTATATATTTCAACCATTAATCTCCCCGACAACCGTATGTATAAATGCTGATTGAGTGAGCTAGTTTTGAGGCAGTCTTGAATAGGAGCTCATTTGTATCACTTAAGCCCAAAATGATGCAGGTCCACTACCACTATGGTGAAGCCCACGGGTAGGAAATTTGTACTACTAAAAAACGTTCAGAATCGCCAATCCTTTCTATTAACATCGGTGACCACTAGAGGGATCCTTTGGTTTGTAGTGATGACCAACCACACCATTACACTCCCACCACTGCAGAACTGTGAACAAAACAGCAACATTCCACCCAACGTTGAAGGGCATCACTGCTGTCAAGAAACCATAGCCAAACATCAATGGCTTATTTTAAATGTGATTTTGATTTGTGCACAGTAATTCTTTTCTGGTGGTATATTTTATCACCATGTTTATCATGTATGGCAACTTGAAAACAAACAGGAAAGAAGATGCGAAGAGTTTGTCTTGCACCATATTTCCAGGTGAGACATGTTTGTAGATAAGCTCTGTTAAGCTAAAAGTTCTCACATCTTATGGGAGCAGTTTCCCTGCAAGGAGCTTGACTTGCAGATATTGCCATGAGGGCAGAGAATATTCATAACAAACAAGCATTTCATTGAATCAAATTTAATGAATGTTACAGTTTCAAATTTTGCTACAAGCACTGAATTGTTCAGAATATATAACAGTGAATAGGAAAATAAATATACAAAGTTCAGTAACCAGGCATTATCATCTGCAAAATGGAGAACTACAAACAGGCAGCAAAATAGGAGGAGAGCGTGGAAGAAAGAAAGAGTTTGATGGCTAAATTAGTCACAAGTGTAGCAGCTTGTCTCGTGTAGATTGAGACCATTCAAATGTCAATGGTAAAGATACCCAAACAAATCACATACATTAAAATATACAGCTCATTCTCCCAGCACTGACAGAGTAAAATCAACAGGATGGGCTGCTGAAGCAACTAAAACAACAGCTTACAATAGAATTGTCATACGAGTGGGTTACGAAAGTTGGCAGCTCTCCCGCCCTCTCCATACCATCCAACTGCCCAGTATAAACATTGTTTAGATGCAGTATCTACTTCCAGTTTAAAGCAGGTTATGCCATTCCCTTTCTAAAATGTTTTATACACTGTATATAAACCACAGATACATTCCATAGGACAAGTGAAATACACACAAATACAGGTAACAGATAGTGATATAGTCATAACCTCATGTCACACGAGTGTGGGCGTGTCACAGAGAATCTGGACCAGATGGCAAGACTGCAACTCAATGACCACACTCAACTTCCACCAAACATCAATAATGGGATTAGTTGGGAACTTTATTGATAATTGATAACCAGTTACATTTCTTTAACCCATAGACACTATTACATACCTTGCCAAACATGGTTAATATGACATCCCTAATTGTTCCATCTGGTCTCTGTTTGGTGGAAAGATTCATTGTCCTCCAGCTAGCCCTAATAATGTTTGCTTTAATCACTCATCAGAGAATGAAGTATTAACATTTTCGAAAGTTGTTAGAATCAATGACACTTCAGTTTTACATTTTCAGGAGACAAATATCCAAATAGGATTCAACCTGAGAAAAAACTCCATACTAAATGCATTTTGTTGTAGTTTGGTATTTTTGAGTGAGGCTCATGTGTTGAGAACGGAAAAGGAAAGTATCATCCACACAGTAAAAAAAAAACTAGTCGGTGAACTACAGTACCTGAATGAGGCCAGGACACACTATGAGCAAGAGTTGGTATACAAAAATTTTATACAACTTTGGTTGAATGCAACATTGATTTGTCACTGAATTCAGCAATACAAGCAGCCAACTACTGTTGAGTGGAACCGGCTTCACAACGCAGACTGGATACCGTCTCCAACACTGCCTGGTGGGTACACACTGCTTAGTCTTCACACTGAAGATGAGGTACAAAACACACCAGCCGGGGCTGGTACCTTGTGACACGAACTACAGCACAAGCACCCATTTGAAGAAGCACTGGTGACTATCTCAGAGAGCTGTTTGAAGTATCTGGTACTGACTAGCCTTTATTTTGGTACAGGTGCTTACAGTGACCATGTCCCTAATGATGAACAGTGCAAGCAAGGAATCCCTTGCCATTAGACAGGATAGATGAAGATGTGTTCAACTGCTAGACAAGCTGCATACATATCAGGATTACATTAAAAATGATTTTGCTTTGAAGGTTAGCCTCAGAATGATACTAGTTAAAGAGGTTAATTAATCTCTTAAATTAATTTCTTCTTACATTTTATTGAACACATGACTCATGTTACTTAAAAATAATATGAAAATACCCCAAGCAATCCTTGAACAACGGCTGAAGGCAGTTGAATGACAGTATCTTGGCATCAGCACAAGAGTTTCTGTTGTCATTTTCAGCCATAAGAACATCATCAAGAAAGGCTTGTCGAATTTCCTTAACAAGTGCAAGGTGTAACAATAACATATGTAACAGTAAGCACTGGGATCACAAAGAAAGAATTGTGTTACAGCAGGCCAATCTAACCAGTCTAGTCTTTAAGGCTGTAAGCTCTTTACTTGAACATGCAAACCAGGTAAACCTATTTACATGCAGACAATGACACTCAATAGCCGTCCCACACTGGAGCACTCCACGTGAAGTGCCTATGGACATGCTACCACACCTACACCTACTCGTAACAAGCACTGAGATCACAGTTCTTCTCTTCCATATCTTCTGTCAGCAGAAAGTATCCAGTAACACATTTGTGAAATTTGCGTACAGGTTAGTGTCCAACACAAAAACAGTATTAATCTGTCCATAGATACAATTTGCAGGATGAAGGCAAAGGTTGGCATCAGGCCATCGGGCGTTCAGGCCAACACAGGCTGCTGTCTAGATGACACAGCAGCATCAGCATTGAGCACTATAGAAAGCAGGTCATGTGTTGCCCTGGTAAAGCAGCCCAGGTATCTGTGAGTAGCAAGTTTGTTCGTCAGCCTGTCCGTGTAATAGTTCAATAGATTGGCGACTGGGAGGAAATAGTCAGTTTGTGTGTCACAGACGTGTGGGTGTGTGTATGTATCATCATATTGCTTCAGTACTCTTCATCTTCAGGGTCAACCAAGCCATCGTCCTGACCCTCCTCTGGGGGTGCAAAGCCGTCCTACAAGATACATCAAGTCATCAATTGAATTGTGTTACACAAGAATACATTATAGAACTTATATGTATAGGACTACAGGAAAAAGTGATGCATATATAGCAGCATACAAACATAAATGCAACAAAGGAATATGACATCTACACATTGATATATACAGAGATTATTATATGAGCATGTGTGTCATACTGATTTCAGGAAACAAGTGTCAGAATTCTTGTATTTCCTGAGCAAGATCGAGGGTGATACATGTTATTTTTTTATAACCCATTACTTCTTAATCTTTTCAAGCTCCCCTAGAGATAATTGCACTGATGAAGACCACATTCAAAGTAAACCACAATTGTCGAAAGACGTCAACAATCTTCAGCAATGTTCAGCTATGAATTCGTCTCTAGTGTAACGTCAATTCGACGTTACGTCACAATAAGATTCGAATGAGGTCAACAATGCCATGCAGATGACTGAAACTATAAACTGGTGCGCGTGAAGTGATATTTGCACTAGAGCACACAAGATTTTTAGGAACTCGGCTGTTTCCAACCCTATGGGTAATAAAGGAGTATATGATTGAGACAAGTGATACATAGGTAGAATAAGACTAGGTGTTTTTATTCAGTGGTTTACGGATTCCTTACTACCAGATGCCTTAGGGAGGTCAAAATTAATATAAATATGTGTACATATGATGTTTTATTCTAAATGTTTGGATATATTGTTCATATTGTGAGTTGTTGTAAAGTGAGAAAAGAAAACAACGAATTATCTATACGAATCAACAGATCAACAAAATTCCTTCTATAGGGTAGGAATATGTCAATAATATTACATCTTGCTATATCACAGCAGTCTGTGAATAATCAATTAGCATCAGCCACTGAGAGGTTACACAGAAAGAAAGTTTCCTGGCCATTTGAAACATTTTATAAATTTATCAACACATCATACCATGTTATACTTTCTCCTCTTCAAAATTTAATGTTGTTTTCTTCCAATAGAATCTGCTTCTTACACGTAATAAAAAGTCATTTCAATGTGTCATTGGACATGTTAGATGAACTGATAATTTACAGCAATGTCTGTAAACAAGGACAATTGGTTTGGGCTACCTGAAGTGTATAGCATAAATATATGTTAGGCGAGTTGAACTACCTGGTTTATTCCTTGAACGATGCATGTGTGTATGCATGTGTGTATGTATGTATGTATGTATGTATGTATGTATGTATGTATGTATGTATGCCTGTATGTATGTATGTATGTATGTATGTATGCATGTGTGTATGCATGCCTGTATGTTTGTATGCATGCCTGTATGTATGCATGTCTGTATGTTTGTATGCATGCCTGTATGCATGTGTGTATGCATGCATGTATGCATGCGTGTATGCATGTGTATGTATGTATGCATGTGTGCATGTGTATGCATGCCTGTATGTATGTATGCATGTGTATGCAAGCCTGTATGTATGTATGTATGTATGTATGTATGTATGTATGTATGTATGTATGTATGTATGTATGCATGTGTGTATGCAAGCCTGTATGTATGTATGCATGTGTGTATGCAAGCCTGTATGTATGTATGCATGTGTGTATGCAAGCCTGTATGTATGTATGCATGTGTGTATGCAAGCCTGTATGTATGTATGCATGCCTGTATGAATGTATGCATGTGTGTATGCATGATGTACAAAACTAAAGACAAAGTTTTAGATAGTTAGTTACTTAATAATATATGTTTGTTTGATATTATTATTTATTATTTATGACACTAATGTTTACATACATTATTCATCCAGGGTTTCTTGCATGGACATGACACTAGCAGTCCTTGTAATCAGATGATGACCAATGTTGTACATAGTCTTTAAAGTTCATAAACATTCTCAAACAAATTGTTTCATGATAAACTTTTCCCCACTAACTTCCTTAGAGCAACATAAACACAACATAACAATAAGCAATATATGCAAGAATTTCAATTTTATAATGATTTTTCAGTTGGAAACAATTCATTTTGTACAAATATTGTGATGTCTACGCAATCCTGTTGGGAAACATTCACTTTCTCATGCAGTGCCCAAACATCAGGATTCTATATCAAGAATGAAAACTGTAGGTCATGGCATTACTTGGATGTAATTCTTTAAGCATGGTTCATACAGAAATTCAGTAACCTTTTTATGGCTTTCTAAAAACCAAAATATGTATTTTCAAGGGTAAACGTTGCTAAAATTGCAGCTTTTTTAAAGAAATGTTTCTGTCGTGATAAGAACGGAACGCTATATGCTATACATCCGAGTTTCCTAACTGCTTGTACCATGGTGTTCTATCTAAATGTTAAAGCTGAAACCTTTGATATGGAAATATTAATCGGGCAACTTTCATTGTAAATTCTTGAAACGAAACCTTACATACAAAATTCAAGGAATTCGTGGCTCATGAACAATTTTTTAAAACCATTTCAAGGTATTGTCACAGTTAAGGCCTTTTCAAGATGAAGTATCTTAATTAAGGACCTATTTGAGTCTGTATGAACCTTGTTAAGAATAACTGTGACTGGCTGCAGTGCAACAGAGCAGCCTGTCAAGCTGGCTCTAGGAGCTGTCTACGGTCAAGCCTTATCAAAAGTTTAACACATTAGCGAGGATCAACTCACCGCTTCCTACACCAGCAACTTCTCACTTCCGACAGGTGTATGGTGTTAGTAAACAGAAACGGCTATTAATATGGGTGGCAACAAAGTATGTTTATGTATTTATGCAGGAGTAGTATCATACTTGTTGTTTTGGTAGAGACTAATGTTTCAAGGAATAACGACAGCTGACCACCTGGAATATTTTACTGGTACAAACTTTGACTAGGGTGTCCCGTGTTGTTGAATCTTTGACTAGACATACAGTAACAATTATTACTTCTTGCTCCTCTAAGCTGGTTTCTTTTCGCACATTCTATTTGTTTTCCCCCTTTCTTTTTGTCAAAAATAGAAATAATATATTCATTTTTGGTTAGTGTTATTTTTACTGAAGTTGGTCTATCCGTAAACCAAAAAATAAAACATCCGTCTCCTAATACAGCAATAGTTCACTTCTACATGGTGTAATAAAGGGTCATGTAGAGCTTCTAGTGAGTGAATATTCACACCGCAGTCAGCAATATTCCAGCTATCTTCAACGGTCTGTAAATAATAGGGTCTTGACAAGGCACCTAAGCTGATGGGGTAAAATGACACACAATCAACCAGATGACAACCAGATCCTCACTACACTTGGCCCTTACAACAAGTATGGGGTGATGGGGACTTATTCTGGGCTGGAATCCGTACTGTGTTATCGCTTCAGTATGAGAGTACAGTGTAGTACAGAAATAAATGACTACAAAGTGCACCGGTATATATAGGAATATATGACGTCTTCAAAGTGTCTACAGGATTATATGACTTCTACAAAGTGTCTATAGGAATATATGCGTAATCATGGTACCAGGTAATACAGGAATATATGACATCTGTGCAGAGTAGTGTATAGATATATGTGATAAGGGATGATATCAGTTGAATACAGGTGTATACTGATGATTTCAGGAACATAGGTCTCCAAGTAAACATGAAGCATAAATGAATATGAGATTGAGCAACTTTCAATGATCATGAAGGTATGAGAACTTAACAGAACAGTTATAGAGGAACAGTTATATCATACACATGATTCATGATTTAACCATATGGAAATTGTAAACATTAACAAGAACCTAATAAGAGTTATAAAACAATGGATCAGGCATTACTACTTACCCACTTGCCTACTGCAATGCCTTAATAGACAATAGGTAGCCTTTGGGCAAGAACATAATTCAAACTTTGAGACATATATTATTTAACATTTATCATCTGCTGAAAAATTACTTATTACTTGTTATATGACAAGAGAAATTGTCAACTCCCCCTGATTTCTCACCTCTGTTGCATACAAGATCTCAGAAATTGACTTAATAACTGGATCATCATCAATATGGTCTTGGCAGATGATCTCAATGTCGCGCAGCTTGGCGAAATAGAAATCCCTCTCCTTCTCCAGACCTTCCACGGTGAGTCGGAGTTCCGAAATCTGAAATCAAATGTATATCATCAAGCATACATGGTGACTCGGACAAGCTGGAAGTGAGTGAGTGATTGAACAATATTCCAGCATCGTGTGGAAGGAAAGCCCAAAGTGTCACTGATGATAGATTAGATGTTCACCACTTTGGTGAAAGCTACTGCCACAGGTATGGTGCCGACAAACCAAGGATCATAATCCAGGCAAATGCTGGATTTGTACCAAAGACCATTACATCCTGGCAGCCAAGGGACACAACTCTATACAGTGAGTTGAAGCTCCTTTGGAGACTGTTCAGTACAGTAGACTGTCTAAATCATCACAATACAAGACAGGCCAAATATGCAGGTTAAGACAGTGCTGGACTACTCCAAGTTTGTCAATTTAACCATGGCAATTAAGCAGGCAGGCAGTCAGACAGACAGACAGACACAGAGAGAGATGACATACATTTGCCTCCAAATCAGCAATCTTGTTATCTTTGTTGTCTTTGCTGCTAGCATGATTGTTCGCAGAGGGCCTGGCTGCAGGTGGAGCCACCCTTTTTGTTGTTTCCGTCACTACAAGGCAAGTGGAAGAAGTCAGTGTACTTATATCAGCCATTTAGTCAGTGTTCGCCATGCTACACACAACTACCACAATGCCACAACTTGAACATTTCAATAGTCACAGCTCTAAGATTGATTGTCAACAGGGCCCTGAACTGAGATCAAGATCCAGAGATCCACATTACTTCCCTTTTATTAGAATCTGGCCATGCTCACATGAAGGTTTCAATTTGTACATTATGTAGGCCATTGTGCAGCCATTTCAATTTTTTTTTAAGAGTAGTCTCATCCTTATTCTTGTCTGGGACATGAACATGTTCTGGGAAAATGATATCGATAAGTTCGGTACTTTTAAAATATAAGTGATTTAGTTCAGGGATGGATGGACAGAGAATAAATATATATACGATGACAAAAGATCCAAGTTAAGAACATGTCAAGTAGAACTAAGTAAAAATCTTTGTCACTTTACTAATTAATGCGAGTAAGGGACTCTTACATTTTGCACATGATTTAAAGTAATTGTGAAGTCTTCGCTACTCACTTGGCTTGGCTGTCTTGACTGTTGGGGACTGTTTGGTAACCCGGGGTTTGTTAAAGGCACTGCCCTTTGGCCCACTTCCAAGAGATTCACCGCCTCTAGCATGGACGGGATCGTAATCACGCATGTCAAAATTTGCATCAAAAAACTTTTTGAACCATTGAACAAATTCAAAGTTATCCTGGAATTTTCCTTTCACCAATCGATCTACAGGAACAATCTGAGAAAAAAACACAAAGAGGTCATAAAGGAATAGGCCAACAAAAACAAGGTATTCAGTTGCACCATAACTGACATGGTAAATACAGTATGAAAAGTAGAAGGCTAGTTCAACAAAACTACAGATTCAATCTAAATAATAGCAATATTTTAAACTCATCTTTTCATAATCATTATAACAATAAGCCATGTTACAAGAGGCATTAAATACATTACAGTGTGAAAAGACTGAATTGTTCTAAACAAAGCAGCATATCATTCCTTTGATTTCATGTGATATATTATGTATTACATGCCATCAGGACCAACTTAAAGATCCTATGTTATAACAGCTATCGCAGACATGCCTGAAACAATGCACAACCAATGAATGATATATAACACATGTATAATGTACAGTCTGCAATGAAGATGATGAGAGTTATTGTAATATACAGGAAGCAAAGAGCACAGACGAAATGACAAAAAACACATGAGTGAACACGACCTCCAATGATGAGTGGAACACAAAGCAAAGCTAGCAAATAAGTGTAATTTTGAAACCACATAAAGTACGCCAAATGCAGAGAAACATGGACGGAGATTGTAAATATTACTGTTAAATAACTTCATTAGATAATGCAGCCCACACTATTATCTTTAACGATGCCATATTTCAGCAGTTTAGTTACTATCATATCAGGCCAAGATGGCCAAACTGTAACAACCTCAGATACGTTCAGGGGATTTTACTCCTCTTCATTCACTTTCAATAATCATGAAAAGTTGACAGCTGAAAATCCTTTGAAATCAGATCTACAATTTCATACAATTTCCCAGAAAACAAAACCTTTAACTGTAATTCTTACTTTTGGAATATGATGATGACAACACAGTGTGGACTGTGAAACATAAACAAACTATCTATCACTATTGGTTTCCAATCAAGTGGTCCAGTTACCCTAACTCACATCTGCGGGGTCAATGATGAGACAAGACGGGGTTCTGAGGCTCACCTTGCAGTCACAGTCATCTCATTACTGCTCATGTTATATCTCTTACAAACCTACTGCCTATTGTAATGTAGGTATCTTTCTATCTCGTAATAACCTCTTGGGAGGTTTCACTTTTTCCTAAAAGGACCTCATCCCGGATATGAGGTTTTACTTTTTGCTAGTAAGACCTGATGATGTGAGTAGCAGATGGAAGTTGGACTGAGTGTTTCAAACAATGTTCTAAAATCGAAGACAAGACATGAAACTTTTCACTGTGGATGTTGGGAATCCAACCTGCAACCTAACATATCGTGTTCAGTTTTGTAACCCACTGTTTTCCCACTGAGCCACCGGGGCAGGTGTTGTGAAAATATTCAATTTGAGATGTCATGACTTAGTTTTGTCTATGGTGCACGTTTCTCTCGCACGTTTTGATCACATTCCTTTTTTACAGTATTGTTTCACTATAAGATGTCTCGATGTTTCCTCTTTTTTTAACTGTCATTTCTTGCATTTGGATGGTTTATAAATGAGATTAAGCACTCCTCCTCAGTCATGGCCGAGGAAGTATTGCCGATACCCTCTTGCCTTGGTCCTACTTCCTAGGTCCTACTTCCTCGAGCATAACCTCAGAGTCATACATTAATCCATCACATACATCTTACATCTTTTGCACATGATAGCACATTATTACTTTTTAAACTTACAATTAAATCATCATCAAACATTAGCAAACTTTATGATTGAATAAAAGTTGTTGTTTTTTTCTATATTTGTATGACATAAATTTATGTTTGTATCTGACACAAGTTCTTAATATTTAATTTACAGATGGATATTTCAAACAACATTCCATGGCTTATGCTCACGACAACCTCTGGCCGTAGTGAACAAACTGGAGGCAGAGATTCAGGGGTCAAAACTTCCATCCATTACCCAGCACAGTACCCTGCATCAGCTGGACAAGCAACTCCACCACAGGAACTGGACTGTCATTCAGTGCCCTATGTCAGCAGTCAACTTCTCACTCAAGGTTTGAAAATTCCAGTGAGAGGTCTCTGGTTCTGGACCAAAATTTCAAACTTTTTCCTGTTATCATGGTTCCCAAATTTTAAAACTCTGTTTTAACCTTTATTTAGTGTTTTATTGAGAAGATCCAGGGGACTTGTTAAGATAATTTCAGACACTGTCTCTATGATGAACTGTGCAGAGGTAAGTCCTCTGGTTTGTGTTTGAAATGAAACAATCTTGTCAGTGGCTGGCAAGGTACACACACAAAATAATTTAATAAAATAACAGGCTTGTGCATGTTGATTCAATATTGAGCAGCTGTTTTAACCCCTGACTCACTGACATTACAGGTGACAAGATGCAAAAACTTGAGGAATCATTTCACCATGTTAACTGATCAAACATCAAAACATTTCTCAAAACTAACCAATTGAAAAAGATCCTCCCAGAGACACCAATAATAACTGACTCTTCACAATGATCCACAAAGATGATCCACAATGATAAAAAGCTTAAATTTAAAAATGTGCATTGACTGAGGTGTGAACTATGTCAGAATCAAATCGTGAGGATGGGGTGATCTGCGAGAGAGGTGCAAAAAATGTTCAAAACATGCAAGAAACAACTCACTCTTGGAATGGAACTACAAGACACTGACACAAGCAGTCTACCAACAGTGACAAGACAAACAGCCAGCTTACCAGCTTCACTTACCTTATCTACATTCATCTTTGTGAACGACTGTTGCAAACACTTGAAATTGTTTATGTATTCATGTTCTAATTTTGTATTGAATTTTATCCTTTTCATCTGAACTGACCCTGCAAGAGGAAAGACAATTCCTCCTTAAGCAAAATATCAAACCTCTAAGTTGCTGTCACAAACACCACGTCCTCAAACTGGTCTGTCCATAGCTGACATACGGATGTGCACATGGCAGTTCTCAGTGGACAAGGAAGTATCTGGGGGACCAGTGCAGCAGGTACTGACAACCAACACGTACACCTGCAGTCAGCTATATCCTCCCATGCTTCATGTGGCACAGTATTTCAAACATGACGGACAAAGAGACAATTTCTGGCTTTGTCATGATAGTGGAATAGTTTATGATTTGGTGTCCAGATATATCATGCCCAGGCGGTCATCCCAGCAGGCTAACCAATACATGTTAGTATGGACAAGTCTCGGCCCTAAGAAACTGGAGGAGTGTTTGAGGTCATGTGGTTTGAGAGAGCAAACATCATACACACTACAGTATATCTGTGTCAAAGATTAGTAGTGGTGTTAGTTCCTGCATGCATCAGTGAAGAGGGTAGAGGAGGTAGGAGGAGTTGTTGGGACCAGCACCCACTTGCACAAAGTGATCTTTAGCACAGTTTGTCAGTCTATGTTAAAGTAAGGGATTAACCATCATTGTAATGCTAAGATTGCTTTGTGCAAGTTGGCCCAGTACCATTGACGGAGAGACACTAATATGCACAGACATTGAAAATATCAGCAACGAATCTCGTACAGTGCCACTAAATAGTGACACTGTTGAAATATTTTTGAGAAATTAAATTACGAAAGCAGTTTATCACAACAATCGATAAGCAACATGTTGCCATTCAGTATGTTCAGTGCTATGCATGTCCAGTCCCTGCCGACAGGTATCGGGTCATCCCAGCGTTAGAGGGACCTAAGCATTCAGTGGATCATGCAGTAAGCTGCAAATAAAACAACAGTTAAGGCCCACTGCAAAATGTGCCAGTCGTAGTCACATCCGACCTGTGTGCAAGGCAGTTAAGGAGTCTCATGAGGCAACATGAGTTGCCTCCCCTGACCATCAGGTCAGACATCGTGTAAGTCACCTTGTCGACACCATTCTTCTTAAAACTCCCTTGCAGCAGCTTGAAATTCTGAATGGCTTCATGTTCTAATTTGGTGTTGTATTTGACTTTCTTCAAGAGAATAGTGCCTGCAATAGGGAATTCAGTCACAAACAATGTCACAAGCAGGACGGGGACACACAACATCACCTGTATATATGGGCTTACACCTCTGTATTATACATATATTGAATACACCATATAGTACACCTCTTACCCATTCAATAAATACAGTAATATACAGTAACATAAAGGAATATAGTACAATACTTCCAAGTCTTACCTCCATATATGAACATGATAAACCTCCTATCACAGACATTTTCTTACATCATGTACATTGTCTCGGCTGTTCAGATAAGTTAGTGACTATTCAAGTTATGTTACAAACACTTCCTTCATAGAGTTGCAATAATATTTTCCAAAAGATCTTATTACCATGAACACTGCCTCAACATATTCTCCACTTTATCACATGTAAATCAATACTGTATTCTTTTTCAGGTTAATAACTGTAATACTTTCAAGGGCAAGTAAAGTGAAAACAATGATTGCGATTTTGCTGCGAATATCAATTTCACTAGATACATTCTGAAAGTGAAAAATTCATCATATTCGTAGAAAGTATTCCTATGTTCAGGTGAAAGTGCTGAAATCACACGCTCCCTAATTGGCTTACAAAACAAATCTATTAGGGGACGTGGCCTAAAGCTACTGGCGCAGCAGAGACAACTATTTTCATTGGCTGATATGTTTGCTGCGTTTATCTATCATGCAATTTTTAGCCATTATACATATACTGTAGCAAAACACCAGCTGACCTCGGCCCTATTCCACACAATAAATGCCTGTCAGGGATTAATCCCCTGCGAAAACAACTGAAGGCATCTTCAGTGTTGTTACTAAGGTGACATAAATAGTGGACACGGTAATCAAATAGATGAGCAGACAAAAAAAATCTGAAGCAGAATCAGGCAGACTGGGTGTCGGCCGAATTGTCGGGATCGTGTCAAACGCCAGGAACCAGTAAGGGGAATCCCATCAGTGGCAGAATTGTTCGTTTGGGGCACACAATTTTGCCTGTCGTTTTTTATTGACTTTTGTACGCTATTTCCATTTTTCATATTTAATTTTGGTCAAGCCTTTGTGATTAAATATGTGTTAATGTAATAAAATCTGCAAGGTTGCCATGTAGACTAAACTTGTCCTTTAATATTGAAGACAAATCTCAAATAATCCAAATGATAGGAAAGCAACATCAATAAGATGCAAAATTGTTTAAGGCCGATGGAGATGTCAAAGTGCATACACATAATGCATGGAGCATATAGGAAGAACAAACATCAACAAGACACAATCACAGATGCAGCTTAACAACTGGGAAACAAAGTCATCTATGAACAAAATCCTTGTCGGAAGTTGATCTACATGGTAATTTATTCATAGCTTAAGGTACCGCCGTCATATAGCTGGAATATTGCTGAGTGCGGCGTAAAACAACAAACCAACCAACCAATCATAGCTTAAGAAATCGTAAGTAAAACATAATGTCACAAATCCCACTGGTTCACAATTCATTTCTGAACATATCCTTACATTAATCATAATTTTAATTGTTACATTACAGCATCAGTAAATGACAAAACACACAATGTATTGATAAAATTATTTTGATATATATTTATCCTCATTTTGAAGTCCATAAACTAAATACAAAACATGTGATATTACAGTGCTATTTCCTTGGCAATACATTCTGCTACTGTCACATTTTGTTTTTAATGAACTGAAATCTTGTGCCACTCTGTTACTAAAACCAAACAGAAAAATACATTCAGTTAGAATGAAAGACAAACAAGTCCTTTTCGTAACTCCATTATTTAAGATTGAGGATTCAATAGACAAATATACTATGGCAAAAAATGTTAAATTCTGGAATCCCTCTTAATTTCTGACATGATAAATACAAATGGTTAATCTGTGTTTAACACACTTCCAGTTATTAAAATAACATAACGTTGGAGGAGCTAACAGTAAACTAGATCACTGCCCTTGTCTAACTCTTTAAAATTATGATTGATATAAGCACAATACGCATAATGAGGATCAGGACATAAAATATATTAATAAATGTAAACTTTATCCACAATAATAAAATATTTTGTTTTTTTATGTCTTTCAAGTCATAACAGATATATAATTTTAATAGCATTTAGTCATTTTGGTGGTTTCATCTAAGACAAAAATGCATAACTTTGTGCAGTGAGCAATGAAACACATGGGCTAACCTAATCTTTCAGTGAATGTAGCGGACAAGTGGTTAACTTCCTCCTGCTACACGACTAAGATAACCTGCTGATACTGAAGGTTTGAGTTGCAGCTTTGATGAGGTAGTGAGTTACACTAATGAGTTTGAGATAGCAACTCCCCTGCTTGCTGTGGCAGGGATTGGTCGGCCACTGAAGTTCAGACAGCCCCAGTGGGAAGGGGTGGAACTGCCATGCTATATAATGACCGGCCCCACTAGGGTGCAGTTTACACACTATCACAACTTCCTGCCTACCACTACTGGCAGTCAGATGTACTACATACTTCCTGATATTACTGACTGAACCAAGGCAAGAATGTTTCACTCATAAAGGTGGTTTTGTACTTTGGGCATTATTATTATGTACCGATTGAAAAAAAAAATGCAGCAAAGAGGGTTTGGGTGATCCTGACACAGTCAGGATGGTTAGGCTCATCATCAGCTCAGGGGCCTGGCCCCCTCTACACGCAGCCCAGACAGCCCAGACAGCGAATGGGACTTCTCCCAGGAAGCGCTGCCAAGTCAAACCCACCCAGAACTTTTCGGAGAATGTGAAGACTCCCCAACACTTCAACGCTCCTGCATTACCCATAATGTCAGGTAGCTGGCTGTATTCCTGGTAGCAAACCTGGGTATTATGATTATGATGATGATGATGATGGTGATGATGATTATTATTATTATTAATGTTATTGATTTATAATATATAACCAGCATTTATGTTCATTAATACTAATTCCAACAGAGTTGATAATGGGTAAAACTTTCTGTATTGCTCACTGGTTCGAAAGAGAAGTCAACCGTTAAATTGGGATTGATCATGATAAGGCATAGACTGCATTCGTTATCACTCAGCATCCTACACATTAATAATAATATTTGCAATATTATTATAATATACTTCCCTTGAATCAGCAATACACACATACTGGATCATAAAAGAAACCCCATTGATAACATTTTTTATTCAATTTCTTGGTTTTAACTGAAATAAACTAATCATGCTGAACACTACTAAGAACAACATGCAGACGAACTAGCTTAAACTGAATTGTGACCTGGTAACTTCCATACAGTGTCTGGTACTGTCTACCCCATTTATCATGTTTATCACAGTGCCCCTGCCAGACTTTATACCAATGACTCTTTGACATCTCTAAGGAAACTGCCAAGCTGCCAGTATCTTACTTGATGTTTATGGTAGCAGCCTGTCATGTTATGAGTGTTAGTCAGCTATACTCTACCCAGGAAGTGCAGTGAGTAACTAGTGGCTGTCAAACTGACTCCATCTAACCTGATTACCCCTGTAATTCACTTACTATTAATAGGTTAAGGAGGATTCTACTCTTAATGGAATCACTATTTTGGCCATACATTATTTTTTTTGTTGGATTTAAAAAGTTGAAAATTCGGGGGGGGGGGGGGGGGGGGGGGGGGAAGAAGAAGAGAGGAGAGGAGAGAAAATCATGATGACAAGGTTTTTAGTACCGCCGATGGTAGATGGTAAAAATCACTTCTACAATAAAAATAATTCAAGGGATTTTTAATGAATAAAACTGAATTTTTTTCAACAATAAATTAAATCACCTTTTCAATCCAAATCAAACTTTAAACATGATAAAGATGATTAAAAAATCAAGTCTTTGAATGGAATTTAGAAGTGATGCACAAAAGGAAGAGATTTATGGATATTAACATTCTCTTCCTTATGATTAAAATATCCTGTTCAATACATTCACTAACAAAATCCATAAACAGCAAAAACAAACGTCCTGCTGTGGTCTTGGCTTAAGTGACTACTGGCTTATCAGTTGTAACTAGACCTGACACAAGGGTGTGAGTCATGCTCCTGTTTTACCTTGTCCCTGACAGCAAAGACATTTTAATACAGAATCCATCTAATTATCCAATTAACTCCAAGAACGTTAAAACCATAAACAATGTTTCATTTACATGTCTTCATGTTTAACTTTTCCCTTGCTAGTATTCACCTCAGACCTGATTTTTTACTAGGCTTCCCATGAATATTTTTTGTCATGCTGAATGATTAATCATGGACTTTCAGGCAGTTGTGCAAGATACCTCAAGCAAAAATAATCATACAGACATTACAAAAGATCATAACAAATTTATAAAATAATTGTTTAAACAATCATATACTAACACTCTAAAAAAAAATAAATTGTTGTGTACCTCTAATATGATAAAAATTGTCAAATGTTTTCTTGTGTTTCTTCAGTTTATTCAAGAATTGATATCACTATTTTTAGTGTTTTAATATGGTGGAATAATCGTAAAAAAAAAAATGAAATTTTGATTAACTGTTATTCAATATGATTGGGAGTGTATTCATTTACATCCTTGCCGGCATGTATGAACTTCATATCTGCACATGGTGAATACAACAGCCTCAAAATGGACCTTCCTTGGACGCATATACATAGCATGCGATCCGGAGCAGAATATGTCTTAAACAACCCCTGCCTGCCGTAAAAGGCGACTATGCTGGTCGTAAGAGGCGACTAATGGGGTCGGGTGGTCAGACTCAGTCAGGACGATCTGATCAATAATCATGATCTATATTGTGATATAACGTGTCTTGCATCGCGAAATGCATCAAATCACGTGTGCACCTTGATTAAAAACATGACAGAATTTGGAAAATATCTGCTGACAAGTTGGCGGTGCACATGCTTTGCAAATCCTGCAATCGATCGAAATCTACGCAACAGTTTACGAACCGGATTTCAATTTCGGTGCATGATTTTGATTGGACTGTGAATAGACTCGTTAGTCCAGACAAAATGTAACTCCATAATACCAGCCCAGTTTACTGCTTTCATAAAATTTGCAATATTCAATTATGTCAACAGCATACCATACATAACACTGTAATCTAGCGTAATACTCTGAACCTCTTCATATTACATCAATAGTAAGTCACAGGTTTTAATGAGCATCAACAAAATGTTGACACTTAGAGGGCATCAAAGGGGCCTTGAGGTTTTCTTCTGATATCTTAATGCTAATCTCCATCATCTTTCCTTTTAACATGAGAGTGATGACAAGGATCGTTGACTTCTATTATAAATTGTCACATTGTAACTATGTGGAATCGTTATTTCTGCTTTCTGAATGAAATTTAAGGTAGACTGCCACACCCTTGGTTTTCATTGAAGTTTACAAGGCGATACGTAAATAAACTTGATAATAAGTATCTGTACTATATACCTGAAGAAATGTACTCTACTGAATATGTCTCTACACAGACTAAACAGAGGCAATACATGTGGAATCTGGGACAAGATGGCTCAGGAACATTAATGACATGCAGCTTACCTTTCTCATAAGTTATATAGACAACAAACACAATACTCACAATGACAGTATGTAATAAATGTGATGCTATGTAATATCATTAGTTGTAAATCTCAGAGTTTAAACACATTTATCAAGGTTCATACAGATATGGAACAATTCAAGGCATTTCAAGGATTTTTAGCTGGTTTATTAGCCTTCGTCTGTCAATATATATTTTTTAAATCAAGCATACTATATATTAATCATAAGACCTGAAAAGCAATATGAACATCACAAATTTTCCAATAAGACTTATTTTCACAACCAAAAATAAAATGCATTAAGTCAGGGAAGAATTTCAAATACATGTACTTATATTAACAGGTATATATGTCCTTTTGTACAAATTCAAGGCTTTTCAAGCTATTTGTGATTTTCAAGGCTTTTCATGGCTGACACTAAAAAATCATCAAGGCTTTTCAAGAGGGACCTCAAAATACAAGGGCTTTCCAAGCCTGTATGAACCTTGTTTATACATGGAAGAATGAGTGAAAAAAATCAATTAAATGATTTTCATACATTGATATTTGTAGGACATGTAGAAAGACAACTATATATGACAACCACATGGTATAAATCTATCTGCGCACAGATTGTACAATAAATTGATACTTTGGTCAAAGCTTACTACAGGCGTTTATATTTATGACAGTGCGTTGCACTTATCAATGAAGACGATATGCCCTTGGATCCAGCTGTCTCATGACTCATCCATGTCTAGGCCACATTCTTCACTGCATAGAGATGTCTAAGCCATATATTCATAAACATTCAGGACCAACATTCATTTATCTGCCAAGTAACTATAAACAACATTATAATATTTATATAGATACTTCAGCTCAGAATGGTCCTCCATGGTATATCAACCTGGACAAAATACATTCTTCTTTGCGACTAGATTGAGGTGTTTTTTTCAGGCACTCATCATGGCTTCGTCCATGTTTATTCATATTAATAATATCCTGACAGTTAAGAGGTCAAAGGAAAGCCTAGAGCTACTACAGTGTCATTGTGTGACGATAACTCACCTGGAAACATCATGTCCATAAACTGGCAATATGAACTACCTGAAAGGAAAGAAAGCATTCAGTTAAGCATCTACTGTTTGTATAGAAACACATGCACAAAGGTTTGCATTACCTATTTAACCCAAACTGTCAACAGCCATTCACTAGTAAAGGAGGTGAAGTAATGTCATGTTTGCACTGCAAACAAATGTTACCCATGGTCTTACAAACAGACAAATGACAGCTTTGATTAGAATGGATTCATTGAAAGTGTTTGTATTGTGATACTGTCATCTACACCATGCATGTCGTTTTCTGAAGGCTTGTAAATGCATCAACATAAATGACACATACATATGTGTGATATTAGGTAGTCTTGTAATGTTGAACAGAGGTTTGGAACCAGACTGTGTGATACATCATGTTTCATAGCTGGCCAATGGATAGCATGACAACATAAACCATTGAATACAGAAACAGTTTCGGTACAAATGAAAAATAAGTGGTTTTCAGTTTAACATGTTTAATAAATCATCATTATTTTAGATGCTGTGATGCCAGCAGGGGTTTCAAGTAGAAAAAATATTTAGGGTTGTCCTCTCATAAACATCCCCGTTCACTGCTCCAACTGGCATGTTGTGGCTATGGGCATGTTAGGAGTCCTTTAGCAACATATTTAGAGTCAGTCTATCGCCAACATGAAATGGACCATTCAAACACCATGGCCATATTAGGAGTCGCTTAGCAACATATTTAGAGTCAGTCTATCGCCAATATGAAATGGACCATTGAAACACCATGGCCATATTGGGAGTCGCTTAGCAACATATTTAGAGTCAGTCCATCGCCAATATGAAATGGACCATTCAAACACCATGGCCATATTGGGAGTCGCTTAGCAACATATTTAGAGTCAGTTTATCGCCAATATGAAATGGACCATTCAAACACCATGGCCATATTGGGAGTCGCTTAGCAACATATTTAGAGTCAGTCTATCGCCAATATGAAATGGACCACTCAAGAAAACAAACTCTTTACGTCAAATTTTCAAAGACATGATAGATATGATGACATATCATGCAAAATGTGAAGCAATATTTGTTTTATGCCAGGTCACATACCTCTATCAGTAAAAGTGAATTGAGCATGTTGAGCAGCACCACAAACCATGCCACTGCTTTGAAACCTTGTTGCATGATCAAGTTTGGTTTAACATTGCTGATAACAGTAATTCAGTATGGCTGGCATGTCAGGTTAAAGAATGTCCCAAGTGATGCAGCTCCTAAACATTTACACATTGGGAAAAATAACTATTTTGTTGAACTTCATATTTTTCTCTTTGTCATTATCATCAAATTAGTTATAATTATTTTGACATAACTTGGTCATGTTTTAATTTGCTGCAGACCTGGGGCTAAACATCAGTTTCTTGGCAGGCCAAGAAAAATCCCTGATACCCATGATAACTGACTGAAACACAATTATCATTTCATTATACCTAAACAAAACTAGATGTCACAACTGAAAATAATTTCAGTACATGGAACATGAATGAAAAGAATATTTTAATCTCATTTTCTTGATCATGTTGACACACATGATAAACAGTGCCAGTGTCCGAAATAACAGCCTGCCTGCCAACCTGTAGCTGGTTAACTTTCCTGTTGGGCTGCATGAATTTTCTTCTACCTGCCAGATTGACAGATATTGTTTTGACTCCTCGTGTATTCAGTTTTAGCTTAAGTTTAACTCCTTGAAGATTCTCAAGTAATTGTTTGCATTATTTCAACTGAATCAAGATGCTATTTGTCTCTTATATTTTGAATTTTTCAATATTTAAACTGTCTGAAAGCGGGCAGGTAACTTTGACAATGGGCAGCAACACTTATGGGTCACCTCCCCAACTGTCTTGTTGGGTATTAAAATTATTTCAAACACTCAACAGTGCTTATAGTAAATTGTCCCAAACATTTTCAACTGGGATCATTCAGCATTATGATATTGATAATGGGTTGCTATGCACATTTACACTGTATCATTATATAATCAATGCATTTGATGTTGAGGCCACTGCAGCATACCCAGTTTCAAACCCAGAGTACAGATAATAATGTATCCTGAATGTAATAGAAACTTCCTTCTGTTTTCCATACTGCCTGGAGAAGTACAAAGAGAGAGCAGCTGGTTGCCGTGGACAACCCAAGCCACACATGGGCACTGCCAGTGTTACTGTGACAAGGACAGAAACAGAAACAAACACTGGGCAGCATGGGTGTGGCTGTCTGTAAACGGAGTCATCCAAAGAGACAATCAGCAGGATCCAGCAAACACTCATCCCACACAAATCAATACTGTCTGCTGCATTCATTACTTCAGACAGAATGCCTTAAATGGTGCTTCTCAAAGACGTTTGTGTTAAACTATCACACTTGTACTTGTGTGTGCTAATATGGCAGCCTAGCCAGGGTGAGCTAAGGCAGTGGTTTTGCAGAGACATATGGTATTCATGATTTCATCAAATTTATATCTTCAAAAAAGTTGAAAAATATATGTAGACATTTTAGGTGATAATCAGTCAATGACCTAAGAAATAAACAGATCTGAAACCATATCTAAAGTGAGTGAGTGAATGTTGTTTTACACAAAATCAGCAACATATAAGCTGGAACAAAACAGCCTTTTACATCAAATTGGGACCAAGCAAACCAATGGTTGACAGGAGAAGTAACACCCATCCCATTGGAACATGGTTACACACAATCAGTCAGGTCACACATCTTATTCAGCTCTATCGAGCACAACATACCCTTTCCTGTAGAAATTCCAGGTGAGAACAACAACCATGCTTGTCCATGAGGCTACTAGATAGATCATGGTTGGTTGGTTGGTTGGTTGTTTAACGCCACACTCAGCAATCGAGTCTGGACCAGACAGTCCAGTGATTGATATCATGAGCATCAATCCACACAATTGGGATCGATAACATGCATTAACCAAGTCACCGAGCCTGACCACCCGATCCCGCTATTAGCCTTTTACGGCAAGCATGGGTTGCTGAAGACCTATTCTACCCCGGATCTTCACGGGTGAGATCATGGTCAGGATGGTAACTTGGTTGATTGTGTGTAGCGTGCAATGTTGCCCATAATTTCAATCACTTGTTTGTCTAGTCCAGACTGAATTATATACAGGCTTCCTTCCTACAGGTCCAATAGCTAGAATATCGCTGAGTGTGGTATAAAACTACAAACAAATATATCCTATATTGATGAAGAACCAAAGCAAAGAAAAGATGGAAAATAAAACCAACCTGAACATAGCTCCTCAATTTTTGTGTAGTTAGCTTGTAAAGTGTCATTGACCCAACCAATGATGTCATGCCGACTCAAGTTTTCCGCTGTGGCACTTGTGTTGTACACATTTACAGCCATGTTGAAAGCTTTATTGTCTGCAAACATACAATCAAGAAAATGGAAAAAAACAGTACAAACATTAATACATTCAAACATTGAGATATTACCTGACTACCATGGTTACCGACACCTGATCATCCTGATAGCCACAGAATGGGATCAGAACAAGCTAGATTATTAACTACCAGAATTTAACACGAACTGGGTGATAGCAACAGCCTCATGTTAGTAGAGGCTAGACTGGCAACATGTAATAAATGAAAATACTGGGAAAATTCTTGTTAATTTCTAAATCAACAGCTGTTTTTCCTTCAAAAACAACACAATTTGAGCTCACTGTGAGTCAAAACTTTCAACTTTGGTACATAATGACATTTCACACTGTATGTACAACACTGAATATTCAGACATTAGTGATAAGAGCAAGTGTGGCTAAACTCCACAAAACAGTATTGCATCAAAACCAATCTCTTAACAATGGGACCCGTTAAGATCTGGGGTAGAATAGGTCTTCAGGAACAAGCTATTCTTGCAGTAAAAGAAAACTATGCTTGTCCTAAGTCCTTGGACGCACATAAATAGCATGCGATCCGGGGTAGAATAGGTCTTCAACAACCACTGCCTGCTGTAAAAGGCGACTATGCTGGTCGTAAGAGGTGACTAACGGGATTGGGTGGTCAGGCTCGCTGACTTGGTTGATGCATGTCATCATTTCTGAATTATGTAGATCGATGCTCATGATATCAATCACTGGATTGTCTGGTCCAGACTCAATTATTTACAGACCGCTGTCATAAAGCTGGAATATTGCTAAGTGCAGCGTTAAACAACAAACAAACAAATCTCAACAATGATCAATGTTGAAAAACAGCCCGAAGTGATGAATGTAAGCATCTACCAACTTGGTGAAACCCATGAGGGCTAACAGCAAGGACTTTATTCCTCTGATATACTACAATGTGCACTGAATGTGAGGGTGAGGTGACATTGAGTTTAAAGATTATTGCACATAAATAGTCTGGACTGATTCTGGCTTTACAGTGCGAGTCTTGTTTCAACAAAGAGGCCTGCACAGTATCCAGGTTAGAATATCATCCATAATAGCTGGTTGCATATGAAGAGAGAATCCACACTAGGACTGGGATGATACACTCAGTGCGATCCGATACATATCACAATACTTTGCTCATAATCCAATATGTATCACGATAAGTGCATGTGCCATCTTTCTCATAGACAGGATGGCCAAATACCTGGCATACTGACATGGCTCATTGAATGAAATATTTCCGTTTTCACAACTAATTTTCACTGCTAATTAGTGTTTTTGATGTAACAGTTATTAAAAGAAACATTTAAGGTAGGAACCGATATGTTTTACTTAAGGACCAGTCCAAAATTTTGACCTTAATTCTCAGAAAAGTTGAATTTATAAGTTTAGTGGTCTCTTTTGTCAAGCATTCTTATGTTTGCACCACTTTCTCAGAACTTTCATCGACTGAAATTTATTTACTTGGTGTTGAAAATCACTGGTAGAGTTTTTAAAGATAAAATCGGCAAGTCTATAGTACTCACTGCACTAGAAAGACTTACTACCAGTATTGGTGATGACAAAACTCATCAAAAGACTGGATGTACTTAATGACAACTCCTAAAAGCATATGAATAGAAATGGGGTCGGCGAAATATGATCAGAGTTTTTGCTAAGTTTAGTATACAAAATAGAAATGAGGTCAGTTCATTTTGTCAGATGGAAAACTTACACAGCCATTAAACCTCAAACCCTTAAACTTAAGGAATTAAGTTTTTTTCCAACATCAAACTTTTGAAGTGGTCCCTTAGTGTTCGACTGTGATCAATACTTGTATCGATACAATAGTTATACAGATGATTATCATTTGGCCACTATTTGCCATGTCTTGGAAAATATCCTGCCAGATCTTACGGGTGGATTGTATGCTCAGATTTCAGGACAAATTCAAATGTAATTTTATTTTTTAATACATGGCTCAATTTAGCCATATAGCTCAATGCGCCAATGCAACCTATTATCGAGAAATGAAACCTAATATTGATGTCTACTTGCGTCAAGTGCATGTAAACAAAATTCAAATTTGTGACTGATCAACCCATACTTTTCACACATCCATCTTTGAACACACTCAATACCGCTTAGTTTTATTAACTATAATTTGTCATGCTTTCTTTGGTGTGACATCAAACTGTGAGTACTTCAAGATTATGTGCACATGTTCCTATTATGTTTTACAGCAATACCCATTGTCCAATTTATGTAAAATCATGACAGTCATCAGAGATCTCAGATTGTATGTATTTAGATTAGTTTATGCATCTGTTTTTCAATTTTGATAAATTTCTGGGACAAGGTGCAACCTGGCTTTATCTGGTGCAACTAGGTTTTAATGTCAACATGCACCTGGTGCATGTTAAATCAATTTCCTCAAGTGGAGCCCTGGTTATAGCAAATAAATGTCAGCATTAGTCTCCAAAATTAATGAAAAATACAATGTCATTAAAATCAGATTCAGTGCTTGCTACCACTAAACGAAGATGTGGTTCGAGCACCTAAAATTAAGTACCATCAATGGAAGTATGTTCTTCATTGCATATTTAGATATTGTTACGTCTCAAGCTATTTTCATTGACTTAATGTGTAACTAAAATATGTATGATTGTTGATCTTGTTGATGTAAAGAGACAACATTACCTGCAGTTTAGCAGGGGTTGAAAAATACCATTGTCTGACAAGTAAGGTTTAGATGTCGGGCGAGTAATATACGTTTTCTAGCATGTCCGTGGACAAGTGGAGCACACAAAATGAACTGGGTCAAGTTTCATGTGAATGTAATCATGTGATCATGCTACGATATTGCATTGGCCAATATTTTGCTGATGTCCCTGACTGGCAATCTAATTTGCATACAGTTACACCAGTCAACCAATGGGATTAAAACACATCAATGTCAGGCAGGTCAACAATGAGAACCAGGCTTGTTTCATTGATAAATCATAGTAACACTTCCATATATGGCACATGCTTCTTGGACAATGAATGACGAACAGTTGACTACATTTCTTGGAATTTGTAATGTGAGGTAGGTCTAGTGCTGACTTTTAAAGCTTCGTTAGGCCTACCGCATATCGCCGTCTATAAAGCAACCCCACGTATAAGACGACCCCCCTGTAAAAGCCTTTAAAATCGATGCTAATTTATATACCCTGTCTATAAAATGAAGCACGCCACCAGTGCATACACAATCCCTACATTTGCAATAAAAACGTGTTTGGCTTCTGCAGAATTTTTTTACATTGTTTCCCTTCAGCCAATTCAGGGAAACAAACAGATCACAACAATTAAACTTGGTCAATACAAATTTAAAATTTGAGGTAAAAAAACACTAGACATGATCATTTACCGATTACATTGTTTTTCCTGTTCTGATATGCAGAGATTAAGATTACTGTGTGTATTTTCTCGTAAACTAAGCCGGAACTAGCAATCAGCTGTACACACATTTCTCAGAATCTATCAGTGATGTGGTTAATAACAATCCAATAATAGATCTATAACTTTCAAGAATTTTGATACAATAATCGAAAGAATTGAATCTGAAACTATTATTTTATTTGGAATAATTTATTCCTATATCAGTGTTCCCGCTGGCTTTGGAAATTGCCAGTCCTGGTGGACTTGAATCTCTAAAAATTACCAGTCCCCACTAATTTTTGTCAGTCCCAACTTTCAACAAATAAAAAACGCACGAAAATTACCTGGTTTTAATTCCCTCAACATCATGTTCAATGCAATGACGTCTTGCAGTAATTCAGTTAGATCTACACGTCATTCACACAAAGTCCAGTCACAAATTTCTCCTTTGTAAAAATATTTTTACACTAAGTCGCTAAAAATGCATATTTAACCTCGAAGCAAGGCAAAATGTTATTTCCTTGCACTAAAATTGACAAGGGTAAACCTTGATGGTGACAGACAAGCTGACCTCATTTGAAAAATATACTTATATGAATATCGCCGATGTTTTGTTCAACAAGAGAGATTTATAAGGTACTCTAGTTGCAGGGACTGGCAGTCACATGAATTACCAGTCCATGCCTAATTTAACCAGTTAAAAACTGGTAATTACCGGTAAACGCGAACACTGCTATATCAAACTATTTTACTGCATATATTTGAATTAAATTAATAACCATAAGTGTAGCACTTTGGTACAGCTGATCGTGGTTGCCGGATATTTTTGGGGTATGGAATAATTTGACCTATCACCGTCAATATGCCCGCTCGCGTGATAGTGAAAACTTTATGTTGACATAAAATTGTCAAACTACAACAAATATGACTTTCAACGAGACAAAGTATGGCATTTATAATAGATATATTTATTCTCTATCCACTAAAGTTCGTTTCAAGGCGTCAATAGCGGTAATCTGACCATGGTTGCTGTAAATAACGGTGAGTTGTGCTATCTTCCGATCACTTCACACATGATTTCGCCTAAATAAATGTGAACAAATATTTAATGAAATTTTGAATCAAATATATTACAAACATAAGTCCAGATATACAGTGAACACATTTTTATAACCAGATACATGTAATATAATAATGGGATTAAATCGTGTGCTCCAGTTCGGATTGGTTGACTGGTATTTCCGGTGTTACGTGCTCAGCTGATACAGTGGTACCTCGCTACAACGCAAAAAATGGGGTCCAAATAATTGGTGGGCATTATAGACGATGAGCCGTTTAACCGAGGTGAGGCGTAGGGGAGCGCGCTCAGCCAATCTCATTTTTTCGCCTTGATACAAGTTGTTTACGGTTCATAGTGTAAAAATAAATATATATCCAATGTCGTTGAATTGAAGGAGCTATTGGGGTTCTGTTGAATATACTGGACAGAAACCTCCAAACCGGCTACCGCTTCTTCGGCTGTACGTCTGGGGACACAGGGAGACGGCTGTAGAGTTTCGTCATCTTCATCTTCTTCATCATCATCGCCACTTGATTTTTTGTTGTCTGAGGTAATCTCTTACGGCGGGGATGAAATTCTTAAAAAAACTGTCTTTGAAAATGTATGCCGTCATCCACGCATTCTGGAAACTTTTGTAGACCACTGGCAACGTAGAGCGGTTCACATGATGGAGGGCGCGGGGGTTCTTCAATGTTCCTATAATAAGTGGCTTCAACTTATGATTTCCGGTCTTGTTACAAGCAAGGAGCCCTGTAACATGTTGCTTGGCCTTCTTGAAACCTGTCTTCTGCCTGGGATCATTTTTCTCGGCAGTTCTTGTCAGGGAGCATCCAATAGTACAGGCCGGTCAAGCCAGAATAATTGGTTTGATACGGTTACTTGATCCGAATCAAAAGGAATGACCGTCTTGTTGTGACAGCAACTACATGTGAGTTGACAGTGTCGCCTCAAATTGGATTGCCCACTAATTAAGAATATGAACTTCGCTTGTGGTTCTCTTTTATTGCATGCATGTGCTTCTAAGATCAAAGGATGTATAGTGTGAAAAGTTAACTAGTAGAACAATCGTATTTCCGGGGCTTGCCACGGATGTTTTCAATCAGATTATTAGAGCTCTATTCAGCGATTAACGGTTGATTATGCAATGAGAAGCGCAATAGCGAGCGATCACTGTTAAATGTGTTTTTAGATGAGGGGAAAACATCGTGTCAGTGAAAGATTTGAGTTTACATGTATTAAATATGTAAGTAAATTTCGGGAGCCATGCGTTACCACGCGCTATAACCGAGTTAGCACTGTATTGAGGTGCACAATTACGAGGGTACACTGTATCTCTGATTCTCAGTACTGTAGATGTAACATTTTTACTGAATTTATTAGCTTGATTTTGGGCAAGTACATTTTAATATAGGGCAAGTAAGAATGTTGGCCATACTTGCCCTTGGTCAAGTAACATTTTTCATAAATTTTTAACCCCTGGTTTAGGCAATCTGTTTTATGGAGGCCCAATGCCGACTCGGGTCATAAGCTTTGACCTACTTGTAATGACTTTTCAAGTGGGAAGAAGAGTTTGAAGAGCAAATCTGTCAACATACGACCAAGTTGCAAGTACACGAAGGACAGGGCCACTCCTAGCCGACTTAACACATTCCTCTCAACTGTGACAAAAACATGTGATATTTGGCAACTCGGCTGTCATTCACGATGATTCAGTATCTCTCCAACTGACAATTCTACAAATCCAGAACAACTGTTTATGCTGCGGTAATGATTTCACACCATACCCTACTCACGAATGTGTGATGAAATAATCATGTTACCAAGGCAATAATAAATTCATTTATTTGGTCGAAAATGAAGTCTAAATATTCCTGCTGCGATCCCGCCGGCATGACTGAGACGCGCAGTCTGCAACTTCACTGAAGTATTTCGATCTAATGGGATAATAAACATCAAAGGAGACATTTGTAACTTCCAAAAGGTACAGGAAAATATCAAACGGGTATTGAATGGTCACCGAAATCACATTACCACAGAATGAATCATATAATCAAATTACGTACCCGCTTTCACGTCAGTACCAGCTAAACTTCTAGTCTGTCTGTGTGTCGTCGGTTTTAAAATTTAGGTCAATCCTAAATTTAGGAGTGATAGAAATACGGAACTAGAATAAATGCGGACCTCAATTTAGTGTTGCGCCTGAGTCAAATATATGAGGCGACAAAAAGTTAAGAAATGTTCAACACTAACACATATCAATTATTGCAATTGACATTTACCATGGAAAATGAAACATGTTTACGTTAGACAAAATAAACGACTGCCGCAGCCTTACAGAATGATCATGATGTGAGAGTGAGTGAATATTGTGTTTAAAGCCGCTGTGTCAATGTCTAAAGTGAAGCAGGGGTTGGAAGATTACTACTCCCTTGATGATGATGATGATGATGCAAATGGGACACGTCATCATATTTGTTGCAGCAAAGTGTACATTGTCACATTATACAGCTGCGATATCAGACATCCCGGTATATGATCTCTCTACATGGATACGTTCCACTCTCGATATAATGTTAATTTGGAGCACTGATAACACTGATTCTTGAAAAATATAAGTTTATTTTGTTTTGTCTTCGGGGCTAAGGTGAAATGATGCGCCAGTTAGGGTCCATTATGTTGTGCGATGTTTTTTCAGTAACTTGAAAAAAAAAGAAGGAAAAGATACGCATCAAACAATATCATGTCCATTATCACATAAACGCAAAAACATACAGACGGTTATGGGGTTCTTGATAAGCCTTTGATCTAGCTTATATATAACATTCATAGTTTTCTTCTGGTCCAACAAAAGAAATGTTCAAACAAAGGAAAATATGAAACCAAATGAAAAATGTTTACTCTAATGAAAATGGAGATAAATAACTGCAGAAGTGAGGGTAATATACACAGGCTGTGGTTGGTTCTTTTTTTCATTATTTCTTAATTTGGATACATATCTGCATATGTACTGGTATAACCATATGTATGTAAATATATTTCCTCAACGAATGGTGATGTATATTACACTGGATAACCGGGGGTGATACATGATAGTGCCTTGCCAATATTGTCGAAAGCCGATTGCGAATAAAGCCACTCAAAAAGCAAACGACTAACTGTTACTTGTGTTTTGTCTTATATTTCGTTTCGTTTTTGAGTTAAGATTTTGTTAAATAGGCTGACTCATATTTGTTAAAAACACGTTCATATAAATTGTATTATACGTATACATATTAGAATATCGTGATATACTCTGAAAACGCAAATACCGGCGTATAAATTGTTAATTTTTCAAAATAATTTTAACACCGACACCGGTAGTTTTGTTGCGGGATTAGACCGGAAGTATCAAGAGTGCTGTCTCACTTCAACATTTTGCTTTTTGATTCACTACGGTGCCCCGATAAAAGTGAGAATGGAGTTTTTGATAGGGATCCAAGGGAAGGATTTCATTCTGACAGCTTGTGACATGGTTTCTGGAAGAAGTGTCATTGCCATGAAGCAAGGTATATTTGTTTGTGAAAGCATCAACCGAGGGATCTGCGTTTGCTTTTTCCTCCATACCACATTTTGTCTTTTGCATCAATTTTCTATTTTGCATTGTTTCTCCATATACAATCACGGCAGTTTAACAATAACGTGGATGAGGTCAGGTGAAATAGAAAACGGTGTTGGTCCAAAATGTTAGAAACGGTTCGAAGTGTATACCTTACATCTACTAAACGATCCTGACCCACGGAGATTCTCACCCAGCGAAAATGGCTAACCCGTCTCTAAAATTCTCATTCGTACCTGTTTTGGAGTATTCGTATATGGCAGACCAGTACCCAAGGCAACAATGCAATTTACCGTTTGCAGCCCGAGCTCTACCATCCACTCAATAACTGCAATTTAGTGCTACTGCTGTCTCGCTATACCGTGCTACCACTATGCCTCACGCTCCGGTGACTCTCGCTTCACGATCCAACACCCGTTTTCGGTCTTAGGGAAACTTGCACATCTTTAAGATCCAACACCCGTTTTCGGTCTTAGGGAAACTTACACGTCTTTACGATCCAACACCCCTTTTCGGTCCTTAGGGTTAGCTTGATTTGGGCAAGGGTTAGCCATAATTTCCGACCGATTGGTCGGTCATGTTGTCATAAACAATGGCGTGTGTGGTTTCAAGAAAAGATTAATGGGACTGCAGACAGTGACGTCACATGCATGTGCAATTCATTGTTTTCTGAATTACGCATGCTTGTTAATGGGGTGCTTATGACCCGATAAACGAGCACTGATTACGTGTGATAGCGCTCGTGGTCCAGTGGTAGAGCGTCGGCTAATTAACACATTAATTAGCCAAGCCGATGAGCCAGCGAAGCGCGTTCGAGCCCCCACAGCGCTTATTGGATCTGAAAAAGTGCGCCCCAGTAAAGTGCACTACTTCCGTACCCAAATTTGGAGAACCCGTACCCAAATGTTAAGGGGCCAGTACTCAGATTTGGATGACCCGTACCTATTTATGTTTTGAAGCAAGATGTTCGAAACCGGATTGCTTTAACAGGTTTAGACTATAAAAACGTGTTTCTCATCATTTATTCAACACAAAATTCTCAATAATTCTGACTGGTGAATTGGTGAATGAACAATCAACCATTTATCTCAATCAGTGTCTGTTATTTGTCATTTTAGTCCTCAAGTTGGCTTGTCACTGGAGATCATAGCTTAAGTAGTTTGTAAGCTGAAATCTCCCTCATTGGTAATTTGATCAGGATCTGAACAGTTTGCCTGGGTATGACAAATCATATATATTTTCATTGGATACTTATTCGCTTTTCGGGGTACGAGTCATCCAGTTGATCAGGTACGAGTGGGCATGGGTTATCCAATATTTGGGTATGAGTTCGTCCAAAACGTTTGGGTACAGATCTCCGTGGGTACAGATTGTCCATTTTCCCATCAAACTTACCCGGTATGTTAAGACTGGATACATAAAAACATCTAAACTACATGAAAAGGGCAACAACATATCTGCACATTTGCTGGTTAAGTGGAAGGTTTTGATAACACTGCAGTTGGCAACAATGCTGTTTACTGGGGACAGCCTATATATATCGCTATTTGAGGTTGCCGACTGTGACACTTGCTTCACAGATTTACTCATTAGCCTAGGTTTACTTCAAGCTGACAATGTAACGGTTTCTGATCAAGCACCCCTTCACGATCCTTGGTGTGACTAGATGATCCATACTAACGGATACAGTCAAGTCCCGTTAATCCGACATCGATGGTTGCATATGATTATGTCGGATTAACGAGTATGTCAGATAAAAGAAATTTAGTAGTATCAACGTTCGTGATCGAAAATTGGACAACTACACGATAGATAAGGATTCAAACACGTAATAAAAAATATATAATAAATATTCATATTGTTATGTTACATTGTTGGCAAAATATGTTTTCTAATCATGCAACCTCTAAAGTTTAACACAAAACAACTGTTACGGACTGTAAGACCGATTCAAAATACTTTAAAAAGCATAGTCTGGAAGCTTAAGCATAGCTTAAGAAAGCTGCTTTCGAAGTGGCTAACGTTGACTTCCTGTTGGTCATTTCATTGGTAGGTCATAGTTCCCCGAAAGGTTGTTCTGACGTGACCTGTAATGGGATGTCCTCGTCGATAGCAAGAACTTGTATCTGATTTTAATAAGATTGAGGTAATCTAATCATGTGAATTATCCTGTTTTCTTCATTTCTTCATTAATTGTTTATTGTTAAGCAAGTTTATCTCTGCCGCCGTTGTAATATTCACCTACCAGCAGATTCGTCTTGCATCAAAACACGGGCTGTGTACTCGCGGGCAGATGACCACGGAGTACGCTGATCACTGTGTCGGATTAACGAGACTGATTAATAAGTGATTTCGGTAAATCGTTGCAAATTAGGTGTGTGTCGGGATCGGAGTGCAAGACTGTCGGATTAACGGGTCTAAATAGCACTGATTTAATCAGTTCCCATCATTAGTGTCGGATAAAGCCGATTGGCGGATTAACGAGTGTCGGATTAACAAGACTTGACTGTATTTGCACCAAATGGAAATGGCTAACACGTAACTGAATTTCCCGTCTCTGCCATCCCAGATTTTGAGCATTCGTAATTTGTTTACTCGTATACAAATTTGAATGACCCGCACACAAAAGAGTCGGTTTAAATCATGAAAAATGATTTTGCTGATAATAAAGTCTTAAAAAGTATAGGTATATTTGAAGCATATACATTATATATCTGTCCATTGCTCATTTATTAGAAGTAATTACGAATCTCAGTGTAAAGACATTATTCTACAACGTGTTACTATGAAGTTTTTGAAAATCTTTGACAGGTCAAGGTTGTGATAATCACAAGTATTGAATGGGGTAGTCTTTCTCCTCAACCTCCATTGATGTTGTTTGATTACCATGGTTATAAACTGGTTTACGAACAACATGAATGAAATTCGCAGACTTCCACATGTTACAGGCAGAAGGCTTCATCATACTCATGGATTCAGTGAAATAATTTTGATATCTTGACACAACGCTTAAATTGCATTTTCAGAGCTACAGATAAACACTGTATTTGCATAAAATACACCCACCCCCAAAAAACAAAACAATTACTCTCAATTAACTTGCGTACAGAAATGCATGCAGTAAAGGAAAAACTCAAATGTATAAAAACAGCAAGTGTAAATACCCAGTAAAGCTTTTTCAGCATGCATACAAAGGAGCTAATTTCCGAAACACAATTACCAGCTAATTTACTTTCCGAGTCAAACTGTTATCATGGTTATGTACATCTAAAATATTATTTCATTTTCTTGAAATCTAAAAATGTTCACTCTTTTGGGGAAATACCCTATAGAGTCATGAATAGATGAGAGAAAATTATTGGTTACCCAATGAAAAACGTAACTAAATTGCTCAAAAAGTTATCTGGAGCTCTGATTTTGGAGCTGTAGCATCCAATGAAGATGGAACTGACTTATGGATTGCATCTGTTTTCGATGCAACATTTTGGTACGGCGGTTTCTGTTTTGGTCTGATAGCTTCCAGTGCTTTCAGCCATTCATGACCAAGGATACAAGTTTGTAGTGCAGCTCACTCTCTGTAAACCCACACTATATCAACTGGTTAGTTTTCTAGTACTACTTTGTACATGTTTAATCGGTCAAATGTTTCAGATCATGACAAGATGCACAAGTTGAGTGACAAACTCCTCATGCTGGTGACTGGCGAGTCCGGGGACACAGTGCAGTTTGCAGAATACATATCCAAAAATATTCAGTTGTACAAAATGAGAAATGGTATGTTTTTCATGTTTGCATGGAATGATACTTTAATAACAATGTCATATAAATGGCAGCTTTGTCAAATATGATTCCGATCAGGTTTTCAGTGTTATACTTATATTATGCATACCATATTTAGGGTCGGTCGGGTAGCCTAGTGGTTAAAGCATTCGCTCATCACGCCAAAGACCCGGGTTCGATTCCTGACATGGGTACAATGAGTGAAGCCCATTTCTGGTGTCCCCCGCCGTGATGTTGCTGGAATATTGCTAAAAACAGCGTAAAACCATACTCACTCACTCGCATACCATATTTAAAATATATTGTTGCCAGGATTTTCTCAATTTTGATTGCGCAGTCAGCAATGATTTATATAAGGTACATGGTATGTTTTCAGGCAGTCAGTATGTTACAATAACTTGAAAAGAGTCTTTTTGCTTTTGAAAACAAAGGCATTGGTGTGCATATCATTGTGTTTTTAGGTCTTCTTAAATCTGTTTATGACACGGTGTTGCTGAAATACTTCTCGTCCAATAAGTCAATACATTATTTTGATCATGTTTAGACCTCAGCAAATTATTGTTACAAGCCAAAGGCACATTGATGACAACATGAATTGAAAATAAACAAATTGAAATCACTGAGGTCAGGGAGTAGGGACTACTTACGGGTTACAATTTGCTAACAATGGTTTTCAGCCCAAACCAATGAACAGTTGGTACAACATATTCAGGATGTTTCTTGAATAAAAACCACAGCAAATCACATTGACTTCATTAACATGAGGATTAGCTCAGCAAGCTATAGGGATGGAAAATAATAAGGGAACGCATGTTTCATGTCTGTTTGTTTGTTGTTTAACGCTGCACCCAGCATGTGAACATGTGCGTCATCACATTTTACAGAATTGGAGTTAATTGTTAGCGTTAGGTCCAGAACATCTATACAACCGGCGGCAGCAAACATGTCAGTATGGCATCCAAGATTTACATCAGTGGTGTCATACCATGTTCAGCAATGAGGCTGGCCAGGTTCTTTCTGGACCATTCAGATGGTCTAGGTTGCCTTTGGCAGCCGGTGTATGACATTAAAAACTGCTGGACGGACAGGGTTGGGGATTTACTAAAATCTACTGAAAGTAATGCCAAAATATGAGTTAGTAGAAAGTATTTAGCATATTGAGTATGTCAAGTCTGGGTTTTGATTCAGTTTACACCCAACATTAAAGTAAGAACTTTGATTGTTTTTTTTGCAGGATATGAATTATCTCCACATGCGGCGGCCAACTTTACTCGCAAGAACCTGGCAGACTACCTAAGAAGTTCTGTAAGTAACCCTGGCATCAGATGCTCTATAGTAAAGTAGTTTGTTTAGTGCTGTATAGAGGAAACTGTAATGATGTAAATGACTACTCTCACTCACTCACTCACTCACTCACTCACTCACTCACTCACTCACTCACTCACTCACTCACTCACTCACTCACTCACTCACTCACTCACTCACTCACTCACTCACTCTTCAATATATAACCAGCTGATGATAGTCTTTGGGCACTATTTTTCACAAACACATTCTTTGTCTCTGCCTAAGCATATTATGACTATGAATAATAAGATCTTTTATTCCACAACATTCCTTCCCAGACTCCGTACATGGTGAACATGCTGATTGCTGGGCATGATGAGGACGAGGGACCTGTGCTGTACTTCATGGACTATCTGGCGTCTCTCAACAAACTGCCATTCGCTGTACATGGATACGGCAGCCTCTTCACCATGAGCATCATGGACAGATACTACAAGAAAGGTACTGTCTCTCCAACTGAACTTCTTCTGATTAGAACTAGAAAGTCTATGCTGTCAGTTTCCGGAAAGCTTTTTGCAGTGAGTGTTTTTGTGTGAGTTTTCGTCCATGGAATATGTACAATCGACAGGAATAACTAAATTATGCACATGGGCATTTATGGCAGAATCAGATGTTAATTGGGGCTAGAGTCTGTTAATGAGCAATGATATAAGCAACATATCATAATGTCATTATAGTTCATTACCTTTTGTAATGTATGTATTTTGTTTCGGAAAAGTAGGCCATCTAGCCCATAATTCACAAACAATTACAAACAGTATGTTGATGAAAGTTCCGCCTTTATGCATTCAATGCATTACTATCAATGTAAACATAAATTATCAACAAAGGCTATTAATTCACATCATAGTGTTTTTCAATCCGTTGTTTTCTCACATTGGAAGCGTAAAATATGTATGCACCTTGTTTCCATGCATGTTAGTTATTACAAATTTACCATCTTCCCGAGGAAAGAGAGTTAACTGACTATAAAAGTCCAGTTTCCACCCTTGCTGAACTAGGCTGGTATTATGGAGTTACATTTTGGCTGGACTAGCGAGTCTATGCATAGTCCAATCAAAATCGCGCACCGAAATCGAAATCCGGTTAGTAAACTGTCGTGCAGATTTCGGTCGATTGCAGGATTTGCAAAGCATGAGCACCGCCAAGTCGTTGTCAGCAGATATTTTCCAAATTTTATCATGTTTTTAATCAAGGTGCTCACGTGATTTGATGCATTTCGCGATGTAAGACATGTTTTATCACAATATAGATATTGATTATCAATCAGATCGTCCTGACTGGGCGCCACCATTTTGTGTGAAGCAAATGCAAGTGATGCGAGAGGTGGAATCTGATTGGTCCATATGAGAGGCTTAGAAGGGACATTGACTGGTAATAGCCACTGGTGGTGCTACGATCGAGCCCAGTAATTTCAGCCAAGTTCGGCAAGGGTGGAAACTGGACTTTTAAAGTCAGTTAACTCTCTTGCCTCGGGAATATGCAAATTTACATGATAGTGATGACGTTAAAATGTCCTTTCACAACGCTAAAATACTGACTCATACAAAGGATAGATCAATAAAAAATGTTCATCTTCAATATCTTTCTTTAAACAAACATTCTACAAGATGAACAATCTTTCTTCTTACAAATTTTATTCCCATTGTCAAGACTCATTACATAAATTGTGATTTCCACAACAGAATTTATGAAAGCATTTGTGAAATAACCAACTCTATATTTATTAGATACTGTTCTGGTTGTGAACACACATTTATACTATTCATAAAATCTTAATTTTACTTTCCCATGTAGGTTATTAAGCCAATTTGGACATGATGCATATTTCAATCGTTGAGAAAAAGAAACAAAGTAATGGCCATGATTTCTTCATATGCTTTTGACCCATCATTAGTTCATGTTATTAATACTATGGAACAGTATCAAGCCTATTGTAAGGGATCGATAATTTCATTTCTTCCAAGATTAGCATCAGTTGATCTCAGTAACAGGATTTTGAGATGACGTTTATGCTTGTGTATGTTCACAGACATGAACCAGGAAGAGGCGATGACCCTGTTGCAGCAATGTATTGATGAGGTGAGAATGGTGTTATTTCAAAAGCCTTCCTTGTACAGTGTCACATGCTTCATTAGACTCGGCCAATGAATAGCCAAGCTCCTCAAAGTGATACTATCGCTGCCACCAGTCAAAACTTCCCACTGTGGTGGGTGGCCACAACCATGCATGGAGTTAAACTCGCAACAAACTGACCGTTATGTTTTAAAGCAAGTGGTGACTGTGACGCCGAATACTCTCAGCCCAGCTTAATTATTTCCTTTTGTTTGTCAATTTGAATTTTGCCCCACACTGGTGGCGGCGCTGTTACCGAGAATGTAACAAAGGTGTCACATGCTGTGATGAGCTTGCTGAATAGCATGTAAAGGGGGGTAACTATTGTCATTCCTCTTGGTTATCTCCCTTATTGTAGACCAAGGTGATAATTTCAATCTCCACAATTCAGGTAATGTAAGTCATTGTAAACTAAAGTTTATCCCCCGCCCCAAGAAAGCTCCAATGTGCATCTGTGTGTCTGTGTGTCCCGAAATCGTTTCCGGAGCATAGCTCAAACCGTTTAATATTTCTCTAAGAAACTTTGCATGTCTACCAGGCACATACTGAACTGGTGCCTTTTGCTATTTAGGAATTTTATAAATTTTTATTTTTTTTAATGTTTCCATGGCAACAAGTTGGACTTAGGTTCTAAAAGGGTGGTGTTCGTTTCCGGAGCGTTCAAAAACCGTTAAATACTTTCTTACAAAACTTTTTTTACTTAACTATAAGTGTCTTCAATGGGGACAAGTTTTCTCAAAAACTACTGATGTTACATGAATGAAACTTTGCAAGCTTATCTAAGAGAATCTTTACATATCAAGACAGTTTGAAAATTGGTGCCATATTGGTGCCATAATTTATTTATTCCAGCTAAGGGACCTTTCGTTCGTATTAATTTGTAATCTGAACAGATTTTCTCAAATTTTCAGATAACATAACAGATAGTGCTTATCACTTCTTAAGGCTTTATGGGACGCCGACTTCTGTCCCTTGAGCACACCTGAAATCTATGATCGTGGGGTCCAAACCCAGTTCACCCTGATTTTGTTTCTAGGTTTCTCAGCACCATACCCATGCTCATGGATTGTACCACATTAAGGTTACACGCCGTGGTATAACAGGAATATTGTTCAAAGAGGTGTTAAACCAAACTCACTCACTCATGGCGGTGGTTAGTGATAACGCTGTTTTCTTATTCCAATTTGTGTTACTTTTAGCATTTAAGTTAAAGTGATTCTTCTTTCTGTTTAGGTCCAGAAGCGATTCATCGTCAACTTACCTAACTTCAGAGTACGACTTGTGACAAAGGAAGGTATCAAGGATCTACCCATCATCAAACCCAAGCCCCTTGTTGTGTCAAGTTGATCTCCTTTACTATCTACATCATTATTCTGTGTTTCACCGGCCAACTCCCAGATGACTTGCTCCTTCAACATGACAGTGTATCTTTCAATTGTTGACTCATCTTGTTGCTGTGTCGAGATTTAGAAGTGCTCATCTCCTGCTACAGTTATGCTTGGACATAACGTGGCTTGTAATTTCTCACCAAGGCAGGGAGGTTCTGTGGGAGTTGGCTTAAGCATCAATGTCAATGTCAAGTGTCAGAGACCAACCTATTTACATATTCAATGTACATTCATAGTTATGTCACAAGACGTAAGTTGTGAACTGACTTGTTCATTGACAGAAATAAAATGTGAAAACTAATTTCTTGTGTTTGTTTTTGTGTTAAGCTAGACAGACTTAATAGAAATTCCAGTGGTGATACATAGTTTTGAGTGCAGGTATAGTTTGTGTATTGTGATGTGTACCTGATGATGTGAGCTTATGTCATGGACTGCTTGTCTGGTGTCAGTCAGTGTTGGTGTCTGTAAACATCTTCCCCCTCAGAACCGCCTCCGTGGTGTAGTGGCAGAGCGTCCTCCCGAAGAGCGGAAGGTCCGGGGTTCGATCCTAGGCCGCGTCATACCAAAAGACGATAAAAGATGGTACTTGTTGTTACCCTGTCTGGCGCTCAGCATTAAGGGGCTAAACAAGGACTGGTCGGCTCGGAGTCAGTATACTGTGTCTATACAAAGATCTGAAGACATCCCATTAGGGGTCACGTCAGAACGCCCTTTCATCCGACCAATCAGAGCGTAACTTACCAGATCATGAAAGTGACAGTCGGAATGTGATTTCAAATCATACAACCTCGTAAACATTAACACGGGATATTCCGAACAATAGATATGGGTTTAACGACTGAATCCTTACAATCTAGACCATCTATTAGCCATACCAGAATGTTCTTTTGTTCAGGTTTCAAATTTGTAATCAAGAATTAGTCATAATATGTTTCGAAGCGTAGTCGTGCGTAGTTAAACACGAGCACCGCACCGTAAAACACAAGAAAGCTGCCTTCTGATTGGTCATTCCATTGGTCGGTCAAAGTTCGCGAAAGGTCGGTCTGACGTGACCCGTAATGCGATGTCCTCAGATCTTTGTTTAGCGGTAGCGAGAACTAAGATCTGATTTACAGAGATTGGGCACTATTTTTATCACATCTGAAGTTGGGACCACATTCACAGATGTTCAGCTTCATCCACACGGAAGAAAATGTGGCTTCACAACTTTCAAGGGTTACATGATGGTCAAAGGTAATAAAGGTATTAGGTTATAGGTATATAATTAAAATAAGCAACTGTTTGTTTTATTTCATAAACATACACACTTGGGCTAAAGTGATATCAATATGGTTATTGTGTCGTGTTGAAAATTTGGATCAGAATTCCATGGAACATCATCGACATAAACATGTTTCTGCTTGGAGTCACATTTTAAAATCAAATCTGTTTTTTTTAAAACAAACAACATGTGATTGTACACTGTTCGAAGTATCTACCTGATAGGGATTCTCATGGTGTTCAAATAAGTGGCCTATGAACAGAATAGGTCTTGAGCAACCCATGCTTGCCGTAAAAGGTGACTTTGCTTGTCGGAAGAGGCGACTAACGAGATTGGGTGGTCAGGCTCTATGGCAAGACGTTTTCACATTTATTATGGAATTACTGATATCTTCAATTGTTTAAAAGATATCTTGAATGGAATTGTAGATATCACGAAATGAATTAAGGATATCACGAAATGAATTAAGGATATCACGAAATGAATTAAGGATATGGTGAAGCTTATTACTGGTATCTTAAATTCAATTAATGATATCAAAATATGATTTAAAGATTCCAAGAAGTTGTTATGATATATGTAATTCAATTCCTGATATCTTGAAACTAAATACAGATATCAATAATTAATCATTTATTTCTTCAATTATTGACGTTATTAAAGACTTCTGCTTATTTATTGTTATCTTCAAATACTTCCGTCTGTTAAGTACTGTGGGTAATGTTTCTAACCATGGCAGAAAATTTCTTCCCACAACCATGTTTTCAAATTGATCACTGCTGGCGTAGTCAGCCCCCTCAACCCCTCAAAGCCTTACCTCCTCCGCTTGGCGTGCTGTTGAGACTAGTTCCTGCACAAGTTGGGCATGGTTAGACGCCATTTTGGAACCGGAAGAATTTACGGATATGTAGCCAGACCGGAAGTATTTGAAGATATCTGTAAATCATTTTCCGCACTTTTGGAGACCGGAATAATTCTTTTGCCGTTCCTTCATGTTTCTTAAATTATATTACAGATATCAACAATTGATATAAAGAAATCTTCGAAATTATTAATGATATCTTTAATTTGATTTTTGATATCAGTAATGGTCAGAATTAATGATATCTTGAATTGAATTAAAGATATCTCTAATTGAATAAAAGATATCTAAAATGAATTAATGATTTGTGGATTTGTGGATGTGTATAACTTATTTTAAGATATCTTGAATTTATTACTAATATGATAATGTACAGTAGGATGGTATTTGTTAAATGATATATTAAATACATTTAGAGATATCACAAAATATTTTGTTGATATCACAGTAACATTTTAAGATTTCAGTAATTGAATTTTTGATATCAGAAATGAATTCAAGATATCTTTAATTATTTTTTGTACCCATGGTATCACATGTCCCATTCGCTCTCATACACTGCACATGTTTACTTGCCACACTGTAGAAACGCTACAACACTGGCTTGACAACTCAGGAAGACACCATTTTGGGCTATTCTATTTGTTACTTTTGTATTTTCACCCATTATGTGTCTATCTCTCTGTAATATCATATTATGCTTGTCGTAAGAGGCGATCAACGGGATCGGGTGGTCAGGCTCACTGACTTGGTTGAAACATGTCTTTGATCCCAACTGCGTGGATCAATGCTCATGATATTAATCACTGGATTGTCAGGTCAAGACTCAATACAGTTATTACAGACTGCCGTCATATAGCTGGAAGATTGCTGAGTGTGGCGTTAAACAACAAACCAACCAACCAACTCTATGATATTGACACATTGTGCAAAGCATTGACACTTGGGTGTATAAAATGCAAATGCTATTGAGACTGGGGTGCATCCAACTGAGACTTGTGTGGTTTCAGCCCTCGCAAATATAGTCTCACCGCCTTGGTCTGTAGTGCTGTCCATGGAATATCTTATAAAGAAATACTATTGAAGAAGAAGCATTTTCAATCATATAAAAATTTATAATTGATTATTTTATGAAAATACAATATAGCATGAAAAGGTTAGAAATAAGCTTCTACTTTTACAGTAAAGACACAGGACATGCTGGCCTAGGGACCACTATGTGCAAAAACACACACAGGTATGTGACATAGGCAAACAAATGCTAAAATCAGTAACAAACAACAATATGCTTCTCTCTCTTTTTGAATTTTCACAGTATCCCTATCCAAACTTGATTAGTATATATTATAAGTACTCTGCATTGCAACTGCAAGGCTAAAATATGAATTGTATATCATATGGTTAATTATGTGGATGAGCAAAGAGGAAACGATACTTCCTACACCATACAACAACTTATAATGTAGGTATGCGACATACAAAAACACATGTATATATGAGACATGAAAACAATGATAAAATCAATAATAAACAACAATATGCTACTCGATACCGGGTATATATATACTTTAGAAAGGAATATTCTTAGTCCATGATATACCAAACTCATTACTCACACATTCATACATGCATACATGTCTCTATATTTGATGGCATCACTTTCTGAAGACTGTATATGGATGCTTAGGCCATGGAACAAAATTCTATGCTACGTTCTCTCATTAACTCAAAGACCATAAAGAATGTATAAAAGTATCAATTATTTGGCGCCAGCACAGTGTGTCAATACTAAGCCATGTGACTAACAAGATACATGGTTTTTAACAATATATACCGTATTCGACGTAATAAGCGCCCACGGCGACATTTGCTAATATATTGGCTAGTGAATAATCCCAATTAGCACCCCTTCCGATTGATCAATGTACACAAGACTTATTTATTCGCGTATACCGGTAATACGCACTCGTGTGTTACATGCACCCTTAATTATGGGCAATTCAATTCTGGAAAAATATATCTGTCGTACATAAACACTTCAGGCTGTCAGCATAAACCACGGAATTTATCTTTCAACTCTGCTTTTTTCACCAAAATAATATTCTAATAAGAGCCCCCTATTTCTAATTTTGAGAGCGCCCTGGGCACTTATTACGTAGAATACGGTATTGTGAATGGATTCCACGAGGTTTTGCTGCATTTTGTCAACACAGTAAAAACTAACATGAAGATACAAGGACCACCACATATGATATTGCACAGAGACATTATATAATCAATAAAACTTAAGTGACATGTATATTAAACGCTGATGACAAGAAGTAGGATTAATTGTGACATTGTGTTAATCAGATCCTGTTCTTGTAAATCAAGAGCTTTTGAAAATATCTATAGATGCTTTAAAATCATACAAATATTTTTATACCCAGAAGGCACACATTCATGACATACTGTATTCCGTAAAAAGGCACATGATCCATAATGACTTTATTTAATTACTCGGCAGAAACATAATTATCCTAACTATCATCAGGCAACAGGAATAAAGACAAAGGATATCAGGTAAAGCCACTTTGCCATCTACGAAAATGGCTAATGTGTGGGAAACTAGGATTTTTCAATATGGCTGCCAAGAACACATGAACTCAGTTGTTTTAAATGGGAAGATATTTACAAATGAAGATGGATTATCAAAAAAAATATTTTGTGTAAAATTAGAAGTTCAATATTTGTGATCTGCGATATTGTGACCTTACAAGAAAAGATGAGACAAGAACCACTCCTGATGATTCTCATGTGATGCACAACTAGTCCCAGAACAATTCTGCGATTCAATAATCGCGGAAAGGTTTCGCAGAGAATGTATGCAAAATTGCAGAAACATCAAATACAAGTTTCACGATATATGAAACGGTTTAGGAATTCTGCTCATGAAATGAACCCTACCCTCATTAGAACAACCCCAGTAAATAATAAAACATTTGCTGTAAATGTGTAAAATATATTCACCACTTCATGATGTATTCAAAATGTCATCTATTGTGGTTTCCCATGAGGAATGATACTGTTACACAGCCCTCTCTCTCTCTCTCTCTCTCTCTCTCTCTCTCTCTCTCTCTCTCTCTCTCTCTCTCTCTCTCTCTCTCTCTCTCTCTCTCTCTCTCTCTCTCTCTCTCTCACTCACTCACTCACTGTGTTTCAGGTTCCAATAGCAATGATTACAACATTCAATAGACCAGAGTGGCCGCTGCCAGATGATGTTCAGGCACTAAGACCAGACCTACAGTAAACCCATGTTACAGTACCAAGACAATGTCTCTTTTGACATTTTCTTCACTGAATGTTTTGCATTTTCAATTATGATTTTCTTCTGAAGGATTTTCCTTGGGAAAACAATGGTTGATACGTTCGCTGCAGCCATGTCACACGTCTATCAGCACTGCACTTGCTATAAACTGTACATCACAACAGGAAGTCAAAAGTTTCAGTGTCAAAATTATTTTACAATCTATCAGTACAACCAATCTAATTAAAATTAGATCTTAATCTGCAACCGCTAAACAAAGATCTGAGGACATCCCATTAGGGGTCACGTCAGAACGACCTTTCATCCAACTAATCAGAGCATCGTTTACCAGATCATGAAAGTGACAGTCGGAATGTGATTTCTAATCATGCAACCTCGAAAACTTTAACACGGGGTATTCCAAACGATAGTTACAGGTTTAACGACTGAATCCATACAATCTTGACCATCTATTAGCCATTCCTGAATGTTCTTTTGTTCAGGTTTCAAATTTTTAATCTAGAATGTATCAAGATATGTTTTGAAGCGTAGTCGCCAATTTGAATTAGTGCCGTAAAACACGAGAAAGCTGCCTTCTGATTGGCTAATGTCGACTTCTTGTCAGTCCTTCCACTGTTTGGTCAAAGTTTGCGAAAGGTCGGTCTAACGTGACCCTTGATGGGATGTCCTCAGATCTTTGTTTAGTGGGTGCGAGCACTAAGATCTGATTTTAAGGAGATTGGTGTAAAACATACTTGTAAAGAACAAGGCATCTATATAGACCTATCCATTTTTCGAACTATCAGGGATGGTGGGGTAGCCTAGTGGTTAAAGCGTTCGCTCGTCACGCCAAAGACCCGGGTTCGATTCCCCACATGTGTGAAGGCCATTTCTGGTGTCCCCTGCCATTATATAGCTGGAATATTGCTAAAAGCGGCTTAAAAAGAAATTCACTCACTCACTCTATCAGCTTATGATATTTTCACATTAAAATGGTGAAAGGTTGGAAATGACACTGTCAAAACCCAGTAACCATACAACTGCTCCCTAATATATTTAGATACTGTGTATCGCTACACAGATAGCGACAAGTCAAAATCAAAATCATTTTCAGGGAGCAGTTATATGATTACAGCTGCTATGTCTAACCATATGTCAAAACATAGATTTATGATATCATACCTGAAACATTTCACCTGTGAAGGTCCGGGTTAGAGTAGGTCTTCAGCAAACCATGCTTGCCTAAAGAGGTGACTATGCTTTGTAAGAGGCAAATAAAGGGATTGCTGATTTGGTTGATGCTTGTGATCGTATCCCTATTGCGTTGATCGATGCTCATGATATCAATCACTGGAATGTCTGCCCCAGATTCCAATTATTTACAGACAGCCGTCATATAGGTGGAATATTGCTGAGTGTGTCGTTAAACAACAAACAAACAAACGCTAAACATTTGGCCTTGTGAATCAATTGTTACTACATTATGCTTTGAACATGTTTGGCTTCAGTGAGTGAGAGTGAGTTTGGTTTAACGCTGCTTTTAACAGTATTCCAGTTATATCATGGCGTGTCAGCTTAATGTGGGAGGAAAAACCGAAGTGATGCAGGTCTCAGACGTTTACCACTTCTGTGAAACCCACGAGCACGGGTATGGTGCTGACAAACCTAGAAACATTATCGGGGCGAACCGGGATTCGAACCCACAATCATAGGTTTCTTGCTTGCCCAGGGGACACAACTCTGCACAGCGAATCGTGGCGCCTTAGACGACTGGGTCACCCGTGCCCCCTGTTTGGCTTCAGATTCCTGTGCCCCCCAAGCACTCTCTAGGTCTGTGGCTGCTCTCTGTGACTCTCTTCTGGCAATGCTGTGTATACATCAACATCGGTCGAATACAACGGCACATACCTCGGTATCAAACTGAAAGAGTAAAGCAGATTCATGATGCCAAGGCACTGAAACTCACCTGCATCATGGAACATACATGTTGACAGACCAGTTCCACTTTCAAAGTAGACACAATTTACGTTTCGGTGTACGTTCTTATACCATTGTCAAACAACGATAATGGTATTAGGATCTATACAGAAATGTCGCCTTTACAGTCAAAGAAGAAGTTGTTATCCATAAATTGTGTCTACGTGATCATACGTCAATTTCCAAGTAATGCCTATCAAACAATTCAGTTTCACTTTGCCATCTACAAAAATGGCTAATATGTGGGAAACTAGGATTTTTCAATATGACTGTCAAGAACAAATGAAATCAGTTGTTTAAAATGGGAAGATATTTACAAATGAAGATGGATTATCAAAAAACAAATGTTTGTGTAAAAGTTCAATATTTGTGATCTGCGATTTGTGACCTTACAAGAAAAGATGAGACAAGATCCACCCCTGATGACACTTATGTGATGCCCTACCAGTCCCAGACAAATTCTAACACTCTGCAATGGTGGAAAGATTTACAGAAAATGTCAACTAGCTGCAAAAATTGCAGAAAAATAACAGAATTTACATTTTTTTCAATCAATCCATACACTAATTTTCATTATTTTCAAGCTTTTCTGTTGAAATCTGCACTTGAATGATACACAAATATTTAACATGTGATTCAATTATAGAAAATATGAATCCTGCAATGAAACAAAATTTGAAATAAATATTTCCCACTTTTAAACATCCCTGCAGAATTATGATTACATAAACTGTGTTAACATCTAACCATAAATAAATATTACAATGCATATACACTTAGTTTTACGTCTTATCCAATGATAACTGACAGTTTGTGGAATGAATTAGTTCGTTTCAGACTTGGATCTGAGTTTTCGAAAAATGAGTTTGTTTTAATTTTCTAGGGTGAAATGGAAATAATTTAGCCACAGAAAGTTGATAATTCTACCGTGGACTGCACTGTGCATATTTGCTTGATGTTATCTCTCATCCCATGATAACTGTTTATACTGACTTTTTGTCGAATGAATTAATTTGTTTCGGATTTGGATTTGAATTTTTTTAAATGAATTTGTATCAATTTTTGAGGGGGGGTAATGTTGATAATTTTACAGCAGAATTGGGACTGCTATACTGACCGAATGTCAACTTCTCCAGATTCAACCCTGTACAACTCCCCATCAATGTTGAGCAGACGTCCAACCATCTTCTCTTTCTCGGAGAGTGATGGGTTCTCGTCGATGTTGAACTTGACCTTTATTGCTGTCAGATTCTGGTGTACTACCAACTGGGGGACCTTCAGCTGGAACACCATGGAACACTTTCCTGAACTCATTAGATGACTTGCATCATCCATTCCCCACCCTCAACCCATGTGACTTTAAGAAAGGAAATATAATTTCTTGTAAATAATTTGAATTGAATTTTAAGGGAGGGTGTGTGTGGGGTGTGTGGGGGTGGGTTGGGGTGGGTGAGAGGGGGTCATGTTTTCATGGCCCCCTGTTTACAGTAGTCGTGAAACATCCATACAGATATAAAGCCATTTCACTTTCATTTCTAAGCCTGATTAAATCTGTTTCCTAAACTTTGCAGACACATCTGGCATGCAGTGCCTTTTGCTATATAGGAATGTTTCAATTTAACATATTTATTTTCATTTACCAAGTTGGACGTTCGTTCAAATGGGGGTAGTGATCATTTCTGGAACTTACAAATGGTTTATTTTTCTTAGTTGAAACTTTGTATACACATATAGTGCTGAACTAGTGACTTTTTTTTAATCAGGATTATTTCATTTTTGTAAATCTTGCATTTACAAGCAGTGTTTGATATAATTTAAAAACCCAGCAAGACAGTCGGGCAGGTGACCCATAAATGTTGCCTACCTATCTTCACAGTTACCTGCCCACACTCAGAGATAATAAATATTGAAAAATCGCAAGAAAAAGGAGAGACAAATCGCGTCTTGATTCAGTTGAAATAAGGCAAACAATTACTTGAGAATCTACAAGGAGTTATTATAAAACTGAATATGTAAATTGGCTTAAAATTTGCTGCCAGACTTTAGTTGAAATAAAGGTAGTGTTAGTTTCTGTAGTGTAACTCAATAACTGTCCAGTGTGTTTTTTAAACTATGTATGCCCACCAGGCATGTGCTTAATTGGTGCCCTTTGTTATTCAAAAGTTTAATTTTTAGATATTGCTGACATCCCTGTTGGGATTGCCATGTTTATTTTTTAGAGGTTGTTAAAAAGATAGGGTGGTCGTGTTGATTGTATGACTTAGTGTGACTTTGTACTCTACAGAGTGGGATTGTGCTCACAAAGCCATGGTAATTAACAAACAAGCAAACAAAGCAGCAAACATCAGTTCAGGAATAAATCTTGTAAATAAGAAATAAACAATGAGTGGGAGTTGTTTATCATACAATAAAACACGACAGGAGAATAAACCATGAGGGGTGCAGGATCTGTATGCATTCCCAGATCTACCCCATCACCTGGATATCCAATGCCTACAACCCAGTACCTCGGTATTGTGAGCCTACAACCCAGTACCTAGGTATTGTGGGCTTACAACACAGTACCTCGGTATTGTGAGCCTACAACCCAGTACCTAGGTATTGTGGGCCTACAACCCAGTACCTCGGTATTGTGAGCCTACAACCCAGTACCTAGGTATTGTGAGCCTACACCCCAGTACCTAGGTATTGTGAGCCCTCAACCCCAACACCTTGGTGTGGCATGCCTACAACCCAGTACCTAGTTATCGTGGGCCTACAATCAAATACCTAAGTGTGCCACGCCTACACCCCAGTACCTAGGTATTGTGGGCCTACAACCCAGTACCTAGGTATTGTGGGCCTACAACCCAGTACCTAGGTATTGTTGGCTTACAACCCAGTACCTAGGTATTGTGGGCCTACAACCCAGTACCTAGGTATCGTGGGCCTACAACCCAGTACCTAGGTATTGTGGGCCTACAACCCAGTACCTCGGTATTGTGGGCCTACAACCCAGTACCTAGGTATTGTGGGCTTACAACCCAGTACCTAGGTATTGTGGGCCTACAACCCAGTACCTAGGTATCATTGGCTTACAACCCAGTACCTAGGTATTGTGGGCCTACAACCCAGTACCTAGGTATTGTGGGCCTACACCCCAGTACCTAGGTATCATTGGCTTACAACCCAGTACCTAGGTATTGTGGGCATACAACCCAGTACCTAGGTATTGTGGGCCTACACCCCAGTACCTAGGTATTGTGAGCCCTCAACCCCAACACCTTGGTGTGGCATGCCTACAACCCAGTACCTAGTTATCGTGGGCCTACAATCAAATACCTAAGTGTGCCACGCCTACACCCCAGTACCTAGGTCTCGTGGGCCTACAACCCAGTTTCTAGGTATCATTGGCTTCCAACCCAGTACCTAGGTATCATTGGCTAGGTATCATCCCCACTATTTGTTGTTTGTAAGCATTAGTTATTGTAAAGGTTTTTACGTTTGTCACTGAACAACAGTATCATACTAAAGACAGTGAGTGAGTTGGTGAGTGAGTATCGTTTTACGCCGCTTGTAGCAATATTCCAGCAATATCACAGCGGGGGACACCTGAAAGTGAGCTCCACACATTGTATCGAACCCGGGCCTTCGGCGTGAAGAGCGAATACACAAACCACGAGCTGACCCAACTGCCCCAACAAAAGACAAACTGATACAGCAAAGTGTTCTTACCGCACTACTATCTCGTGTCATTAATCCAAACATGAATTTCAGATGGGCCCAGCCTCCACAATGTTTGGTCAAGAAAACCGTAAAACTGTCCGCAGAAGGGCGCATCACCATCTTGTCTTGAGTAGTGTCTAATTTGCATATAAACATCATCATGTCCATATACTCCATGGCTTCCAGTCTCCGCCAGCCTGCAACATCGACACATACTTTGTCAGGAGCAAGACACTTCAACTTAATAGAATACCTACATAATAAACATGTCATAACAGCAAGACACTTCAACTTAACAGAATACCTACATGACAAACATGTCATAACAGCAATACACTTCAACTTAACAGAATACCTACATGATAAACAACCGCTGTCATAAAGCGGGAGTATTTCTGAGTGTGGCGTTAAACAACAAACAATCAAACAAACATGATAAACATGACCTAACAGCTTTTTACTTCAACTTAACAGAATACCTACATGACAAACATGTCATAACAGCTATACACTTCAACTTAACCGAATACCTACATAATAAACATGTCATAACAGCTATACATGTCCCCTATCTGATGGTAACTTAACAGAATACCTACATGACAAACATGTCATAACAGCTATACACTTCAACTGTAGCAGAATACCTACATAATAAACATGACATAAGAGCTATACACTTCAGCTGTAGCAGAATACCTACATGACAAACATGTCATAACAGCTATACACTTCAACTTAACAGAATATCTACATGATAAACATGCCATAACAGCTATACACTTCAACTGTAGCAGAATACCTACATAATAAACATGACATAAGAGCTATACACTTCAGCTGTAGCAGAATACCTACATGACAAACATGTCATAACAGCTATACCCTTCAACTGTAGCAGAATACCTACATAATAAACATGACATAAGAGCTATACACTTCAGCTGTAGCAGAATACCTACATGACAAACATGTCATAACAGCTATACACTTCTACTGTAGCAGAATACCTACATGGTGACATAACAGCTATACACTTCTACTGTAGCAGAATACCTACATAATAAACATGTCATATCAGCTATACAATTCAACTGTGGCAGAATACCTACATGATGACATAACAGCTATACACTTCAACTGTAACAGAATACCTACATGATAAACATGACATAACAGATATACACTTCAACTGTAGCAGAATACCTACATGATGACATAACAGCTATACATATACACTTCAACTGTAGCAGAATACCTACATAATAAACATGACATAACAGCTATACACTTCAGCTGTAGCAGAATACCTACATAATAAACATGACATAACAGCTATACACTTCAACTGTAGCAGAATACCTACATAATAAACATGTCATAACAGCTATGCACTTCAGCTGTAGCAGAATACCTACATAATGACATAACAGCTATACACTTCTACTGTAGCAGAATACCTACATGATAAACATGACATAACAGCTATACACTTCAACTGTAGCAGAATACCTACATAATAAACATGACATAACAGCTATACACTTCAGCTGTAGCAGAATACCTATATAATAAACATGTCATAACAGCTATACACTTCTACTGTAGCAGAATCACTACATAATGACATAACAGCTATACGCTTCTACTGTAGCAGAATACCTACATGATGAACATGTCATATCAGCTATACACTTCAACTGTAGCAGAATACCTACATGATAAACATGACATAACAGATATACACTTCAACTGTAGCAGAATACCTACATGATAAACATGACATAACAGCTATACATATACACTTCAACTGTAGCAGAATACCTACATGATACACATGACATAACAGCTATACACTTCAGCTGTAGCAGAATACCTACATAATAAACATGACATAAGAGCTATACACTTCATGGGTATTGATGGTTGTATGGTCCCCTGTCTGATGGGTATTGGTGGGTGTAGGGTCCCTGTCTGTTTAGTATTGGTAGTTGTAGAGTCCCCTGTCTGATGGGTATTGGTGGGTCTTTGGTCCCCTTTCTGATAGATGGGTTTTGGTGGGTGTAGGGTACCATGTCTGTTAAGTATTGGTAGTTGTAGAGTCCCCTGTCTGATGGGTATTGGTGGGTGTTTGGTCCCCTTTCTGATAGATGGGTTTTGGTGGGTGTAGGGTACCATGTCTGTTAAGTATTGGTAGTTGTAGAGTCCCCTGTCTGATGGGTATTGGTGGGTGTTTGGTCCCCTTTCTGATAGATGGGTTTTGGTGGGTGTAGGGTACCATGTCTGTTAAGTATTGGTAGTTGTAGAGTCCCCTGTCTGATGGGTATTGGTGGGTGTTTGGTCCCCTTTCTGATAGATGGGTTTTGGTGGGTGTAGGGTACCATGTCTGTTAAGTATTGGTAGTTGTAGAGTCCCCTGTCTGATGGGTATTGGTGGGTGTTTGGTCCCCTTTCTGATAGATGGGTTTTGGTGGGTGTAGGGTACCATGTCTGTTAAGTATTGGTAGTTGTAGAGTCCCCTGTCTGATGGGTATTGGTGGGTGTTTGGTCCCCTTTCTGATAGATGGGTTTTGGTGGGTGGTGGGTACCATGTCTGTTAAGTATTGGTAGTTGTAGAGTCCCCTGTCTGATGGGTATTGGTGGGTGTTTGGTCCCCTTTCTGATAGATGGGTTTTGGTGGGTGTAGGGTACCATGTCTGTTAAGTATTGGTAGTTGTAGAGTCCCCTGTCTGATGGGTATTGGTGGGTGTTTGGTCCCCTTTCTGATAGATGGGTTTTGGTGGGTGTAGGGTACCATGTCTGTTAAGTATTGGTAGTTGTAGAGTCCCCTGTCTGATGGGTATTGGTGGGTGTTTGGTCCCCTTTCTGATAGATGGGTTTTGGTGGGTGTAGGGTACCATGTCTGTTAAGTATTGGTAGTTGTAGAGTCCCCTGTCTGATGGGTATTGGTGGGTGTTTGGTCCCCTTTCTGATAGATGGGTTTTGGTGGGTGGTGGGTACCATGTCTGTTAAGTATTGGTAGTTGTAGAGTCCCCTGTCTGATGGGTATTGGTGGGTGTTTGGTCCCCTTTCTCATAGATGGGTTTTGGTGGGTGTAGGGTACCATGTCTGTTAAGTATTGGTAGTTGTAGAGTCCCCTGTCTGATGGGTATTGGTGGGTGTTTGGTCCCCTTTCTGATAGATGGGTTTTGGTGGGTGGTGGGTACCATGTCTGTTAAGTATTGGTGGGTGTAGAGTCCCCTGTCTGATAGATGGGTTTTGGTGGGTGGTGGGTACCATGTCTTTTAAGTATTGGTGGGTGTAGTGTCCCCTGTTTTATGGGTATTGGTGGGTTTAGGGTCCCTTGTCTGATAGATGGGTTTGGGTGGGTGGTGGGTACCATGTCTGTTAAGTATGGTAGGTGTAGAGTCCCCTGTCTGATGGATATTGGTGGGTTTAGGGTCCCCTGTCTGATAGATGGGTTTTGGTGGGTGGTGGGTACCATGTCTGTTAAGTATTGGTGGGTGCAGTGTCCCTTGTCTGATAGATGGGTTTTGGTGGGTGTTTGGTACCATGTCTTTTAAGTATTGGTGGGTGTAGAGTCCCCTGTCTGATGGCCTCCTGGAGGGAGATGATGTTGTCCAATTCATCAATACTTGCCATGCTCAGCACAAAACATCGCCTGAACACTACACGTTGTGAATTGAACAACACAGGTCCAACATTAGTATTCTCTCCACAGACTGTAATGGGAATGTCTTCTTTGATAAATTTGTTTGTTTGTTGTTTAAACGCCGCACTCAGCAATATTCCAGCTATATTACAGCAGTCTGTAAATAATCAATTCGTGACCAGACAATCCAGTGATTGACATCATGAACATTGATCTACGCAATTGGGATACGATGACATGCATCAAGCAAGTCAGCGTGCCTGCCTACCCAATCCCGTTAGTCACCTCATATGCCTGGCATAGTCGTCTTTTGTGGCAAGCATGGGTTGCTGAAGACCTATTCTAACCCAGGTCTTCCAGGTATACTGCAATATGTATTTATATGATTTATGCTTCATCTAACACTTAGAAAAGGAAGGTTTCTTGCTGTTCACAGTACCTTTCTCAGGGAGGGAGGCAGCTGCTCCTTCTGAATCAGCTCTGAAACATACAATGTTGCAGCGTGAAGCATTAAACACAGTGTCGTACAATGTTTATAATTTTATACAAAATGTTACAATAAGAGGCAAGAAATGCAAACTGTTATCCAAAATGTTGCACTAAGAGGTCTGAAACACAGTGTCATACAAAGTTGCAATAAGAGGCCTGTTCAACCAGGAAAATTAATTTTGCTTCCCTACAGTTAGAGGTTCAGAAACAGAGTAGCTCACCAACACTTCGTCTTGTCAGAACTTAAAGTTGACACAATGATGATTTAGTGGTCATTGTTTACTGTGACATGGCTGTTTTGCATTTCACATTTCCTCAATAATATTGAAACCTGATCATGCATTTTACCTCCAAATTACCTGGGACTCGATTATTTACTGTAAATCGTGAAATTAATGCGTCTCCAAAAGAATGCGACCGCTGGCCCCTAGTCAATAATGCGACTCAATATGAATGCGACACCCCCTCCTCTCAAGCATCAGTGGATTTATATCTTAACAAAATGTCCTCTGTCAGGTTTACAGGAGAATCCTCACCCTCATCCAACCTTACATTAATCCAATCACACACCAAATAGCACCGCTCATTAGCACTGATTAGAGTACTTCCGCTAAAACAATACATGTGCGCTGGCTCGTGTCGGCATTTGACGCAGTCGCAAAGAACAAAGACACCGTGTTGCGTGGGTGGCGTCTGTCTGGACTTGCAGGTGTGATCAACGATGACCTAAGTGTGTAGAACTCTTGTCTTGACCCCAGCAGGGACAATTCACAGGATGTACCGTATTCGACGTAATAAGCGCCCCGCTCTAATAAGCGCCCACGGCGATATCTGCTAATATATTGGCTCGTGAACAATCCCAATGTGCACCCTTTCCGATTGATCAATGTACACAATACTTATTTATTCGCGTATACTACGCACTCGTGTGTTATATGCACCCTTAATTATGGGCAATTAAATTCTGGAAAAATATATCTCTCGTATATAAACATTCCAGGCTGTCAGCATAAACCACGAAATTTATCTTTCAACTCAACTCAACAAAATAATATTCTAATGAGAGCCCCATATTTCTAATTTTGAGAGCGCCCTGGGCGCTTATTACGTCGAATACGGTAATTACTGTTTGAATGGAATTGTTTATATACTTGTTACAAGTGCTGCTCAATAAACAGTGATGTGAAATACATAGTTGTTCGTTTTCAGCGTATGTCTGAGTTGGTATTTCTGCTATCCAAAATGTCTTATTGTTGATATAAATGCGTTGTTTAATAATGCGAGCAAAGACCACTCGCATTTTTGCATTTAATTCATGCTCGCGTTAATTTCAAGATTTAGAGTACATGCAGCCTTGATATCACTGGGATATTGCTGACTTGCATTTTGACAACAATCACTCACTCACACAATATAACTTGGTCCTTCATGCTCGGTGAGCTAAACAACCAATGCCTTCATCTTTGATATTTCGACATTATTACACATCACTTACTTTTCTTGGCTGTCATCTCCAACTGTCTTTTCCATCACATGGATTTCTGGTTCATAAACTGACTTCTTGCTGAACGAATGAGTCAATATCACATCTGGAAATGTTTCAACACAGAAGTATCAGCTCATTTTCTCTTCTGTACCAGGAGACTTTCTCTCAAGCTGATTTGTTTAGTGCCATGGTTACTACTCTGCAAGTCAGAGAACAGTGAATATCTCTAAGGGCTAGTGGGGCACGGGTGACCCAGTCGTCTAAGGCGCCGAGATTTGTTGTGCAGAGTTGCGTCCCTATGATTGTGGGTTCGAATCCCCGTTTTCCCCGATAATGTTTCTAGGTTTGTCAGCACCATACCCGTGCTCGTGGGTTTCACCGAAGTGGTAAACGTCTGAGACCTGCATCACTTCGGGCTTTCCTCCCACATTAAGCTGACACGCCGTGATATAACTGGAATACTGTCAAAAGCTGCGTAAAACCCAACTCGCTAACTCACTCACTACGGGCTAGTTCCATGGTTACAGATTATAAATATGGTATTCACATCACTGGACAAGACATCTTCCCGAGGCAAGGGAGTTAACTGACTTTAGAAGTCCAGTTTCCACCCTTGCCGAACTAGGCTGGAATTCCTGGGCTCGATCGTAGTGCCACCAGTGGTTATTACGAGTTATGTCCCTTCTAAGCCTCTCCTATGGACCAATCAGATTCCACCTCTTGTATAAATTCCATTTGTTTCAAACAAAATGGCGGCGCCTAGTCAAGACAATCTGATCGATAATCAAGATCTATATTGTGCATCAAATCACGTGAGCACCTTGATAAAAAACATGAAAAGATTTGGAAAATATCTGTTGATGAATTGGAAGTGCACATGCTTTGCAAATCATGCAATTGACCGAAATCTGCACAACAGTTTACTAACCGGATTTCGATGTCGTTGCACGATTTTGATTGGACTATGCATAGACTCGTTAGTCTAGCCAAAATGTAACTCCATAATACCAGCCTATTTCGACAAGGGTGGAAACTGGACTTTTGTAGTCAGTTAACTCCCTTGCCTCGGGAAGATGTGGACAAGCAGGTTGTGACTGATGGTCTCTGGTTTTTAACAGTAAGTAATGCAGAAAACTGGAGCCTCAGAGCCTCAGAGCCTCAGAGCCTGTTTTAATGTTGGGAAGTTGGCTTGCCACATTCCACATGGACTCACTAGCAGAGAAAATGTAAAACAGTAGCATTGTCACGAGGCATCACAAAGTTTCATCTAAAAAGTTACCTGAATAACTTTAATATGCGTATCATTCAAATAATGAATCTGTATCCAAATTCAAACAAGTATTTACATGGTGTTCATAATCAAGACGTGCTACAGATATGACTATTACAGAGTCACAGACATCAAACAGACATCAGACATGACTCAGAGACATTAAATATGACTCACAGATACCAGACATGACTGCAAACACCAGACATAACTCATATACAAAAGATATGACCGAAAGACCACAGACATGACTCACAGACATTAAATATGACTCACAGATACCAGACATGACTGCAAACACCAGAAATGACATTACTTACAGACACAAGAATAGCTTCAGACATCAGACATGACTACAGATCTCATGACTTTGACATCAGACATGACTCACCGACACCAGACTAGAATCAGACACCAGACATGACTCACAAACATCAGACATGACTCCGACACCAGACATGACTCACAGACACCCGACATGACTCAGACACCAGACATGACTCACAGACATAAGACATGACTCCGACACCAGACATGAGTCACAGACACCAGACACGACACACAGATACCAGACAAGACTCACAGAAACCAGGCATGACTCCTACACCAAACATGACTCACAGACATAAGATATGACTCACAGACACCAGACATGACACAGACATCAGACATGTCTCACAGACACCAGACACGACACAGACATCAGACATGTCTCACAGACACCAGACATGACACAGACATCAGACATGACACACAGACACCAGACATGACTCACAGACACCAGACATGACACACAGACACCAGACATGACACAGACACCAGACATGACACAGACACCAGACATGACACACAGACACCAGACACGACACACAGACACCAGACATGTCTGACAGACACCATACATGACACAGACATCAGGCATGACTCACAGACACCAGACATGACACAGACATCAGACATGTCTGACAGACACCATACATGACACAGACATCAGACATGACTACTGCTGTGTATCAGATATCAGATAACTGATCATCACTCACATGGATATCGGAAAGTTTTCATCCATCTTTTCTCCTCCGTCTTCTTAATCACTGCAGAAGTGAAGCCGTGAGCAAACAGTAGGCCACTGTAAGACAGCAACTTGCCGGGCTCGTAGATACCAAATATATTGAAACCAGTTGTCTCCCCTGAAGAAGACGTTTTTCTTAAAGTATCGATAAAATCAAGGAGAAAAGAATGACAATGTTATGTTTTGTTTTGTTTTGTTTGTTAGCTTGTTGTTTAACGCGGCACTCAGCAATATTCCAGCTATATGACGGCGGTCTGTACATAATCAAGTCTGGAACAGACAATCCAGTGATTGACATCATCAGCATCGATCCACACAATTGGGACAAGATGACGTGCATCAACCAAGTCTGCAAGCTTAACCACCGATCCCGTTTTTAGCCTCTTACGATAAGTATGGGTTGCTGAAGACCTATTCTAATCTGGATATTCACGGTTGGAATGAGGTAGAGATATCAAGGCATATCAGCTTCATGTGGAAGGACAGCCCATGTTGGTCACACCCATGAGTAAGGTACAAGGTATCTATTAAATCAAGACCCGTGAAGGTCCTGGGTAGAATAGGTCTTCAGCAACCCAAGTTTGCCGTAAAAGGCGACCATGCTTGTCGTAGGAGGGGACTAACGGGTGGTCAGCCTCGCTGACTTGGTTGAAACATGTCATCGATCCCAATTGCGTGGATTGATGCTCGTTATATCAATCACTGGATTGTCTGGTCCAGACTCGATTATTTACAGACCGCCGTCATATAGCCTATTAAATCAAAGATAACACAGAAGAATGTTGGATTTGTTTCTTGTTAAACATGCACTCAACAATATTCCAGCTATGTGACTGGACCAGACAATCCAGTGACTGACATCACAAGCATATAATGACATGCAATCATCCAAGTTACCGATGTTGACTTGATTATTTCCCAGATAGCTGAATATTGCTGAGTGCAGCGTTAAACACCAAATAAATAAATAGATAAACACTGGCAGTCACTGTTGAATGGTACTATGGAAGAAAGATGTTCGTTTAGTTTCATCACGTACCTCTGATAACATGTAATATTGCTGTCTCTATGTCTATCACGCCTGTTGCCATACCACAAAGTCCATTGCCAGTGCCTGAAGATATCACAAGAACATGTACATCACATCACCCCCTTGAGTAAAACTCTCCAGCACTCTAGTATTGACCACATCTTACTAATTTAACACCTACATTTCTCATTGTAACACGCTCCAATAACAACATACAGCAAAGGCATCAAGTCTTGTAACCACGGTAACATACAAGACCTGAAAATATATTTATTGAAGTTTTGATTTCTGGTTAAAAATTATTTTTAGACATATTTTTATTCAAAATTAGGTCCCTTTACACAAAGCGATCGAAAGCCTATCTTAAAGTGTGGGTGTCACGATTATTATTAATTGAAGACAATGTAAACAAGCATGAAATACTCACATCCCCTGCCATTATGACATGTCCGGTTGTGTGCAAGGCATTAGACCTCCGGAAACAAGCACTACCACCATTTTTAGTCTAAGTCAAAGTCATTGCTCTTGAAACTCGAAAAATAAATTGTTCAAACATCCCAAACTAACCAAAGGCACCAATTTACCACTAGGCCTATCAATGTGCCAAGTTTGGTGAAGAAATATTGTACGGTTTTCAAGATCTGCTCCAGAAAAGAGCACTAGCACGATTTTCAGTCTAAGTCAAAGTCGTTGCCGTGGAAACTCAAAAAATACATTTTTTTTAAATCCCAAACTATCGAAAGGCACCAATTCTCCACTAGACCTATCTACGTGCCAAGTTTGATTAAGTTATCTCTCATGGTTTTTGAGTTCTGCTCTGGAAACGAAACTTGACGGACACATGGATGGACGGAAAGAAGGACAGACTGAAAGACAGAAGGATGGAAGGATGGATGGACAGCACCCATTCCTATATCCCCCTTCCACTTTATGGCGGGAGATAATAATATTGTTACGTATCACAAGAGAAATTGCTCTGACTTAACAATATAATATATTACGTGTTCCATACTGTACCAATGAAAACATGATGTACACTCTTTTAACAAGACACAAGGTAATACATCTCAGTCACACTAAGCCTGTCATTGTGTCTGTGTAATACAAGCAACAAGCACCTGCTGGAATGATGCCAAACTTGATATCTAACGGCTTGAGGACAGACTCTGGATTATTGACGTCGATGCCAGCCTCTTTCTGGTTCCGTTGGATGAGCGTGTTGAGTGCCTCCTGGTACATCCCGTCTCCTCCCACTGTCACGATGCTGGACACACACAAAACTGCTGACATGAGAAATCAACCTCTGGACACCTCCTCGACACAGGCTCTGGTGTACATGTGTCATATTGAAACTTTTTTCACAATTTAAAAAAAAAAATGTATTTCCCATATACATGTACATATACAGCAATAAGTGTCGTATACATCGCAGAGTATTCATACCACCATAACCATTTTCATGTAGATTAGAGGGTATTTGTACCAACATACCAATAGTGTTCATATACACATACAAGCTTATTCGAAACTTGTTTAGGTCAATATATTCCATTTACACATATACATTGTGTAACGCTCAGTGTAGATCCCAACTTTTAATAATTATTGTTATAAAGTTCATATTTCTTTTATCTTAATATGGTAACACCATGAACATTTGTCATACTCTCACCCTTCCACTTTAGAGAAGTCAAAGTTATTTATGATTTCCTCTGTATGTTTTGCCCTCTCTGTTACTGCAATAGAGAATGTTTTTAAAAAATAATGTACCGGTAGTCTCCAGCAAAGTCAAGGCAGTAAACGGAAGTTTGATAATGCCTCCAGAAAAACATTATAATTACTGCAATTTCTGAAATTGTTTCACATTTCCTTATTATGCATGATGAGTGAGTGAAATGGGCTTTACACATTGTACCCATGTCGGGATTCGAACCCAGGTCTTCGGCGTGACGAGCGAACGCTTTAACCACTAGGCTACGGACCGCCCCTATGCATGATGAGAAATCCAATCTTTCATTAGCTCTTAAATAAACACCTTTATAAATAACAATTATAGTAACATTCTCTGCCTTGACCAACCAATACTACATTGAGATAGATGTGGCACTTTGTCAACTATTCAACATATACTAAAGATCAACCAGTGTTACACTCTGATATGTGTTTGTTACAATTATTGTTCAGATATTTCCCCATTCACAAAGATTGCATATATCTATGACACCCCCTGTCCAGATAATTTTTCGTCAGGCCAATCATTACTACAGTTGTTTAGACATTGGTATAATACCCAGCTGTTCAACACACTATATGCTTCACAATGAAAGTATATTATTTACCAAAAAAACTATCTAGCTTCATATATTAAAATGACATCATAATTCTGTAATGGGGAACATGAATATCTTCATAGACTTGAATGTTTAAATTAAAAGGAATGAAAATTTCTTAATTCTGTTTAAAATAAAACATGGTACTGACTGAAAACATGAGTATCAATCCCTGCCGTCTTGAAGAAGCCAGCCACCTTCTCCTCATAGATCTGTCGACCTTGACCCTTGCCCCCGATTGGGTTCACTATCACAAGCAGGCTTTTAGGGGTCGCTGAACAAAACAGAACAAACAACAAATTATATTGGAAGTGTTGGTATTCATCTTTCATCAAATTCTGTCATGACGTCCACCACAAGCAGAGAAACCCACCTGGTCGATACTTGGCTTGTATCTGGACAACCCATGCACTGACGTCACCTTCCTTCACATCAAACTTCTTCTCAGCTGCTCTCCACTTCATATCCTTTCTGCGGGATATAAAGTGGATGGTGAAGCTCTTGCCCTCACCATTCACCTGAGTTGTCTCCCCCAGGCCATCTGTTCCCAGGCCGTAGATGTCACTCCACGGGAGGCTGACCTCTACATTGAAGCAGGGTATATGATGATTCATTGAAAGGAATGTTTGTTTAAATTAGGAAATTGCATGTGAATTATGTGAGCCACATGTTTAAGACACACAAATACTGGGATCATCAATATGATATGCACAATATTTCTTTATACACCAAGGTAATGCTGAAAATACAGAACATACCGTGCTTCCTCGATTAAATGCCGGACTGCAAATACATATCGAGATCTCGAATAAACACCAGGCCTTTATGAAGTTAGTTTTTATACACACAATTCTCCCATTATTATCTTTGCGATTAAATGCTGGGGGTAAAGAGTGTCTTAAAGATATATGCGCCTGGGCGTTTAATTGAGGAAAAACTGTACTTAAGATTTTAATGTTTGAGACCATGTACTTTCCTAAACTGCAATATGATATATACCGTAAACTAGAGTGAATGTGTGAGTGAGAAGTATGTTATTTTCTGTAAAAAAAAACACAACAAAGTAAGATGTACTGATAAGTTGTGCTTTATGTCATGGGCTTTCTGCTACCCTGGACGGAAGCCCATTTATGTAACAGGTGCATCTTTCTAAAAACAATAAAAGAAAGAAAAAAAACACACACAAAAAATTGAGGAAAAACGGTAGTAATGTGGTTTGTTGTTTAATGCTGCACTCAGCAATGTTCAAGCTGTATGACAGCGGTTTATAAATAGTCAAGTCTGAACCAGAAATTTCAATGATTGACATCATGAGCATCAATCCACACATTTAGGATTATCTCCCTTGAACTGCTAGTGTCTGGCATGAAGGGAACAGTGTATACCATCTAGGGGGCAGCAGCTACCTGTGGGTTCCTTCTTCTGATTGGTCAGCTGCCAGCGTAGGCCGTCAGGTGACAGGTGTACACTGTATTCCTGTCCACCACTCAGCAGATCCCCACTCAACAACTCAGGTGCCTCCGCCATTACCACACAAGTCGACTCCTGTCTTCCTGGGCTGGAGGAGAAACATATCCATGTAGCTACAGCCTATTATATGTGACACTTACCTCCACACAAGTCGGCTGCTGTCTTCCTGGGCTGGAGGAGAAACATATCCATGTAGCTACAGCCTATTATATGTGACACTTACCTCCACACAAGTCGGCTGCTGTCTTCCTGGGCTGGAGGAGAAACATATCCATGTAGCTACAGCCTATTATATGTGACACTTACCTCCACACAAGTCGGCTGCTGTCTTCCTGGGCTGGAGGAGACACATACCCAAGGTTACAACATGGCTTTCATATGACATTTACAGTTGAAGTAATGTACAGCTAAACTGTTAATATCTCTTACAGACAGTTGAAACAAAAATATTCAATAAGTCCCAAGAATGTCTTCAATAGTATCTAGATTTCTTCAGATTTCAGAAAATACTCTTTAGTCTCCTTTCTATCATATGTGACCCACCAGGATTTGTTTGTTCGTTTTTCAACGCCGCCCTCACCAATATTCCAGCTATATGATGGCGGTCTGTAAATAATCGAATCTTGACCAGACAATCCAATGATTGACATCATGAGCATCGATCCACGCAATTGGGATATGATGACATGCATCAACCAAGTCAGCGAGCCTGACACCCAATCCCGATAGTCGCCTCTTACGACAAGCATTGTCGCCTTTTACGGTAAGCATGGGTTGCTGAAGATCTATCTAGGATACAATTGTGCTATGACGTCATAAAGACGTTTGACGTCAACTTACTTCCATGAAGATTGATATGTGTGATATCATGCATCTCTGTAATAAATATTAATTGAAGCTTGTGAATTGCATATTTGTGTTCCAAAGATGCTGTAGTTCTAAAATATAATGAAAAGTCAAGTCCCTTATCAAATGGTTGGTCACATATATTAATAGACAATTTAACAAAACAATATTGAAATATGTTATAATTTCAGAGACTAAATACAAATATTGTACAGCATTGCTTAAGTCAGTCATATAGCAACAATGGTGACCAGAGTAAAAAGTTGGTTGGTTGGTTTGTTGTTTAACGCCGCACTCAGCAATATTCCAGCTATATGACGGCGGTCTGTAAATAATCGAATCTGAACCAGACAATCCAGTGATTGATATCATGAGCATCGTTCCACGCAATTGGGGTCGATGACCTACATCAACCAAGTCAGCGAGCCTGACCACCCGATCCTGTTAGTTGAATTTTACGACAAGCAAAGTCGCCTTTTACAGCAAGCATGGGTTGTTGAAGACCTATTCTACCCCGGATCTTCACGGGTCTATATATGTGTATTGGATATCAAGGACATATTCTGCCAGTGAATTCTTAGAAGGTTACTGAACTTATATAAATTACATCCAAACCACAATTTCCCATTTCGGTGAGTCTTACTTCAGGTAAGGGGTACATTAAGGACCCATTCTGTCTCTGAAATACTAGAATGCCAAGACTATGCCCACCAAAATCAGGAAATCTCTTATGTATGATTGTCTGAATACTCAATCCTTAGGGCTGAGACGAGTCCAAATTTATTACCTGGGTACCCAACCCCCTATTACCCGACCCTACCCGGGTACCTGCTGTAGGTCTCAGCAGTTGGGTACAAAATGTCTGAATGGGAATAATTTGAATGTAGCCCTGGCAAAATGTATTCAGATGTATGAATAAAACGATGTGGTCATGCATACACTGAAGTTGACTGAAGCATTATCATTATTCAAACATATGAAAGTCAGAAGGAATTGGTGCATAGTCAGAAAGAAATGCTAACATTAGTGACTTGTAGTGTACCCATGGAGTTCTAGATACTTTCTGCCATTAAACAATATATTACTTGACTAACCACGGTCCGGGTAGTGCTGTAGGCACCCGGGTGCTAGTCAGTACCCTGAGTACCCGAGTTACACGTCCCAGCCCTACTATCCTTGTACCAAGTCTACCACAAGCAAAACCCAGACCTCTCAAATCAAAACCAGTCATAATCCTGAAGCACAGGAAATCATGTCAATTTTGGACTGAGGTAGGTAGGGCAAAAATCCATGAATAAGAGGACAAGTTGAAATAGCACATAAATACACCCACTTTATAAGAATGTGACATATACATATCACCCTGAGATTTACCCCCTAGTCTCTGACAATGTATAATTTTGATAGAAACAAGCAACTACATTTAAATTTAAAAGGAGCCCCAGTGAGATGGGAACCTATGGAAATATCTAGACTTGCTTCATCTAATGCTATGGCATCACAGTGCTGGACGAAAGTGAAAATAAAATGGTCAAGGGACTGTTAGACAGACTAACATCTCCCTACCCCAGTGCCACGGCAGGGTCTGACAATAGGGTTTTATGCCCTGACTGTCGGATCCAATCGCGACTGTCAGCTAACATCACAGCTAACAACCCTGTTACCGAAGCGTCCCAGGCAGGGCCAGCGAGGTCTGTCGATGAGGTTGAATGAGGGGCCATACTGATCGGTATATGGTCTCTGGTTGAAAGCAGCAGAATCAGGGTTTTAGCTGCTTCAATACATTTCTGTGACATTCTGTATCGATACCGTAGTGTCCAGGTTATTCACGGAATAGGATTTTAAGTGTCATTAGACAAGACCAGTGTGCGGCGTATACTTACTATTTGAAGACTGTTATCGCGTGTTATTCTTTCCTTGTCAAGCAGTTGAAGACCGTGGGAAAGTGCCAGCCAGCGCCTCGCTGCGCCCTTTGACCGATGTTCGGGACTCCCCACCCAGTCTAGCTGCAATCCGATGTTTTCCCCTCGAACGGGGTCAGTACAAGAGAACCCTGCCCCACAAGCTACAGCACAAGCTCAGTGAGTCTACGGTATATGCATTCACTCTCCGTCTGACAGATAGGCAACAGTGGCTCTGTAAACAGCGTTATAGCGAGGTTTCTAGGCTCGTGAAGCTGTCCGGGGGTAGTGGTCGGGGAATACCTGTTGGACACCCGTAACATAGGGCCACTCGGTTCCTGGCTACCGTGACAGCTGGATCATTCAGTCATTCGACTGCATGTCTCGTCACACGATAATACGTGTCTGCCCAGATATGGCATATATTCGTAATCATTATCAATTACGGGGAGTTGCGTACCTTGGGAGTGACAGGATCCTAAGATCGTGAATCCGAATGTCAGACTTTCACCATTGCCTATGATCTTAATCACTTGATACTTTTCAAGGCCGCGTTACACCTAGCCGAGAGCCCCAATGGGGGAACCCACTTGACTCAACCAGCCACATAGATCAAGGTACACGTGAGATAATTATATCAAGTGGTTAATGCAGATATTATTACATTCGTCTTCATGTGTATCTTACCTATTTACAAAACCTCGGTCAGTACTGATGTAGTTACATCGCTCTCACTGACACTCGTGCGTTGTCATGGAAACTAGTTTATATCAGAATCCTTTGATATGACATACAGTAAACTACGGTTATAACGAACACGCTTATAACGAACTTACGGATATAACGAACTTACTGTTTTGGTCCCAACTATTTGCTGTAGTTATGCTGTATATGTATATGTATATGTATAACGAACCACGGTTATAACGAACTAAAATTAGTAGTCCCTTTGCGTTCGTTATAACCGTACTTTACTGTATATCTTTAGAAGAAGAAGAGGAGGAGGAGCCGTTTACTATTAAATTATACTTCCGTGGTGCACTGGCCTGTTTTACTGTTTATTGCATTTTCTAAGATGTCCACATTACAATTTGTGATCGTGGCATGGATTATCGATGTTCCTGACAGGGCGTGGCTCATCTGACACACAGATACACCCACTGCATGCACACTGTCATCACAATGCTGCCTCCCAGCAGAGTCATGCCTCCCATTATAGCCTTATGTCGAAGGGGGGGGGGGGGGGGGGGGGGGGGGGGGCACGGGTGGCCCAGTCGTCTAAGGCGCCGCGATTCGCTGTGCAGAGTTGCGTCCCTTGGGCACGCCAGAAACCTATGATTGTGGGTTCGAATCCCGGTTCGCCCCGATTATGTTTCTAGGTTTGTCAGCACCATACCTGTGCTCGTGGGTTTCACCGAAGTGGTAAACGTCTGAGACCTGCATCACTTCGGGCTTTCCTCCCACATGAACCTGACACGCCGCGATATAACTGGAATACTGTTAAAAGCGGCGTTAAATCCAACTCACTCACTCACTTATGTCGAAGGCCGAGACGATTCCCCTCATTTGCGTGATAAAAGCGTAAAACCCAACTCACTCACTAACTCACGGTGAGCGAACACCGGGGCCTCTCATACCCAAAACGTGTCTGTGCCCTCCTGGAATTCAAGTTCATGTAGGCCAGTCTACAGCAGGTGACAAGTCTGTGACACCCTGGCAGAATGGTGCTAACCTGTATTCAGTCCCTCATCAGCTATTCAAAGGTCGCGTCTTATTAAATATGAGGTTTCTCCGTCTCTTCACAGATATATTCTAACAAGGTTAGAAACGGACACCCACATTTCTAAGAACCGTGATATTTGGTTGTATGCATATTAGGTGATACATTTTAACACAACAAGAAAGAAGCATAATATATTTGTATGAGAAGCTCTTTCTTTGGATTTGAAAAATTATAAATTTCGACAGGACAAATAAAAAAAGTAGCCACTGTTAACTCTTAAAATAACTGATCACATACATTATAATTATATAAGCTTTGGTTACCGCATACACCTAATAATGGAACCAGTTACCCCGGGGATGGGCGTAAATACAGGTGCATTTTGCTGTAAAACTTTAAACATCCTTCACTTTAAAAAGAATTTATATTTTTACCCATTAATCTGACCGGCCAAAGAAATAAATCTTGGTTGAATAAGAAATGTCAATGTGTTATTTACTAAACACAACTGTATGCTGATTTCATATTGGGATGATGCATATATTTTTTTCCAATTGGACAGACCCCAACCGTTTTTGTTTGTCAGCTTGTTGTTTAACGCCGCACTCAGCAATATTCCAGCTACACGATGGCGATCTGTAAATAATCGAGTCTGGACTAGACAATCCAGTGATTGACATCACGAGCATCGATCCACACAATTTGGATACAATGCATCAACATGCATCAACCAAGTCAGCGAGTCTGACCACCCAATCCGTTAGTCGCCTCTTAATCACAGAAATATAAAAAAATACTGTATTACTTGCCCGCAGATACCATATCGTGAAGAGATCACCCGTTTAATAAACATACAGCTGTATTGCACAATGTGTAATACCAAAGCGCGTGTTGATGTTCAAGTTTCACGAACAAATATTGAAAACTCTCAACATCCCTGGACTTATTCAACGACATTGCGTATAGAGATGATAGATCACTGAAAGGAGCTTATACACACACGATGACCCTAACAACCCTGTTGCTAGGCTGACGTCACATGGCATTGTTTCGCCGGTGGATCTTGCAAATTACGTCATCGGGTATTGTGATCAGGCTTTCACTCGTCAGATACCAGAACTATTCACTCGTTTCATAAAACTGGTACTACACGGGAGCTCGTTTAGTATTCTATATTATATCCGCTGCAAAGATTACATTGACTACAGCGGCTTTCAATTTTGTAAGACTAGCTGTATTTATGATGATGTTAGACAAGATTATCGTTCCGTACGCTCTGGTCGGAGCTACTGCACGAACCTGTGCGTAACTGACTGGTCCTTGATAGCAAGCCATACGTAGTTACCTCCCTTTGAATAGTTATCGCCACTTAGCCTGTTCGGTAAGTTTCTCAGTTCAAAGCACAATATTTGTCAATCATGATCTGATTATGTTTACGAAGTTTCAAATTAAGGTTACTGACTGTTTTTAAAGATCTGGATTTCCGCAGATGCATGCATACTATCCAATCAACAACGGTATGGGCGCATCTGCCTCTGTTATGAACGACAGGTTATAGTGACACCTTCAGGAACTCGATATACCGCTTCTGTCGACGTGACGTCGGACTCGTAATTTATAACTTTTTGGCAATCCTATTTTCACGAAATTGACATTGAAATTGACGTGATGTCGGATGCGTCATTGTTTTTCTGACCCCAGCGAAGTGAAATGTCCACACTATTTCGTCCACATTGAGGTGTCATTGCCAGAGACTGATTAAGAGACAGACACCCACACTAACTTCCTATATACCTCAGTGATATCAGGTGTTACACAGCACAGGTAGTTAATTAAACCAGGTAGCACTAATCAAGTAACTGACACTCACTGAGGAGATGTAATATGGATGATGTCTGTCTTGTATACAACATATTGTTAAAGCATACATGCATACATATTTTTGTGTTATTTCAATCATACTTGTGTAGAACATAGGTGGCCCAGTGGCTTAACCAGCCAAAACTTGCTGTGCAGAGTTGCCTTCCCTTACCTTGCTAGGATCTGCTGATCATTGGGTTGAATCCCAGATTCTCCCTGAATTGGTTTGTCAGATACATACCCATGGTGATGTATTTCACCAAAGTGGTAACTGGTATATAAGTGTTTAGGTAGCCTGCTTCGTGTTGTGCTTCCACCGACACTGCGATCCAGAGATCTGGACAATCAATAACCTTGACCACTTGGCCCAGCCCAAAATGAAGGTGCAGGGTAGAACAGGTCTTCGGCAACCCATGCTTGCAGTAAAAGGCGACAATGCAAATGTACAAGTATAAATTTATCACTTCCTTACTTAGTTCTTTTTTCACGACTGACACTGAAAACATCCTCCATTTACTATGTGAATGTACACATGTAAAAATGTTGTGGCAACATCAGATGCAATGGATAGAGAAAAGAACTGGCACTATACTGAGTATAGATAAGAATCACAATATTTTTGGTTTAAAGAAACACATAATGACATCTTGAATTTAATTTATATTGCAACAAAGCAAATATACACAAAATGAAATGCTGAAACTCCCTCCCTAATATTACCAAACTAAAAAATATCTCTAAAGCTTATATCATAAGCAAAAATATATCTAATACACGAAATGTGAATACGATAAATTATCATGCAACAACAATTTCGCATAACCATCCTGAATTGACAAATTTGCCTATCCTATGTGTACTGTATTAAATATGTATCACAATAGATTAACTTCATATACTCATATTGAACAACAATGTAATATATTAATGAAATAAAATGGCCTATCGGTATCTGTACCCAAGAAAAGAGAAATAAAGTGATAAACAAAAAAAGAAGTTCGGACTGGGAGAATATTGTTCAGTACACTGTCGTCAGTGTTACAGCTGGGTCATGGACAATGTTAGTAAAAAAAGTTGAATCAGACAAACTAGTGGTTGATGGCATGAGCACCATGTATTGCCACCCAGGAAGGAAGCGTCACATATAATAGACTGTAGCTATATGGATATGTTTCTCCTCCAGCCCCGGAAGAATGCAGCTGACTTGTGTGGAGGTAAGCGTCACATATAATAGGCTGTAGATACATGGATATGTTTCTCCTCCAGCCCAGGAAGACAGCAGCCGACTTGTGTGGTAATGGCGGAGGCACCTGAGTTGTTGAGTGGGGATCTGCTGAGCGGTGGACAGGAATACCGTGTACACCTGTCACATGACGGCCTACGCTGGCAGCTGACCAATCAGAAGAAGGAACCCGCAGGTAGATTAAAAATGGATTCATATGTTAATAATTTTTAATTTGAAGTTTACATGATGTATAGCTTTTCAAATGGACGAGAGGTCCATCACATGACTGCAAAATTGGCGTTCATAAGTGCATGGACAACACAATTTGATGTCAGTTGTTTTTGAAGAGTAATTTGTGCATACATATGCTCATGTCAACTTTTGAGCAACTATTTTATTCTGCCATACAGCTGGTTGTTGTGTGGCTGTCAGTGTAAACATGAAGTCACAGGAACTAAATAAAATAGTGTATAGATTTAGGCCTCCATCCTTTGAGGTAAAATATTGTGATAAAAAATTATAAGAACTGGCTTCATAGAGTGAGGGCCCAACATTGTGTGAACGTCGTCGCAAGCTCTGATGTTCATACAGTTTGACCATCACTCTATGAAGGTTCATTCTCCAATGAACTCACACAAAGTGAAAGTCAATTCTTAATGGTACATGTAGTTCACCCAATAGGCACCAAATCTTTCATCTAAACGTTGCAATTTGAAAATAAGACAAAAATCAGGTGCACTGCAGTGGCATTAATTTCATTGAATACGACATTTCAGCTAAACTCCAACGTCAAACATCTCTTTTTACGTTTTCCCTTCTTGATAGCTGAAAATACCACTGAATATAGTTCCACCACACAGTATCTAAGGGTTGTCGGGTAACCTAGTGGTTTAAGCCTTCACTCGTCACATAGACCAAAAGAATGTGTTAAAAGTATATGCATTTACTGTTGTACACGTCAACATGTTATACAGCTTTTTACTGTAAAGATAAAATAACATGGTTGCAATTCAGTATCTGGCTTGATATTAGTTATTGTGTCTTTAGTTGCCATATATGGTGTCATATTAGGCTGACGCCTCGCCCAATATTTTTCTTCTAAACTAATATGAAACCGTATATGGCAACTAAAGACACCATAACGAATATATTATGCCGAAAGCAATTGACAGCCATTGATGATGTCAAAGGGAGACCACTCTTTAAACCTTAGAGGCCAAACCTTGTTGAAAATTTAAACTATAATTTTTATCAATAAAGTCACGAAAGTGATCTAAAAGCAGATTAACGTCCTTGCACGTCACAATTAATTATAGTAAAACACAAAACAGTTTCAAATAAAGAATATCCATGTGAAATATGTGAAGTGGGTGTTGGAAAATCCAAGATGGCCGTTACGGACGGTATACGGTCTCATATTAGGTCAGTATCAACCATCTTGTTTTTTTACTGACGGTATACGGGCTCATGTGGGGTCAGTAGTTCTGCTCTCTGATTGGTCAATCTCACTTTGAGGCATAATAAAGGCTCCTATGGGGTTAATAGTTCTGCGCTCTGATTGGTCAATCTCACTTTGAGGCATAATAAAGGCTCCTATGGGGTTAATAGTTCTGCGCTCTGATTGGTCAATCTCACTTTGAGGCATAATAATTGTCAATATTTCACTTGTGTGTAGAAATAGTTGAGCCCAGCATGTGACTGTTTGTTTGCAGCTATTTGAACTGAATGTGGATTAGAAATGCAATTGACCAACTTCAAAACTCCCACCATGATGCAAACTGGACCTTGTTGTTTTAGAAATCTCTGACAACTCGGATTTCATTCTAAAGAGAATGTTTGTATGATCAGATTAGTTTTTTAAATCAAAGAAAAGATCAATGCATCAGTGTTGCTTTCAATTCTTCAAAATGATATTCTCAATCTGTTGTTTCTTTAAGCACAAGGCTGAAGGGGGAGGTGGGGTAGCCTAGTGGTTAAAGCAGTCGATCATCACGCCGAAGGCCTGGGTTCTCCATATGGGTACAATGGGTGAAGCCCATTTCTGGTGTTCCCTGTCGCGAGATTGGTGGAATATTGCTAAAAGTGGCGTAAAACCATACTCTCTCAGAGTGCGATCGTAGTGCTACGACTGTCATAAGTCTATGTTAAAGTATTTGAGTTACAATCATCTTACCACCACGATCGCTTTGTCGAACAGGGTCCAGACCTGATGGTATGTAAGTCACAAGTTCCATTTTGAAAACAATTAGATACATCCAATGTTAACATTGTGTTGAATACACCATCTTGTTAGTTACGACTGTATGGGAAATGTGAGACTTTGCCCAGGTTTGGATGGTGGGAAACGATAAGGATTACAGGGTTGGACACAGCCACAAGTCCACTTGTCTATTAGGCCTAGATGAGTGACAATCCAGGACTTGTAGTTTTCTAGCCAAATGTTTTATTCAAACCACTGGTCTAAAGTGAGCTGCAGACTGTTTGGATTTGACCAATGTTATCTGATGCTGGATTCAGTGTTCCTGTTTACCGGTAATTGCCAGTTTTGTACTGGTAAAATTAGGCTTGGACCAGTAATTCATGTGACTGCCAGTCCCTGTGGACTGGCAAATAGAGTACCTTATATATCTTTGTTGTTGAATAAAAGATTTGCTCTCGGTTTTTCAAAAGTCAGCTTGTCTGTTTCCATCAGGGTTTCCTGTTGTCTATTGTCAGTGCAAAGAAACAACATTTCACTTTGCTGTGAGGTTAAATATGTATTTGTAGTGACTTCGTCTGGAATTATTTAAAAAAAGGAGAAAATTGTGACTTACCTTTGTGGTAATGATGTGCAGATCTAAGTTACTTCGGAGATGACGTCTGTGCAATCAAACATGTTAAAAGAATTTAAGCCAGGTCATTTTCATGCATTTTTTTATTTGTTGAAAGTTGGGACTGACAAAAATTAGGGGGGACTGGTCATTTGTACAGTTGCCCAGTCCCAACTATGAAATTGTCAGTCCCAGGGACCCTTGGTTCGTTGGGAGTAGTCCCTAGTTTTCCACATTATAAATTGGTTATCACATTTGGTTTCCTAAGGTGACAGGCAAGATTTAGTTGGTCAGTATTTATCTAACTTTGAGGGGATATGTTGAACCCTTTGCTCACTGTTTTATTGTAGAGGTCAGCCTCCCGTGGAGTGACATCTACGGCCTGGGGTCAGATGGCCTGGGGGAGACAACTCAGGTGAATGGTGAGGGCAAGAGCTTCACCATCCACTTTATATCCCGCAGAAAGGATAAGAAGTGGAGGGCAGCTGAGAAGAAGTTTGATGTGAAGGAAGGTGACGTCAGTGCATGGGTTGTCCAGATACAAGCCAAGTATCGACCAGGTGGGTTTCTCTGCTTGTGGTGGACGTCATGACAGAATTTGATGAAATGAATACTAACACTTCCAATATTATTTGTTGCTTGTTCTGTTTTGTTCAGCGACCCCTAAAAGCCTGCTTGTGATAGTGAACCCAATCGGGGGCAAGGGTCAAGGTCGACAGATCTACGAGAAGAAGGTGGCAGGTCTCTTCAAGACGGCAGAGATTAACACTCATGTTATCTGTAAGTACCACATTTTCCTGTATTGTGCACACTTTTTCCCCAATATTACAGCCGAGTAGAGGGGTGTGATCATAATACATGCAGACAATGAATTTTGATTTTATTTCCCAATGCAAAGTTATGACCATGAGCATGTACCACTGGATCCATACTGAAGAATGCAAATTAGTTCTGGATCGGTGAAGATCCAGGGTAGAATATGTCTTCAGTAACCCATGCTTTCTGTGAAAGGTGACTATGCTTGTTGTAAGAGGCCACTAACGGGATCAGGTGGTTGATGCATGTCATCGATCCTAATTGTGTGGATCGATGCTCATGATATCAATCACTGGATTGTCTAGTCCAGACTCAATTTTTTACACAGACTGCTGTCATATAGCTGGAATTTTGCTGAGTGCGGCGTTAAACAACAAACAAACAAACAACAAACATTAGTTCTGTTGTTACACTATCTGGATATAAAAGGAGTTCATTGTATATCTGGACAAAGTAGACACAATTTATGGAAAAGCAACTTCTTCTTTGTATATATGTGGACTTAAGTTTGTAATCCAGCTCTGGAGGCTGATATATAATGGAGCACAAGTGGGCCTGCGGTCTACTTCACTGCAGTCTACTGTGCAGAGTTGCCTCCCCTAGCTGTGTCAGGATCCACTTGATCCAGTAAGTGGTGAATAGAAGATGACAAGGTTATGTACAGGAGGTTCACCCATTTTTCTTGGAACTGTAATAATTGGCTATAGTCTCCGTTTTGCAGTAAACGTGAACGTGGACGTGAGCATATTGGATCGGAATAGGTCATGTTTGTGTGACTCTGTCACTCTGTGACTCATTCCTTTTAGTCACCGGTTTCCCTGGTCTAAAATCAAATTGTTCACATGCCACCTTGATGTTGCTTGAATATAGGTGACTGAATTGTTTGTTTCAGTGGTGGAAGCTGTTTGCTCGCCAGGTCTTAGATCCATGTTCGACACTCGCTCGCTCGCTCACTCACTCACTCACTCACTCACTCACTCACTCACCCACTCACCCACTCACCCACTCACTCACTCACTCACTGTTGCAGTGACAGAAAGGGCCAGACATGCAGAAGAAATTATCAACAACTTTGACTTCTCTGATGTGGAAGGGTTAGTAATCACAATGATTTCTACAGAAAAGGTTGTTCTAATACGAAGGAACCTGCATGCTGATTTTCAGATATCTAAAGCACAAAGGTCATGTCACTGAAAAACTCGTTTCAAGGTTATTGTTGTCACAGGATGATTTGCTTTTACGAAGTCTGCTACGAGAAAGCTAGCCCTCCATGAAGGGCTATAGGTCCCATTCCCTCTACTGAACAACTGGCCAACAGGTGTTTGGGCTTGAAGCAGGAACTGACACTCTTCTAAAAGGAGTGAAAATGCTGGCTGGTATCTCTGCACAGCTTAGACCTACTTGAATTTATACCACAACATTAAGGATGGAGAAACTTGGCCTGCACCTTCCTATTGACAGTCTCTCCTAAACCTGCTTAACTGTTTCTGTTTGATGTTTTAATAGTTTCCATTGTAAACATTTGTATCGTGGATCTAAGATATCTTTTCCAGTTTTGAAGATACTTTGATTTTTATTGCCCATGCAATTTCACTTTGGTGACACATATTTAAGGAATGAAGTTTTCTCTACCCCTATGTGTAGTGTCTGTAAAGCATAGTTTTGGACCCACGAAGTCCGGGGTAGAATAGGTCTTCAGCAACCCCTGCTTGTAAAAGGCGACTATGCTTGACGTAAGAGGCGACTAACGGGATCAGGTGGTCAGGCTCGCTGATGCATGTCATCATATCTCAATTGCGTTGATCGATGCTCATATCAATTACTGGATTGTCTAGTCCAGACTCGATTATTTACAGACCGCCGTCATATAGCTGGAATATTGCTGAGTGCGACGTTAAGCAACAAACAAACAAACAAACAATTGGAACAGTGCCATGGCGTCCGTCCATTATAACGTATAGTGTACTTTATCCCAGATTGTTGATGCCTTTGATCTTTTCACGAAGCATGTTAGAATCCATTGTCAGGTGAGCTAACAAACATACGGCCAGTGGTGAATGGTGGGTGTCATGTTGGGGAGGTGTCCAGAGGTTGATTTCTGATGTCAGCCGTTTTGTGTGTGTCCAGCATCGTGACAGTGGGAGGAGACGGGATGTACCAGGAGGCACTCAACACGCTCATCCAACGGAACCAGAAAGAGGCTGGCATCGACGTCAATAATCCAGAGTCTGTCCTCAAGCCGCTAGATATCAAGTTTGGCATCATTCCAGCAGGTGCTTGTTGCTGTGTACCGATTAGTTTCACAAATTTGTAATATCTGTAAAAGATGTAAGACATTTGTATCATTAGTTTTGTTTGATTTTACTGTAGGAAAATTAAGGTTCTGGCCTTATGGTGTCTGTTATGGTCTCTGATCTTACTCTATCAAGGTACAGTCAATGGTGCCTTTGACCCGTGAAGATCCAGAGTAGAATAGGTCTTCAGCAATCCATGCTTGCTGTAAAAGGCGACTACGCTTGTTGTAAGAGGCGACTAACGGGATCGGGTGGTCAGGCTCACTGACTTGGTTGATGCATGTCATCGATCCCAATTGCGTGGATCGATGCCCGTGATGTCATTCACTGGATAGTCTTGTCCAGACTCGATTATTTACAGACTGCCGTCATATAGCTGGATTATTGCTGAGTGCGGCGTTAAACAACAAACAAACAAACAATGGTGTCTTTAATGCTCTCTCATCTTCTCTATCAAGGTACAGGCAATGGTGTCTTTAATGCTCTCTCATCTTCTCTATCAAGGTACAGGCAATGGTGTCTTTAATGCTCTCTCATCTTCTCTATCAAGGTACAGGCAATGGTGTCGTTAATGCTCTCTCATCTTCTCTATCAAGGTACAGGCAATGGTGTCTTTAATGCTCTCTCATCTTCTCTATCAAGGTACAGGCAATGGTGTCGTTAATGCTCTCTCATCTTCTCTATCAAGGTACAGGCAATGGTGTCTTTAATGCTCTCTCATCTTCTCTATCAAGGTACAGGCAATGGTGTTGCAAATTGGGCTTGTGGTGTTAACGATGTTGAGACTGCAGCTCTACATGTAATACGAGGTAAGTTTTTATTGGACATTTGCTGCTATAACATTGTTGTTTAACATTTAAAGAATATTACAATGATATATTCCTTACAGACACCATTTATTATAAAAATCATGTAACTAAAATATAGGCAAACATGCATTCCTTACATAACGTCTATTTCTTAGTATACATGCAGTTAGAATGTCTGTTGTGTGGAAACAGTTAGAATGTCTGTTGTGTGGAAACAGTTAGAATGTCTGTTGTGTGGAAACAGTTAGAATGTCTGTTGTGTGGAAACAGAATGTCTGTTGTGTGGAAACAGTTAGAATTTCTGTTGTGTAGAAACAGTTAGAATGTCTGTTGTGCGGAAACAGTCAGAATGTCTGTTGTGTGGAAACAGTTAGAATGTCTGTTGTGAGGAAACGGTTAGAATGTCTGTTGTGTGGAAACAGTTAGAATGTCTGTTGTGTGGAAACAGAATGTCTGTTGTGTGGAAACAGTTAGAATGTCTGTTGTGTGGAAACAGTTAGAATGTCTGTTGTGTGGAAACAGTTAGAATGTCTGTTGTGTGGAAACAGAATGTCTGTTGTGTGGAAACAGTTAGAATTTCTGTTGTGTAGAAACAGTTAGAATGTCTGTTGTGCGGAAACAGTCAGAATGTCTGTTGTGTGGAAACAGTTAGAATGTCTGTTGTGAGGAAACGGTTAGAATGTCTGTTGTGTGGAAACAGTTAGAATGTCTGTTGTGTGGAAACAGTTAGAATGCCTGTTGTGTGGAAACTTGTGTGGAACCAGTTAGAATGTCTGTTGTGTGGAAACAGTTAGAATGTCTGTTGTGTGGAAACAGTAAGAATGTCTGTTGTGTGGAAAAAGTTGGAATGTCTGTTGTGTGGAAACAGTTAGAATGTCTGTTGTGTGGAAACAGTTAGAATGTCTGTTGTGTGGAAACAGTTAGAATGTATGTTGTGTGGAAACAGAATGTCTGTTGAGTGGAAACAGTTAGAATTTCTGTTGTGTAGAAACAGTTAGAATGTCTGTTGTGCGGAAACAGTTAGAATGTCTGTTGTGTGGAAACAGTTAGAATGTCTGTTGTGTGGAAACAGTTAGAATGTCTGTTGTGTGGAAACAGTTAGAATGTCTGTTGTGTGGAAACAGTTAGAATGTCTGTTGTGTGGAAACAGTTAGAATGTCTGTTGTGTGGAAACAGTTAGAATGTCTGTTGTGTGGAAACAGTTAGAATGTCTGTTGAGTGGAAACAGTTAGAATGTCTGTTGTGTAGAAACAGTTAGAATGTCTGTTGTGTGGAAACAGTTAGAATTTCTGTTGTGTAGAAACAGTTAGAATGTCTGTTGTGTGGAAACAGTTAGAATGTCTGTTGTGTTGAAACAGTTAGAATGTCTGTTGTGTGGAAACAGTTAGAATGTCTGTTGTGTGGAAACTTGTGTGGAACCAGTTAGAATGTCTGTTGTGTAGAAACAGTTAGAATGTCTCTTGTGTGGAAACAGTTAGAATGTCTGTTGTGTGGAAACAGTTGGAATGTCTGCTGTGTGGAAACAGTTAGAATGCCTGTTGTGTGGAAACTTGTGTGGAACCAGTTAGAATGTCTGTTGTGAGGAAACAGTTGGAATGTCTGTTGTGTAGAAACATTTAGAATGTCTGTTGTGTAGAAACAGTTAGAATGTCTGTTGTGTAGAAATATTAAGAATGTCTGTTGTGTGGAAACAGAATGTCTGTTGTGTGGAAACAGTTAGAATGTCTGTTGTGTGGAAACAGCTAGAATGTCTGTTGTGTGGAAACAGAATGTCTGTTGTGTGGAAACTTGTGTGGAAACAGTTAGAATGTCTGTTGTGTGGAAACAGTTAGAATGTGTGTTGTGTGGAAACAGAATGTGTGTTGTGTGGAAACAGTTAGAATGTCTGTTGTGTGGAAACAGTTTGAATGTCTGTTGTGTGGAAAGGTTTACTTTTTTTCATGCCTGTTTATTCTTGTATGATATTAAAATGAAGGTCGAGTCTGTGTTTTTGTGTTTTGTCAGGCGAGGTAAACAATTTCAACATTTTCGGCATCTATGAACCAGGCAAGCTCGTGTGCTTCAGCGGCCTTCTCTTTGCCTATGGATTCTACAGCGACATGGTTAAAAAGACGGATGAGAAGCGATGGATGAAAACATTCAGATATCCTTGTAGGTTGCCATTCTTTCTCCTGTATCTCTCAAGATTGTTAGTGTCCGGTATTTCACACTATGAATAAATACACATTTTAAGATTTTCACCCATCAGTAGCATAGTTTACATTGGTGTCTGTGGATTTACAGAGTTACCTCCCTTGGCTGTGCCAGGATCCTGGATCAGTATCCTGGTCTCTTGGCATAACATCTGTACTCATTGGCTTCATCAATGCAGAAACATCTGAACCACTTTTCAAGTTAAGCTGACATGACCTATGAGTAAAATATTGTGAAACACAACTCTCTCACTCACTCGAAGCATCTGCTTGTCCCAGGGCAGTTTTTGAAATTGCTTTCTGCTAGATATCATGTGATACATGGGCCAGGAACCCACCATCAAAGACCCTTGAGTCTTGTAATATTTCTTCACCTCATTCAACTTAGTTTCTGAATACAGTCAAGTCCCGTTAATCCGACATCGATGGTTGCATATGATTATGTCGGATAAACGAGTATGTCGGATAACCGAAATTAAGTAGTATCAACGTTCGTCATCGAAAATCGGACAACTACACGATAGATAAGGATTCAAACATGTAATAAAAAATATGACATAAATATTCATATTGTTATGTTACATTGTTGGCAGAATATTTTTTCTAATCATGCAACCTCTAAAGTTTAACACCAAACAACTGTTACGGACTGTATGACTTATTCAAAATACTTTAAAAAGCATAGTCTGGAATGAAAGTCGCAACTTTGAAACTGGTACCTAAAGCTTAAGAAAGCTGCTTTCTAAGTGGCTAATGTCGACTTCCTGTGGGTCATTTCATTGGTAGGTCATAGTTCGCGAAAGGTTGTTCTGACATGACCTGTAATGGGATGTCCTCGTCGATAGCGAGAACTTGTATCTGATTTGAATTAGATTGAGGTAATCTAAGCATGTGATTTATCCTGTTTTCTTTATTTAAAGCATTAATTGTTTATTGTTAAGCAAGTTTATTTCTGCAGATGTTGTAATATGCAGCTATCAGTTGATTTATCTTGCATCAAAACACAGGCTGTGTACTCTCGGGCAGATGGCCACAGAGTACGCTGATCACTGTGTTGGATTAATGAGACTGATTTCGGTAATTCGTTGCAAATTAGGTGTGTCTCAGTCGGGGTGCGAGACTGTCGGATTAACAGGTCTAAATAGCACTGATTGAATTGGTTCCCATCATTGGTGTCTGATAAAGCCGATTGTCGGATTAACAAGTGTCGGATTAACGAGACTTGACTGTATATTGGTGAATTTGAACCGTGTATTTTTCCATAAATAATTTTTGACTCCTTTGTTAAAATCATTCACCACCTCCGAACAACACACCTTTGCTTGCACACTTGGGGTTCAACATGCATCCAGTGTCAATCAGTGTTGGCTAGGACTGTCTCCCTGGTCTAGAGGTAGAGCATCCGCCCGGAAGGAAGGTTGGTGGTTCGATCCACGGCCATGTCATATCAAAAGACGTTTACAAGATGGTACTTGTTCTTACCCTGCCTGGAGCTTTAGCATTAAGGGGCTAAAACAAGGACTGGTTGGCTCAGAGCCAATATACTGTATCTGAGTGGGGTACTCATATTAAACTGCAGCATGGTATCTCAGTGGGCAAGCACTATGAAATCGGCATTAGTTCAGGCTAGTACGAGCAGTCACACATAAACACACACGTGCATGCACGTCCCTATATAAGAGCAATAACCTTGGACGCGAAGTTAAACTAAATTTCACTTCACCTCACCTCACCTCACCTCACCTCACCTCACCTCACCTCAGCACACCTCACCTCAGCACACCTCACCTCACCTCACCTCACTTTACCTCACATCACCTCAGCACACATCACCTCACCTAATTTCACCTCACCTAATTTCACCTCACCTCACCTCACCTCACCTCACCTCACCTTGGCTAGATATCTTTGTTGCCCACTTGGAGAGCTGCTCGTCATCTGACCCGTTGCCGGAGAGACCTATGACAAACACTGTCCGAGGGTAACACAGCCAGTGGAATACCCATAGCAGCAGTGTGTTGGTGGATGATGGGTGACACTTGTGGTGGGTGACATTTCGGTTTACATTTCCAGATGTGCTGCTAACCAGTATGTTGGGCAAGAGGCGTGTTTATGAGGCGGACATCCAGGTGCTCGAGGCACCGAGTCTTGAGAACAACGCACAGGACAAGCGTGGGTAATAGTGCTTTGTGTAGACATAGGCAGTGGGATAAAGAGTGCCCGATGTAGCTGTGGAGTGCTCGATGTAGATGTAGAGTGCCAGATGTAGAGTGCCAGATGTAGAGCGCCAGATATAGAGTGCCAGATGTAGAGTGCCAGATGTAGAGCGTCAGATGTAGAGCGTCAGATGTAGAGTGCCAGATGTAGAGCGTCAGATGTAGAGGGCCAGATGTAGAGCGTCAGATGTAGAGTGCCAGATGTAGCTGTGGAGTGCTCGATGTAGAGCGTAGAGGGCCAGATGTAGAGAGACAGATGTAGAGTGCCAGATGAAGAGTGCCAGATGTAGAGTGCCCGATGTAGAGTGTCAGATGTAGAGTGCCAGATGTAGCTGTGGAGTGCTCGATGTAGAGCGTAGAGGGCCAGATGTAGAGCGTCAGATGTAGAGCGTCAGATGTAGAGTGCCAGATGTAGAGTGCCCGATGTAGAGTGTCAGATGTAGAGTGCCAGATGTAGATGTAGAGTGCCAGATGTAGCTGTGGAGTGCTCGATGTAGGATGTAGAGGGCCAGATGTAGAGGGCCAGATGTAGAGCGTCAGATGTAGAGTGCCAGATGTAGAGTGCCCGATGTAGATGTAGAGTGCCAGATGTAGCTGTGGAGTGCTCGATGTAGAGCGTCAGATGTAGAGCGTCAGATGTAGAGTGCCAGATGTAGAGTGCCAGATGTAGAGTGCCAGATGTAGAGTGCCAGATGTAGAGCATCAGATGTAGAGCGCCAGATGTAGAGCGCCAGATGTAGAGTGCCAGATGTAGAGCGCCAGATGTAGAGCATCAGATGTAGAGTGCCAGATGTAGAGTGCCAGATGTAGAGCGCCTGATGTAGAGAGTCAGATGTAGAGTGCCAGATGTAGAGTGCCAGATGTAGAGTGCCAGATGTAGAGTGCCAGATGTAGAGTGCCCGATGTAGAGCGTCAGATGTAGAGTGCCAGATGTAGCTGTGGAGTGCTCGATGTAGAGTGTAGAGGGCCAGATGTAGAGGGCCAGATGTAGAGCGTCAGATGTAGAGTGCCAGATGTAGAGTGCCAGATGTAGAGTGCCCGATGTAGAGTGCCAGATGTAGCTGTGGAGTGCTCGATGTAGAGCGTCAGATGTAGAGCGCCAGATGTAGATGTAGAGTGCCAGATGTAGCTGTGGAGTGCTGGATGTAGAGTGTAGAGGGCCAGATGTAGAGGGCCAGATGTAGAGCGTCAGATGTAGAAAGCCAGATGTAGAGTGCCCGTGCCAGATGTAGCTGTGGAGTGCTCGATGTAGAGCGTCAGATGTAGAGCGCCAGATGTAGATGTAGAGTGCCAGATGTAGCTGTGGAGTGCTGGATGTAGAGCGTAGAGGGCCAGATGTAGAGCGTCAGATGTAGAAAGCCAGATGTAGAGTGCCCGATGTAGAGTGCCCGATGTAGAGTGCCAGATGTAGCTGTGGAGTGCTCGATGTAGAGCGTCAAATGTAGAGCGCCAGATGTTGAGCGTCAGATGTAGAGTGCCAGATGTAGATGTAGAATGCCAGATGTAGCTGTGGAGTGCTCGATGTAGAGCGTCAGATGTAGAGCGCCAGATGTAGAGCGCCAGATGTAGAGTGCCAGATGTAGAGCGTCAGATGTAGAGTGTCAGATGTAGAGTGTCAGATGTAGAGTGCCAGATGTAGAGAGCCAGATGTAGAGTGCCAGATGTAGAGCGTCAGATGTAGAGTGCCAGATGTAGAGTGCCAGATGTAGAGTGCCAGATGTGGAGTGCCAGATGTGGAGTGCCAGATGTAGAGCGTCAGATGTAGAGCGCCAGATGTAGAGTGCCAGATGTAGAGCGCCAGATGTAGAGTGCCAGATGTGGAGTGTCAGATGTAGAGTGTCAGATGTAGAGCATCAGATGTAGAGCGCCAGATGTAGAGAGCCCGATATAGAGTGCCAGATGTAGAGTGCCAGATGTAGAGCGTCAGATGTAGAGAGTCAGATGTAGAGCGTCAGATGTAGAGTGTCAGATGTAGAGAGCCAGATGTAAAGCGTCAGATGTAGAGTGCCAGATGTAGAGTGCCAGATGTAGAGCGCCAGATGTAGAGCGCCAGATGTAGAGTGCCAGATGTAGAGCGCCAGATGTAGAGTGCCAGATGTAGAGCGCCAGATGTAGAGTGCCAGATGTAGAGTGCCAGATGTAGAGCGCCTGATGTAGAGAGTCAGATGTAGAGTGTTAGATGTAGAGTGCCAGATGTAGAGTGCCAGATGTAGAGCATCAGAAGTAGAGTGCCAGATGTAGGGGTAGAGAGGTGTATCTGCTCCAGATGTTGGTGTATCGACTCACTCATGCTGCAATTGTGTGTGACACTGTGTGTTTCAGGGCAGAGTCCGAAGGAGCTGCCGCCTCCCCCACAGAGCTAGGTATGCAGTCACAAGGCTTGTTACCAAATGAATGAAATGTGGTAGTATAGAACCTTCATAGAGACTGTGTTGTACCAGTCCATGCTATCACTGCATTGTATCATGGTATAGAACCTTCATAGAGACTGTGTTGTACCAGTCCATGCTATCACTGCATTGTATCATTGTATAGAACCTTCATAGAGACTGTGTTGTACCAGTCCATGCTATCACTGCATTGTATCATGGTATAGAACCTTCATAGAGACTGTGTTGTACCAGTCTATGCTATCACTGCATTGTATCATGGTACATAACAGAAAAAACCCTTGCTTAAATCTTGCTACAGGAGCGTTGTACCATTTATGACAAAGTCACTTATAACAAACTGACGGATATAATGAACTGGGTTTTTTTTGTCCTGACCATTTGCTGTAAATATGATGTATATACAGTAAACTACATTTATAATGAACACGCTTATAACGAACTGACAGATATGAATTTATTTTTGGGTCCCAGCCACTGCTGTTTATATATGCTTTACATATGCATATAACAAAGTAATGTTAAGATAAACTCAATCTCATTAAAATCAGACCTGAGTTCTCGCTGCCGCTAAACAAAGATCTGAGGTCATCCCATTACGGGTCACGTCAGAACGACCTTTCACGAACTTTGACCGACGACTGAAATGACAAACAAGAAGTAGACATCAGCCAATGAGAAAGCAGCTTTCTCGAGCTTTACTGCAGTCGTTTCAACCTGGCGACTTCCATTTCAGATTACGCTTGAAAAATATGTTGAAAAAGTTCTCGATTAAAATTTTGAAAACTGAACAAACGAACATTCCGGAATGTCTAATATATGGTTGAGATTGTATAGCAATGCTTCCCACATACTGTTCAACGCCTCCTCTGTTGAAATGTTTATCCCACTGAAGCGAGATTATTTTGACAAATGAGTCGTACGGGTCGTAACTGTCGTTCAGAATACCCCGTGTTGACATTTTTGAGGTTGCATGATTAGGAAACACATTCCGACTGTCACTATTATGATCTGGTAAGCGACGTCCTGATTGGTCAGATGAAAGGTTGTTCTGACGTGACCCGTAATGGGATGTTCTCATATCTTTGTTTAGCGGTAGCGAGAACTAGGATCTGATTTTAATGAGATTGAAATAAACTAAAATTAGTGGCCCCTTTGAGTTCGTTATAACCGTAGTTGACTGTAAGCTTATTACGAACTACGGTTACAACGAACTAAAATTAGTAGTCCCATGAGTTCATTATAACCCTAGTTTACTGTATATGATGGCGGTCTGTAAATAACCGATTCCAGACCATACAAACCAGATATTGTGAGCAACGATGCACTCCATCGGGTTAAACTGACAGACAGATGTCGCCTCGGTATGTAGCCTTGTTCTTGTGTCGCAGGATGGCGGAGACTGGAGACGAGGGAGTACATGGATGTCCTCATGTTTGTCTGTGATCTCAACACTGCCGGGGAGCAGCTCGTAATGGACCCATCGTCACAGACCATCACCGTTCTGCTGTCTAAGCACTGTGGAAGAATCAGCCACCTCAAGGTGTTTTTGGGGGCGATGACAGGGAAGAAAGAGAGTGTAAGTCTGGTTACATTATATTCCATGCATTGGTTACTGTATACTCCATGCATTGGTTACATTATATTCCATGCATTGGTTACTGTATACTGCATGCGTTGGTTTCTGTATACTCCATGCATTGGTAACTGTATACTCCATGCATTGGTTTCTGTATACTCCATGCATTGGTTACTGTATACTCCATGCATTGGTTACTGTATACTCCATGCATTGGTTACTGTATACCCCATGCCTTTTGGTTACTGTATACTCCATGCATTGGTTACTGTATACTCCATGCATTGGTTACTGTATACTGCATGCATTGGTTACTGTATACTGCATGTGTTGGTTTCTGTATACTCCATGCATTGGTTTCTGTATACTCCATGCATTGGTTACTGTATACTCCATGCATTGGTTTCTGTATACTCCATGCATTGGTTACTGTATACTCCATGCATTGGTTACTGTATACTGCATGCATTGGTTATTGTATACTCCATGCATTGGTTACTGTATACTCCATGCATTGGTTACTGTATACTCCATGCATTGGTTACTGTATACTCCATGCATTGGTTTCTGTATACTGCATGCATTGGTTACTGTATACTGCATGCATTGGTTACTGTATACTCCATGCATTGGTTTCTGTATACTTCATGCATTGGTTACTGTATACTCCATGCATTGGTTACTGTATACTCCATGCATTGGTTACTGTATACTCCATGCATTGGTTTCTCTATACCCCATGCATTGGTTTCTGTATACCTCACTCACTCACTCACTCACTCACTCACTCACTCACTCACTCACTCACTCACTCACTCACTCACTCACTCACTCACTCACTCACTCCTAAATGTGAAAATTACAGCCTACCTAATACCTATTTTCATTGGAGCTCACAAAACTTTGTGCTAACAATCTTTCCGTGCTATTCCAGCTGCAGGCTCCACAGTTGACTGTCCTGAAAAATGTCACAGCATTTAAGATCAAGGTCAAGGTCTGTGATGAGAACTCCTCGAAGTCTGAAAAACAGAAGGAACTGGAACACTTACTGGACGTCGATGGGGAGGTGTACCGAGCAGAGACCATGGATCTCGAGATACGGTATGCAAACCTTTTAGTTGGAACTGTGACAATGTATACAGTATGCAAACTTTTTAGTTTGAACTGTGACAATGTATACGGTATGCAAACTTTTTAGTTCAAACTGTGACAATGTATACGGTATGCAAACCTTTTAGTTGGAACTGTGACAATGTATACAGTATGCAAACTTTTTAGTTTGAACTGTGACAATGTATACGGTATGCAAACCTTTTAGTTGGAACTGTGACAATGTATACAGTATGCAAACTTTTTAGTTTGAACTGTTACAATGTATACGGTATGCAAACCTTTTAGTTGGAACTGTGACAATGTATACGGTATGCAAACTTTTTAGTTCGAACTGTGACAATGTATACGGTATGCAAACTTTTTAGTTCGAACTGTGACAATGTATACGGTATGCAAACTTTTAAGTTCAAACTGACAATGTATACGGTATGCAAACTTTTTAGTTCAAACTGTGACAATGTATACGGTATGCAAACTTTTTACTTCGAACTGTGACAATGTATACGGTATGCAAACTTTTTAGTTCAAACTGTGACCATGTTTGTTTCAAAACCGTTAATTTTTAAAGAGTATATTGTGTCATTCTGTGCAATCCAGTCACACAAACATCTCAATTCCTTGGAAATAGAAAAATGCAATAGCATATCTTATGCAGTGAGGCCTTGTAGTCCTGTTGACCATCAAAGGAATATGAAGTTCTGCATAAGTCAATACAATCAGACCAGCATGTGGATAAGGATTCCGCAGGGCCATGAAGTTACATTGTCTTCATCGGTATAGCGAGCTAAGAGTTAAAAAACTTTAACTGTGTAATTTTCAACCTCTAACATATCAGGGGCGGTCGGGTAGCCCAGTGGTTAAAGTGTTCGCTCGTCACGCCGAAGACCCGGGTTTCGATTCCCGACATGGGTTCAATGTGTGAAGCCCATTTCTGGTGTCTCCCATCGTGATATTGCTGGAATATTGCTAAAAGCGGCGTAAAACCATACTCACTCACTCACCCACTCACACTTACATATCAATTATTATTTTATTTTTTAAACGTTTTTATTGTTGTTGTAGATTAATACAGTATTCCGTCAAAGACATATTTTGGATTGCATAGAATGGCATAATACACTCTTTAAAAAATAACATATCAATTATTGATATATGATGTTTTATCTTACCTGTCGCTACACAGTGCTACATTTTACAAACAGACAGTCCTGGAACAGAGAGACAGTTGAAACAGACTATAGCCTGTGCACCGATACCCACGAGTTATAAGCCTTGGCCTGTAATTCCTTATATTCTTCTCTGTCTGCTTTGCATCTTACAGAAGGGCTGTTGTTAAGCGCACAAGACAACTTGCAAAACAGAAGATAATGCCAGGCCTTCCTCCTCTGGTTCTCAACCCCTCCTCCACCTCTATGCCTTCGGAGTCTTCCTCTATGTCATCGCCGGCACCCCCGGGTCTTCCTCCCAAGTCGATGTCCTCCACCTCTATGTCTTCAGAGTCTTCCTCTATGTCATCGCCGGCACCCCCGGGTCTTCCTCCCAAGTCGATGTCCACCACCTCTAAGCCTTCGGAGTCTTCCTCTTTGTCATCGCCGGCACCCCGGGTCTTCCTCCCAAGTCGATGTCCTCCACCTCTATACCTTCGGAGTCTTCCTCTATGTCATCGCTGGCACAACCGGGTCTTCCTCCCAAGTTGATGTCCTTCACCTCTAAGCCTTCGGAGTCTTCCTCTATGTCATCACCGGCACAACCGGGTCTTCCTCCCAAGTCGATGTCCTCCACCTCTAAGCCTTCAGAGTCTTCCTCTATGTCATAGCCGGCACCCCCGGGTCTTCCTACCAAGTCGATGTCCTCCACCTCTATACCTTTGGAGTCTTCCTCTATGTCATCGCTGGCACTCCCGGGTCTTCCTCCCAAGTAGATGTCCTCCACCTCTAAGCCTTCGGAGTCTTCCTCTGTCATCGCCGGCACAACCTGGTCTTCCTCCCAAGTCGATGTCCTCCACCTCTAAGCCTTCGGAGTCTTCTTCTATGTCATCACCGGCACAACCGGGTCTTCCTCCCAAGTCGATGTCCTCCACCTCTAAGCCTTCGGAGTCTTCCTCTATGTCATAGCCAGCACCCCCGGGTCTTCCTACCAAGTCGATGTCCTCCACCTCTATACCTTTGGAGTCTTCCTCTATGTCATCGCTGGCACTCCCGGGTCTTCCTCCCAAAAAGATGTCCTCCACCTCTAAGCCTTCGGAGTCTTCCTCTGTCATCGCCGGCACAACCGGGTCTTCCTCCCAAGTCGATGTCCTCCACCTCTAAGCCTTCGGAGTCTTCCTCTATGTCATCGCCGGCACAACTGGGTCTTCCTCCCAAGTCGATGTCCTCCACCTCTATGCCTTCGGAGTCTTCCTCTATGTCATCGCCGGCACAACCGGGTCTTCCTCCCAAGTCGATGTCCTCCACCTCTAAGACTTCGGAGTCTTCCTCTATGTCATCGCCGGCACAACCGGATCTTCCTCCCAAGTCGATGTCCTCCACCTCTAAGCCTTCGGAGTCTTCCTCTATGTCATCGCCGACACAACCGGGTCTTCCTCCCAAGTCGATGTCCTCCACCTCTAAGCCTTCGGAGTCTTCCTCTATGTCATCGCCGTCACAACCGGGTCTTCCTCCCAAGTCGATGTCCTCCACCTCTAAGCCTTCGGAGTCTTCCTCTATGTCATCGCCAGCACCCCCGGGTCTTCCTCCCAAGTCGATGTCCTCCACCTCTAAGCCTTCGGAGTCTTCCTCTATGTCATCGCCAGCACAACCGGGTCTTCCTCACAAGTGGATGTCCTCCACCTCTAAGCCTTCGGAGTCCTTCTCTATGTCATCGCCGGCACAACCGGGTCTTCCTCCCAAGTCCATGTCCTCCACCTCTAAGCCTTCGGAGTCTTCCTCTATGTCATCGCCGGCACCCCCGAGTCTTCCTCCCAAGTTGATGTCCTCCACCTCTATGCCTTCGGAGTCTTCCTCTATGTCATCGCCGGCACAACCGGGTCTTCCTCCCAAGTCGATGTCCTCCACCTCTAAGCCTTCGGAGTCTTCCCCTATGTCATTGCCGGCACCCCCGGGTCTTCCTCCCAAGTCGATGTCCTCCACCTCTAAGCCTTCGGAGTCTTCCTCTATGTCATCGCTTGCACCCCCGGGTCTTCCTCCCAAGTCGATGTCCTCCACCTCTAAGCCTTCGGAGTCTTCCTCTATGTCATCCCCAGCACAACCGGGTCTTCCTCCGAAGTCGATGTGCATCACCTCTATGCGTTCGGAGTCTTCCTCTATGTCATCGCCAGCACAACCGGGTCTTCCTATAAAGTCGATGTCCTCCACCTCTATGCTTTCGGAGTCTTCCTCTATGTCATCGCTGGCACCCCCGGGTCTTCCTCCCAAGTCGATGTCCTCCGCCCCAGTGGATTTTTTTAATCCAGCATCCATCCATGCTTTTTTAGAACAACTGCTTCAATTGATGCAGCAACCTTGGTCTGGCACCTCCCTCCGTCAGTTTCCTCTGTCCAGCCATCTTCTGTAGGAGGGAGGCTTCAAACTTACTGGAGGCTTTGGGAGTTCCTGCAGGATCTGTGACTGGGATCCTCCGTCGCGGGTTCCGCCCGCAGTTTCGTGCCATTCCTCCTCTCACTACCAATCAGTTGGAACCTAGATACTGGCCTCTAGATCTGCTGGGCTCTGCAGGCCAATGTCAACATTCTGATTGCCAAGGATGCGGTGGAAGCCCTGGATGCCTCTACCATCATGCCAGGATTTTACACCCTGTCTTCGTGGTGCCCAAGAAGAGTTCAAAGATGCGAATGATTCACAATCTGGCGCTATTCAATTAACACTACCTCGCTCCTCCGCTGCATTTCCCAATGTTCTCCGTACACTTCGCCACATGATCCAGCCGATGGACCACCTCATCAGTCTGGACCTGCAGGATGCCTACCTGCATGTTCCCATTCATGCAGCGCATCGTCGATTCCTCTGTTTCATCTCCAGGTGGAAAGTGCTTCCATTTCGAATTTCCACAGCCCCGTGGTTGTTCACTTGTACCATCAAGCCCATCATTGCGTTCAACGCATTCATCGACGACTGTATCCTCAGCCACATCATCCTGCAGGTCCTGACACGTCAAAGGGACTTAACCCTTCAACCCTTGGCTTGGTTGGGTGGTCAACTTGGAGAAATCAGATCTTACTCCTTCTCACAACTCATCAGCAGCCTCTTTCTAACAGAATGCAACTTGATACAAGTTCCGCCAGATCGGTTCCAAGCCATCCAGTCCGGGTCCAGATAGCACTCTGTCAACCCTTCAACCTCCAACAGTCGCAGACTTTACTAAGTCGTTTGCCTTCGGCTCAAGATCTTAGGGGCGGTCCGGTAGCCTTGTGGTTAAAGCGTTCGCTCGTCACGCTGAAGACCCGGGTTCGATTCCCGACATGGGTACAATGTGTGAAGCCCATTTCTGGTGTCCCCCGCCGTGATATTGCTGGAATATTGCTAAAAGCGGCGTAAAACCATACTCACTCACTCACTCACTCAGGATCTTACCTCAAGGGGTCACCCTCAAGTACATCCCCTTCAGTGGTTTCTCCTACCGTTTCTGCGCTTACACCTGACAGGTACCCCCCACTCTGCCTGTAGAGTTCGGGCCGTTTTTGGAGTCGTGGTTAGCCCCATCCAATTTCATGAGTGGTACCTCTATATTTAGGTTCAAGGCCACCCACCATGTATTTGTAGACACGTCTCTCCAAGGAAACAACATGCGTTCTTTGGACGCTGACCAAACGTTCCTTACATGTCAACAACCCAGAGTTCAAAGCAGTCACACCAGACGGTCTCTGGCATGTTTCCAAAAGTCCCCGAGGCTCATTGTTCCTCAACTCCTTCCTGAGTTACCCGTCCCAGTCCTAATTGGGACCATATTTCCCCTCTCTCAAGCCGTTGGGTGTTTGGGTAGCCTAGTGGTATACGCGTTCGGTCACCACGCCAAAGACCCGGGTTCGATTCCCGACATGGGTACATTGTGTGAAGCCCATTTCTGGTGTTCCCCGCGGTGATATTGCTCTAATATTGCAAAAATCAGCATAAAACCATATTCACTCACTCCCTCAGTCACTCTCTCAACACACCTTGCTTTTGTCCATTGTCAAGCGTTGTTCTCTCTACCTTCGGACAACTGTTCTGTTCCAGGATGGCTGGAGCTGCTTCTGGAGGGAACCTTGGATGATGCTGTCGCTGTGCTTCTTCAGCGTGACTGGCACTTATCACAATAAGCCCACCTTCCATGTCAGTCGAAAATGTCACTGTGTAGTATCAGGTGTGGTAAAACTCGAGCATTTCAGGATAAATGCAATGTTTTTATACTTACCTGATGCTACACCTGTAGTCCCACCCAGACTTTGTCCGCCTCCTCTGCTTACCGCCCCAGCGCCACTGTCTACACTGTGCCTGCTGCCATACAGTGAAGAATATGAGGGAGTACGGACCAAGGTTGATAATTCAAGGCACAGACATGTTATAGTCTGTTTCAACTGTCTCTCTGTTCCAGTACTGTCTGTTTGTTAAAAGGTAGGGAAGCTAAAGCACTGTTGTGTTGGGTAAGTACAAAAACACTGCATTTATCCCGAAATGCTCATATTTTATTTATTTCTTTTTCAGTTTACAGTCACAGTTTGTTCCCATGTTTTCCTCCCCTGTTGAAGTGCCCTGTGTGCCAACGACAGAGATATGACTCCCCAGGACCAGCCAGCTGTTTCAGGGGGAGCAATAGATTCCCTGTGGAACACCTGTTTCAGGGGGAGCAATAGATTCCCTGGAGAACACCTGTTTCAGGAGGGACCAGGGGTCAAGGAAAGTACCCAGCATTCAACACTCAGATCAAGAAAATGCTACCCTCCATCACCCAACTGTGCCTTTATCCTGTGGAACTGTGTTGCCATCCAGCTGAGCACGACCACCAGCTTGTGGTGTGAGGTAACATATGGCAGCTACTCCACTGTAACAAGGAACAGGGCATGTCTTGCATGGCGGAGATGACTTTCAAAACGTACGCTATGTATGTTTTTACCTGTTGACTTAAAGATGTTGTACAACTTCTTAGTTTGAACTTTCCTAGTCTGTGGATGTATATGTGTCTGTAACTGAACTTATATACCCAGAAGAATATGTCTTGTATCGACCTACCATAAACCCGTGAAGATCCAGGTTAAAATTGGTCTTCAGTAACCCATGTTTGTTGCAAGAGGCGACTAACGGGATCTGGTGGTCAGGCTCGCTGACTTAGTGGATGCACATCATTGTATACCAATTTGGTAGATCGATGCTCGTGATCACTGGATTGTCTGTGTTCTTCCCAGTTGATCAAAATTGTCTGTTTACTGATGTCACAGACAGCTCTATATTTACCAATTGGTCCATATTGCCTGTTTACTGATGTGACAGACAGCTCTATATTTACCAGATGGTCCATATTGCCTGTTTGCTGAGGTTACACACAGCTCTATACTTACCAGTTGGTCCATATTGCCTGTTTGCTGATGTCACAGACAGCTCTATATTTACCAGTTGGTCCATATTGCCTGTTTACTGATGTCACAGACAGCTGTATACTTCCCAGTTGGTCCATATTGTCTGTTTACTGATGTGACAGACAGCTGTATACGTCCCAGTTGGTCCATATTGCCTGTTTGCTGATGTCACAGACAGCTCTATATTTACCAGTTGGTCCATATTGCCTGTTTACTGATGTGACAGACAGCTCTATATTTACCAGATGGTCCATATTGCCTGTTTGCTGATGTCACAGACAGCTCTATATTTACCAGTTGGTCCATATTGCCTGTTTACTGATGTGACAGACAGCTCTATATGTACCAGTTGGTCCATATTGCCTGTTTGCTGATGTCACAGACAGCTCTATATTAACCAGTTGGTCCATATTGTCTGTTTGCAGATGTGACAGACAGCTCTATATTTACCAGTTGGTCCATATTGTCTGTTTGCAGATGTCACAGACAGCTCTATAGTTTCTGATTGATTCTGTACACCGATGTCAATAGCCAAAATGAAATTGACAATCGTTTTTCTCGTTTTTTATGCTGGAATGTTCATGGGTTGTTTAGTAAGCTGTCAAATGACAACTTTAATTCGTATTTGGAAACATTTGACGTTATTTGTTTATTTGAAACATTTCTTGACTCAGTCGACTTCGATTGGTTACCTGGATTTAAAGTCTTCTACTCCCCGGCGGTAAAGCTGTCCGGTCGTGGGAGAAAATGTGGTGGTGTTTGTTTTGCCATTAGAAATGAGTTTGCTCAGTTTTGTAATGTATTTAATAGTAATTCCGGTATTGATAATTTCTTGTCAATTATATTGAAGAAAAACCTCTTTGGAACGCCTAAAGGTGTATTGTTTTGCCCCTTGTACATACCACCAGAAAACTCTACATACTATGACAAACATCAAAATATTAACATACATGATAAATTCGATGAATTCTTTCTTGATAGAGCAGACCGTCTCTCTGAATACACTGTGCTTCTTTGTGGAGATTTTAACTCTAGAACAGGTTGTGAAAATAATTTAGTTGATCAAGAATCGACCACAAATGATCCCGATATTTTCCCTGAAATTGACATTGTAGATGCATGTATATCTTGGCTTGACAATGTTATTAATAAGTTTGGACGATTTCTAATTAACTTCTGTTATGTTTTCAACTTGTTCATACTAAATGGCAGAGTTAATGGCGACATGAATGGTGAATATACATTCATTAGTGGTAATGGTAGTAGTACTATTGATTCTTTTATTGCCTCATCTGATTTCTACAAGTTTGTTTATAATCTTACAGTTGCCGAGAGTCTTGACTCGGACCACTGCCCTCTTGAACTGAGTTGTTCATTTCCACGAGAAAACACAAATAGATTTTCACAATCTAATAGCACTAACTCGGCAGGTAGATTTGTATGGAATGAATTGCATAGAGATGAATTTGTACACTGTCTTAGTGATCGTTTGGCTGAAACTTCACAGACTCTTCTGACTACGCTAAACACTAACATAAACGATGCAGTTGATCTTTTTGTAAATCTACTACTTGAGTCAGGGCAGTGTATGAAAAAAACAGTTCTTGGAAATAAACCACGTAAATATACTTTCAATTTAAACAGCGAGTGTAGAGAACATAGGAGATCAGCAAGACGAACGCTAAGAAAGTTCCGTAAAAATAGATCTGAATCTAATAGGAAAACTTATTGTCAGTTACGCAACAAATATAAAACAGAATGTAAAAGCTTTTTAAAATCCCTTAAACTAACCAAATTAAATCATCTAAATGCCTCATTATCAAACCAAAAACGGTTCTGGAGAGAAATTAATTCTCTACGCAGTCCATCATCTGTTCAGAATAATATCACAGGCACAGAGTGTCTGACTCATTTTAAGCATGTGTTTAGCAATGATCTTATATTCCATGATGTTATTGAACATGAGCATGACGATATTGCTGTTTATAACCCATCAGATGTTGAGTTTGACATTCTTGAGTCCGAAATAACAAGAAAGGAAATTCTCGATGCTATTGACTCACTTAAACCTGGAAAATCTCCAGGCCCTGACAATATCTTAGCGGATATGCTGAAGAGTTTCAAACACATAACTGTTCCATTTTTGCATTCTCTCTTTAACGACATATTCAACAAAGGTATATTTCCGTCAACTTGGTCAAAATCTATCATTGTTCCTCTATTTAAGAAGGGTGATACAAGCGATCCTGATAATTATAGAGCAATTTCATTGACAAGTATTTTAGGTAAAGTTTTTGCTATAGTTTTAAACAAGCGTTTAACGCTCTGGTCTAATGTTTATGATAATATTCCAGAAAATCAGGCAGGCTTCAGACGATCATATTCACCTATCGACCATATTTTTACACTTTATTCTATTGTACAAAAATATCTTGGATGCCGGGAACGAAAACTGTATGTTGCATTTGTGGACTTCAAAAAAGCTTTTGATAGTGTTAATCGTTGTAAACTTTGGGATTGTTTGAGAAAAACGGGCGTTGGGGGTAAAATGTATAAAATGTTAAAATCTATATATGCAAATGTCAAATAATGTGTTTGTCACAAAAATGGTGTCACTGATTACTTTGATTGCCCTATCGGTGTGAAACAAGGCTGCATTTTTAGCCCTCTCCTTTTCTCTTTCTTTATCAACGAATTGTCCCTTGAAATCCAACAAAACGGAAAACATGGTGTCCAACTTTATCCAGATATGTATGAATTGCTAATATTACTTTTCGCAGACGATGTTATACTAATTTCTGATACTGTTAATGGGCTTCAAACACAAATAGACATATTGTTTCAGTATACTATCTCCTGGAAACTGACCGTTAATACAGATAAAACGAAAATTGTTGTTTTTAGAAAGGGGGGTCCTCTTGCATCCAGGGAAAAATGGTATATAAATGGGCAACAAATTAATGTTGAAAAAACTTATAAATACCTTGGTGTCATTTTTCCTTTTAATCTGAAACTAAATCACCTCGTCAACGATATTGCGCTACGAGCTAAGAGAGCCCTCATTACTTTATTTGTTGTTCTTGATAAACTCCATGTGTCTTCCCCGTCTGTTTTCTTCAAACTTTTTGATTCTCAAGTTAAACCAATTCTGTTATATGGTTCAGAGATTTGAGGTCTCGAGAAATATCACATCTTGGAAAAAATTCACTTAACTGCATGTAAACGATTCTTAAATGTTGCCAAATCTACCCCAAATTGTATGGTGTATGGTGAATGTGGAAGACATCCCTTATATATCTGTTCTTATGTACGCGGTCTAAAATATTGATTAAAAATTACAGAAATGTCACCTCATCGTATTCCACGTAAATGTTATGAAATGCTGAAATACCGCGACAATGTTGGTTATATAACATGGGTCACTAAAATCAGACAACTTTTATTTCTTCATGGATTTGGATATGTTTGGATTTACCAAGGTGTTGGAGATAAGACAGTACTTCTTAGTGTATTTAAACAAGTTGCATCTGATATGTTTATCCAAGAATGGAGAGCTACATTGGAAAATAGTTCAAGATACGACCTTTATAAAACATTTAAATCCTGCTTATCTCCAGAACAGTACTTAACAGAAATAACAGACAGAAAACTCGTGTGTTTTTTACGCGATTTAGATTAGGTTTGAACAATTTAGTATGTAATACGGGTCGTTTTTCCTCAGTTTTAAAAAAAATGCGTTTTTGTCCTTTTTGCCCGACATTTATTGAAAACGAATACCATTTTATGCTTGTCTGTCCATGTTATGAATCGCTCAGAACAAAATATTTCCAAGGTTTACCCCAAAACATCAATACACTAATCAAGCTCCTCCGTTTTGATGAAATATCTAACGAGCAACAAAAGAATACTATCCTATACATTAATTATGGTTTACGACTTCGCAACCGTCTTTGTACAAATGATGTTTAATTATTCTTGAGGTTATTTGCCTTTATTAATCAAATGCTTTAATCTCCTCTTGTTGTGTTGTGATGCGATTTATTTTTCACAAAATTGTACACGTGCACATCTCTGTGCATATAAGTCTGCATGTTTATACTTGTACATGTACAAAATCGTATATATATATAATATTATTGTATGTATATGGGCCTATGGCCTGAATACAAAAAATGATGATGATGATGATTGGTCCATAGTGTAATGCTACTGTGGTATATAGGCTTTTTCATAATCATATAGTATAGTTCAGTAGAGGGGTGCACAATATAGTCCATTTGTATAACATGATCTGTGGGCTGGAATCTCTTTCTTTTGCAACTGCACCTATTACCTGCTGGGGTGACTTGAAGGGTCTGCTGTTTATATTCAGTAAGCATCATAGCCTTTGAATTGTTCACATAACCAGACTATTTCAAACGTCATTCACCGACATCAATTCCTTTCTAAATGTGGCCACTGACGTGCAACATCTAGTGTAGGGAGAGGATAACGCAATCTCATTAAAATCAGATCTTAGTTCTCACTATGCTAAACAAAGATCTGAGGACATCCCATTAAGGGTCACGTCAGAACGACCTTTCATCCAACCAATCAGAGCGTCGCTTACCAGATCATTAAAGTGACAGTCGGAATGTGTTTTCTAATCATGCAACCACGAAATATTTAACACGGGGTATTCCGAACGACAGTTACGGGTTTTATGATTATATCCATACAATCTAGGCCATCTATAAGCCATTCCAGAGTGTTCTTCTTGTCAGTTTTAATTTTTTTAAGTGAGAATATGTCAGAATATGTTTCAAAGCGTAGTCGCCAGTTGGAAACTAGTTTCATAAAGCTCGAGAAAGCTGCCTTCTGATTGGCTAATGTCAATTTCTTGTGAGTCATTTCATTGGTCGGTCAAAATTTGCGAAAGGTTGTTATGACGTGACCCGTAATGGGATGTCCTCAGATCTTTGTTTAGCGGTAGCGAGAACTAAGATCTGATTTTAAAGGGCAAGTTCACACGGAAATGAACCAATTTTTCTTGTACTTTTTCCACATTAAAAGTGTTAACATAGAAGTGTCATAGACAAAAATATAAAAACATCATATTTAATTAACATATTTTTTGCATTAAAACGATTTATATTTTTCACATTTACTAAGTGTTCTATTTCCATAACAAAAACACCATGGCTTATGCCCCTTGCAATATGACGTCATTGGTGCCAATTGATAAACATTATGACGTCATCATGCTTTGTTAGAGCCGCTTCACGTGGTGTAGGTACAGTTTTGTGATTTTAGCGTCTCAGATGCCAGCCAGAATTGTGTTATACTGAGTCACCACTGCGCCGGAGTGTGTCGTAGACCATGTTGTTTTACATAAAAACTGGTCCTTGATATCTTTTGCGTTGAGAATAGACAGGGACCCAGTTGAATTAGCACCAATTACGTCATAATCTAAGGGGGATAACTCAGGCCTATTTTGCTCGTAAAACGAAGGCCTTATAACGACATA